AAGTAAAAAGGGCCTGCCTAGCAAATGTGAAGTCCTGAGTTCAAATTCAAGTGCTGCCAAAAAAAAAAAAAAAAGAACAAAAGTGAAAAATGGATCCAATATTTACTGAGCACTTCACTTACCATGGTCAGGCACTGGGCCAAGACCTTTGGCCGGTTAATTCCTTTCAGTCCTTACCTGGCTGTGAGTCAGGCCTTGGTGACACTTACAGAGACTCTGGAGGATTAAAATGATTAAGGTGTTTGTCCAAGGTCTGGCCTCTAGTAGGAGGAAGTGTCCTGACGTCCCATTCCAGGTGCTGAGACAGGGATGCCCAGTGTGGCTTGGGTGGCTCACATCTGCCTCCTTGGAGCATCCCTGAGGCCTGAGACCCAGGTCCACGTTCTCTGTCACTGTGTCCCCTCTGGCTGGGGTCACCTGAGGGGTGCAGCCATTGCTCTCCCACTGGACCTGAGCTGTAGTCTGACCTGAGTCTGTAGTGTGGGACATGGACAGGTTCTGGTGTTTGTAGATTTCAGGTTTAATACACACCAAAGGAGTAGATGACTTGAATTTGCTATTTATGTTTTGCACCAATGGGAACAAAAGTGTCCCCCTCTCCTTCCAGTGCTGTGGCAGACACCGGCTAGATTCGATCCCCTTTCCCCTCCATCTTCTAAGGTGGATTTCCGTGTAACCCGAAGGACAGGATCATCACTGTCCTTAAGGTGGATCTGGCGGGAAGAGGATGTGTGACCCCCTCCCCCCATTCCCTGCCTTCTAGGGGAGGTGAGACTGGCTGAGCTGTCCCAGAGGCCAGGCTGCCCCAGGGGCTGGGCCAAAACCACCATCACTGAACGCCTGCTGAGTAGAGTTCTGTCCTGCACTGGGGCTGGAGACACTCCTGGCCAGTTTCGCTTGCACGGAGTAAGAAAGGAGGTGTAGCAAGCAAGCAAGCTAGTCGCAAGAGCTCTGCGGAGTGAATACTGGTGGTCAGGGAAGGCTTCTGGAGGAGACGCTGCAGGAGCCACCGCCTGACGACAGTGAGGAGCTAGCCAGGGAGTAGGAGGGGGCGAAGGTTCTCCGCAAGACCGGAGGTTTCAGCACCCCCAGCTCCAGAAGGGGGCAAGCGCAGCCTCTTCCCAGGCCCTTTAAGGCGGAGCGCCAGGGCGCTGTGGGCGGTGCCAGGGACTCTCGCGGCCTGTGATTGGGCTGCGCGGCGGAGCGGAGCAGCTCCACGGGCTCTGATTGGTGGGCGAGGCGGGCGCCGCCGCCAGGTGATGCCGAGGGTCGGTTCCTGCGGCCACGTGGGGGGCGCGCGGCGCCGGGGCGGCGGGAGGCGGGGCGGACCTGGGCCGCAGCGACACAGGAGACGCGAGGGGTCGTGGCCGGAGCTGCAGGGATCAGACTTAAGGCGCGGCGGCCGCAGTGAGTGAGCGAGCGAGCGCCGGGAGAGGGGCTGGGGCGGAGTGGGTCGCGGGGAGTGGGGGCTTCTGTCACCTCCGTCACCGCGCGTTGATTCCTTATGCCCCCAAAACCTGGCGCGCTCCGCAAGGATCCCGATGCCAGCAGCTGGGTCAGCAGCCCGCGCTGGTCCCGAACCCCAAAAACCGCGCTCTCCTCCAAATGTCATCCGCGGAGGGTGTCAAACGGCACCCAGCGCGCGCGCACGCACCTCGGCCTCCGCGCAGCTACGGAATTTTTTTCTCCAAATCACTCAACTGTCTTGGGATGCTGGTTTCCCGCACCCCCAAAAAAAGCCTAAGTGCCCTGAGAGGCTCTGATCCACCTGGCACACGGTCCGCGGCTCTCTGACCAGGTCAGTGACAGTCCCCGGAGGCAGTGTCGTAGCGTTCCCCCTCGGCAGCTGAGGAACTGGAGGCTGCTGGACTAAGTGACGTGCTAAAGGTCGCATCAGCCAGCGCTTTCGGACCCCACAATCCCTGACCCTGCCCGCGCTGGCCCAGAGCAGGTGGGGACTGGAAGGACAGTGGGAGCAGAGCTGGCGACCCAGTGATGGCAAGCCCAGCCATGGTGGGGATAGCCTAGGGGAAGGCGCTGCGGTTGTGCTGGCCGGATGTGACCCCAGCACCCGAGGTCTTTCCACCCCTGTGGCTGCCTTCTCGCCCCACCTACTCCTGAACAGAACAGGACCACCAAACTCCAAGGGTGGACACCCGGCTTCCTTGGCACCAGGGGAGTCTGAGCAGAAGGGCATTGAGTCCTGGGTTTGCTTTCCAGCTCCTTGCTTGTTCTGTGTGCCCTTGGGCAAGCAACTTGATCTCCCTGGTCACCATTTACTGAGCCCAGGGTCTGCAAGCTGGGTGGTCTCCCAGAGCTCCGAGGAGGCGGGGCCTCCCTACACACAGCTCAGCTAGGGTGTGAGCAGCAGAGGTCCCATGCATGGCCACCAGGCAGGTCAACTGGTCCAGTTCCCTGCTTCTAAGCAAGGCTACCTGGAAAACCGCAGAGGAGCGAGAACTGCAGCCTCATTTCAAACGTAGTCCCTTTGGAAGGTGCCAGCCCACCAGGCTCCTGTGTAAAACTTCACTCTGGGCCAAAGAGATGAGTGGGTGTTTGCCTGGATGGGTAAACATGTCTGTTTCCAGGGTTACCGTGAGCCTGGAGCCTCCCTGGTCCCCTGGGAGCCCCCAACTCCAGTCCTGGGGCTGAAAAGCACAGTGCTCCTCAGGCTGGGAGGGACTAGAGGGAGGGAGAAGCTTCCAGTCTCCAGGAGTCAAAGCCCAGAGGGCTGGGGGAGGATCAGGTGATGGTGATGGGTTGGGATGGAAGAAGACCTGTGGCCTGGCCTCCCTACCCCCACTCCCAAAAACTGGGGACGCAAAAGCTGCAGCTGTGGGTCTGGAGGGAGGCCCTAGACGCAGATGTCTCTGCATGTGAGAGTGAGTGTGAGTGCGTGCTCACCTGTGGCTCCTTGTCTTACACTTGGTCCTGAGGAGCTGTGTGGCACAGGCAGGATGTGAAAAACGCTCTTGACTGCTCCCTGTTCCCAGCTGTCCTTTATCTCTTTTGCAGCTGTCTTTCTTCTCACCCCCTGTGTTCCCACTCTCCCTCTGTTCCTTCCCTGCCCTCCCTCCACCTGCTGTGGTCGTGCCAGCCGTGAGCCCAGCCCAGGATGTGATTTTAAAGTTCAGGGTGGCCTTGCTGGGAGCTCCATCTCCTACCAGATGGGGTGGCGTGTGGCTGTACCACGACACGACGTTTAACTTTGCTTTCTTTAAACATCAAACATACAATAGGGAAAGGGTAGGATGTGACAAATGGTCAGGATCAGAGAGTGGAGGGGGTTGGTATGGGGGGACCAAAAGGGGCTTCAAGGGGACAGAGCAGCCTTGGTTTCTGTCGCTTTCCTTGCTGGCTGCTGGTTGAAAGTAGATCTGGTAGCATCTGCACTCTGACCTGAGCTGGGGGTTGAAGGTCATGGGCAGGCAGAAGTGGGGGCCCTTCCTAGACCCTTGGCCCTGAGGACATCAGTGCTAAGACACTCTTCCGAAGTCAGGTTGCACACTCTTCCCTGCCCAAGCCCCTGGGATCCCCACTCTCTCCAGGTGAGGTCATGGTCAGCCCCTGCTGTCCCTGGGAGACTGAGGGAGACTCTATTTGCTGAGCATTGTGCTCTGCTGAACCTCCATTCGGTTCTCATCAACAACTCACGTTATCCCAGGTGTGATGAGGAAGTGGAGGCTCAGGGAACTGAGGAAGCTTGCCCAGAGCCACACAGGATTTGCATACAGGTCTTTCTGACTCAAGAAGTAATTACAAGTAGGCTGGTGAGAGAGCCAGCCATACTGGGAGCTGGGCACAGGGGGGAGTGGGGAGCACCTAAGTTGGCCCCTGGAAAGGCTGGAGGAGCTGATTGTGGGGATCCCAGCAGAGGGGATCATCAGTTCCTTTTTGTAATCGCCATCCATGGATACATTTATTCCACTTTTACCAAGCACCAGCTGAGGTCCTGGGACCTGCTGGAGCTGGCCAAGGGGTCCCAGGAACGACTAGAATTGGGGCTGGGGGGTTGCTTTTTGGCATTCCCCCCCCTCACACACACCAGCAGTTGTCCACCTTTTCCACATCTTGACTTAGCCCCAGTGCAGTCTGTTTGGGTGCTGGTTTTCATTATGACCTTGGGGAAGAGGCTGAAGTCAGGCTGGGTCACATGAACCAACATCCTGTGAAACAGGTCCCTGGCATCATCAGTTCTGGCCATCTATCTCCTGGTTACCACCATGGGACTGCTTCTGCCCTATAACCTGCTGTGACTCCCCAGTGCCTACAGGGTAAAGCCTGATTCCCTAGTCTGACATTTAAGAGTGATCCCAAATTGGATCCAGCCTGCTGTAGGGTCCCAGCTGTTTGTCTTCCTTTGTACCGTTGCAGACTGTTCTCACAGCTATCACCACACTTTTCAGTGGTCCGTCCCAGACTGCCCTGTCTTTTCCTTGGCACCTTTTAGTTTTTTTCTGGTACAGTGTCTCACTATGTTACCTAGGCTCCCTTGAACTTCTGGGTTCAAGTGATTCTCCTACCTCAGTCTCCTGAGTAGCCAGGACTACAGGTGTGTACTTGACACCCCATTTCCTCCAGCCAGCACTTCGTAAGACTGGTTGGAATTCAGCATCCCTCCCCTGCCCCCAAATCCACCATCAGGCGTTCGATTGGGCTGTGCAGCTCCAACCCAGGACATTCAGTGGCCCCAGACGTGAGCTGCCACACCCGTCAGATCTTAATCCAAACCTCAGCCTCAGTAGACTGACCTTTCACAGCTCTTCCTGCTTCATCCCACCTGTGTGGGTTATTACTTATGTAGACTAAGATCATTCTGAGTCCCCAGTGCCCAGGACGTTGAAGGACATATAGCAGGGGCTCAGTAAGGATTTGTGGACCCAATGAATGAACAAGCAAATGAACAGAGGGACTCACCAGCCACTGGTGAGGGGGGCCCTGTGGCTAACCCGCTCAGCACCCAACTTCTCCCCTGCCCTTTGCAGCCTTCTCTGTGGAGCTTGAAGCTGGGCACCCTGGTGGCCATGCAGAGGGCCGGGGCAGGTGGCCGGAGGGCCTCTGACTGTGGGCCTGCCCCTTACCGGCCCAGGTGCATCACCAAGTTTGCTCAGGTGGGTGGGCACCCATCGGGGAGTACTCTGGTGGGTTGTAGCTTTGTGGCAGGTCCTGGGAATGTGGAGGAGCTGTCCTTCTGGTCTTTTTTCCTCCCCAGGCTTTGGGGGATGGGGGAGAGAGAGAGAATATGAATGTATGCAAAGGTGAGGAGGTGGGTGCTCAAAGGACTTTCACAACCTGACCAAGATTGCCTGCTGGCCAAGTGGCAGAGCCTGGACACCCAGGACAATGCTCTGTCACTGCCCACAGCCTGCCTGACAGAGCAGAGTGTGTATGGGGGGATGTGGAGGATGGTCGTCAGGACTGTGGACCTGACTCCCTGCTTCCTCCCCACTACCCACCTCCATGCAGTATGTGGGCTCCTTCCCCGTGGATGACCTGGACACGCAGGAGGGTGTGTGCCTTGTGTGGCAACAACTGTGGGCACTGAAGGTGAGGGGGCTAGGGGCACAGCCAGGGACCTCAGGCTGAGAATGAGTCCTGAGACCAGACCCTCCATCGTAAAGATGGTCACATGAGGCCCAAGGAGGGGCGGGAGCAAAGGGGCCCCAGGATCCCAGAGCCCAGAGACTCACTTCCTGTGGGCTGTCTGGGACCTGTACCCCACAACTGGAAGCCCCAAATGGCTACCTATGGGCCTGCTGGTGGTGCCCTCCCAGAAGCTAACTGTACTTTCCCAGCTGGGGGAGGAGATATGTCTGCTGCCCAGGGTTCTGTCCCCTGCCAGGGGTGGTGGAGGTGGCTGACCAGCCCTGGGTGAATGGAACTGAGGTGGACTGGGTAGGACCAGGCCTAGCAGGTAATGTCTGTTCCCACCAACTCTCTCCACCCAGGATTGTCCCCGACGCCGAGCTGTCATCCTGAAATTCAGCCTCCAGGGTATCAAGATCTACAGCGGGGAGGGAGAGGTAGGAGTTTTATGTGGGTGCTGTGAGGACTGGTCAAGGACAGGTGTCTTTTCCCTCAGGACACAGCCTCTACCTGGTCCCTGGCCTCAGCTCACCTGGTGCCACCCCCTGAGGCAAGCTGGGAGATGGGCAGCAGTTTCTCACCCCTGGCCCTCCAAAAGCTTCTCTGGAGTCACTTCATGGCCCCGGTAGCAGGGATGTTCACGCTGTGAGGTTTTGCAGATGCTCTGCCCAGCATTGGCCTATGGTCTGGGGACAGTCTCAGGCTGGGAATGGCAGGGGGCCCTACTTGAACATCGTCCTCCTGTATAGCCAGTGTTGTGTGCATGCTGACTGCAGGCCAGACTGTGCAGCCCGCAGTTCTGGGGCCCCTCTTACCCAGAACCATGGCGCACATGGAGCCCCAGTGCTGGGTGTCACAGGGTCCTGGATACAGAGACTTGCTCCCTTCCCTGATAGCTGTCAGGGAGCTTCTAGTAACTCTCCTCTTGACATTTGTCATAACAGGAGACACTCTGGGTACCATACTCACCTACCCAAGTCACCTGAAGAATGACTGGCAGAGCCAGGATTTGAACTCAGTCACTGACCCAAGAACAGGTGTTAGCTCCAGAGCCTGCTGCCACTGCCCTCCTCTGTGACCCCAGTGGGAGGTCATTGTTCTGCCCCTCATTTCTAAGACCCCAACCTGCAGGTCTGCGGCCAGGTGCCTGTCTGATGAAGCCTGGTACCGCCACCTTCTAGGTGCTCCTGATGGCCCATGCCCTGAGGCGAATCCTGTATTCCACCTGGTGCCCAGCTGACTGCCAGTTTGCCTTCATCGCCCGGAACCCACACAGCCCGGCCAGCAAACTCTTCTGCCACCTCTTTATGGGCAGCCAGCCTGGAGAGGTAGGGGGCGCCACTGAGGCTGGAGGGAGACTGTGCTGGGTGTCAGGACAGATTCCAGGGACACGAGCCTTGGTTACCACACTGTCCTGAGGACCCCTCCACCAAAACAAGTCATGGCTTTGGTATCCCTGGGGTGCAGAACAGGACCTGGCCATGCACTTGGAGACTAGCCCTGGCTCGTGCTGCTCCCTGCCTGCAGTGCCCACCTCCCTTCTCATCCTGCCCTTCAAGCTCAGTCCACCTTGGTTCTAGACTGTCCCTCCTTCTGAGTCCTGTGTTGAGAACCACACTGCACACTCCAGCCTCAGTCTGCCCCTAATTACATACAGACTCCTGAGTTCTTGGAGTGCAGAAGCTGTCCAGGTTTTGAGCTGTTCCAGTGTGTGGCCCTGGGAGGGGATGGGATGTGTGCAGGTGGATCCCAGAAGTCAAGGCCTGCACAGCAGAGCCATGGTAAACAGTTATTTGGCAAGCAGAGCCCAGGTATAGTTTCATCCAGCAAGCATTCACTGTCACTGAAGCCCTGTGCTGGACACTGGGGTGGCAGGTTCCAACTTGCTGGGTCAGGATGGAATGAGTGATGGGAAGAATGTGCTGGCCCCAGACAAGCACTGGGTTTGTGACAAGCACTGGGTTTGTGCTGGGGGTTTTCTGTGCTCCTCAGAGGGGCGTGGGGATATGGGGATGACAAAACTGAGGCATGCACAGGTGCCATGCTCCACCCAGGGTCACACAGCAACTCCAAAGGGATGGGGCCAGGATTGGAACCCAAATTCTGATTGCAGGGCCTGGGTCTTAGCTGCTCCTTTGAGACCTAGAGGCAGTACATCGGGAGGGGTGAACCTGGGGGTAGGAGTGGGTTAGCACCCCTCCATAGTCTGCTTTCGGCACAATGCCTCAAACAAGGCAGGCTCTCAGTATTTGGTAAGTGAATAGAAGAAAGGGAAGCTGCGTGGTAGTGAGGTTTTAAAGGGTAAGTAGGAGATTTCCCAGGAAGATTGGGGAGAGGCATCCCAAGCCAAGAGGCTGGGTGACCCCTAGGGAGTGGGCTGCTCTCTGGAAGGTTCCTCCCGCTGAGTCCACCTCCTCCTACGCTAGGTCCAGGTCCTGTACCTGCTACTGTGCCGCTCCTTCCAGCTCGCTTACCTCTTGCAGCACCCTGCGGAAAGAGCACAGCCCGAGCCTTGCCTGGGGCCTACAGGGGACGGGCCCCTGCAGCCACTCTCCAGCCCCAGGGGTCCCCCTGTCTTGGTGCGGGAGCCCTTTGGCCGGAATCAGCTTTCACAGACTGTCCATGCCCTGGTCTCCTTCCGGCGGCTTCCAGCAGAGGGGACATTGAGCAGTTGTGGGGTATGCAGCACCCCGGTCAGGGGGCGGGTAGAAGACAAGGAATCTGGACAAGGGCATGGGGGTCATGTTGGAGGGAGGAGTTTCTGGGGGTGCCCACCTGGCCCAACGTGGCTAGGCCTCAATCTGTCTGCCCCGGGGGGGGCCCCCCTCGGTGCCATAGAAGGAGCTGCCCGAGCTGGAAGGCCGTGGGGGTGCCCGCCACACTCGCCTGGGGAACCCTTACTGCTCACCCACCCTGGTGCGTAAGAAGGCCATCCGCAGTAAGGTCATCCGCTCGGGGGCCTACCGAGGCTGCACCTATGAGACGCAGTTGCAGCTGTCCGCCCGGGAGGCCTGTGAGTTGTGGGCCAGGTGGAGAGGTGGGGTGCAGGGTATGTGCACAGCTGTGTCCCCCAGGCTGCCTGTGTCCACAAGGGCGTGTGCATTGGCTCAGGTGCCCAGGGGCTGGCCCAGGCCACCAGCTGCATGGAGACTATGTGGGGGTGTCTTCTGGGGGCTAACTATGTGCCTGTTGGGCAGGGAGGGGAGGCCTGGTGAGGAAGCAGGGGCGGGGGGAGGGGGTGGAGGCTGTAGGGCAGACCAGCACTCTCCTTCTGACCACCTGTGTTCTCCATAGTTCCTACAGCATGGGAGGCATGGCCCCAGGGTCCTGGTGGCTCTTCATGCCTGGTGGAGAGCGACGGTAGCCTGACAGAGAACATCTGGGCCTTCGCTGGCCTCTCCAGGTACGAGGACCTGGCCTGGTACAACGTGCGTGTGTCTACACTGTGCATGGACAGAACCAGCCTTGACGGCCTCCTCAAGGGACAGCCCCTGTCTGGGCCTCAGTTTTCTCAAATGTAAAAGGGGCTCGGGGAAGTGGGGAGGATCAGATGAGGAGGTGCAGATAAGGCTTCAGCATCTGGCCTGTCACAGCACCAGCACTGTCTAGGGGCCAGCTCTTCCATCCTTGATCCTGGCCAGGCCCTCAGGTTGTCAACATAAGGACCCCTAGGAAACAAGCTGTTTATGCCCCAAGCATCTTTTCATCCAGCAGCATCTCTGGATGCTGGGTCAGAGTAGCTGCTGCTTGTTGTTTTTGGAGAGGGTCTCAACTTACGATTCTCCTGCCTCAGGCTCCCAAGGGCTGGGATCGTAGGCATGCACCACCACACTCGGCTCTTAGAGTAGCTTTTGAGGGCATTTATTTCATCCTTAGGCTGCCTCCACGCCCAGGACAGCAGTCTGAGGCTGGGGTCAGACTAGGGAATCCTACCTCAGCCTCTCCCTCTATGTCCCCAGGCCCTGTGCCCTGGCCCTGCTGCGGAGAGATGTGATCGGGGCCTTCCTGCTGTGGCCTGAGCCGGGCACCAGTGGCCAATGGTGCTTGTCGGTGCGGACACAGTGTGGCCTAGTACCCCACCAGGTCTTCCGGAACCACACAGGCCGCTACTGTGTGGAGGTAAGTCTGCCCGCTTGGCATGGGAGTCCTGTGGCCCTGCCCCATTGCTGGCCCCACCACTTTCTAACTGCTAAGTTCCTGAACCCACCTCATTCTCATCCTGGTCGCCCATTGGCTGTCTCTGGTCCTGCCCCTTGTCCTATTCGCCATCCCCTCCTCTGTACCACTGCCTGGCTCCTTCCTCTGCCCCTGCCCTGCTGCCTTTACCCTCCACTTCAAGGCTCGTGGAGGAGGAGGACGGTGTATGGTCATTAAGGGTCCCCCTCTCCTGAAGGGATTACCTCCAGTAGAATTGGGCCAAGGTGATGCTACATAATTTCCATAAAGATCCTGCCTTTCAAAATCTTGCTTTCCCACACCCTAGCCCATTGTTAGCAGTGAAGGAAGCTGACTCAGAGAGGGCAGGGCTTGCCTCAGCTCACACAACCTCTGAGTCTCCAGTCTAGTGTCTTGCCCATGGGTTTCTAGGCGCTAGATGAAGTGACCAGGCTTTCCCACTTTCAAGCTGAACACCTCAGTCCTGTCCCAGCAGGGAAGAGGGACAGGAAATGGTGTGGCAGCATGTGACCTCGCTGAACACTTCCTGTTCTTCAAAAGGGACACCTGCCAATGGGGAGGGGGCTGGTACCTGGCTGAGCCATGGGGAAGGGGCCTGGAGCTAAAGATCCCTCCTCTGCAGCACCTGCCAGCAGAGTTCCCCAGTCTGGAGGCCCTAGTGGAGAACCATGCTGGGATGGAGCGCAGCCTCTTCTGCCCCCTGGACATGGGCCGCCTGAACCCCACCTACGAGGAGCAGGACTGTGGGCCCGAGGGCTGGCCATCCCGGACTCTGCGGCCCCTCAGCCATGCCAAGTCTGAGGCAGAACTGCAGGGCCTGGGCTAGGAGGCAGTGCCCTTGCTCACAGGCCCTGCTTCACCCTGGCTCCTGGGCCTCAGTGGCCTCTCTGCCCTTCTTGCACCCCACTGGTCACCAGTTCCATCCGGTCACTCTACCCCTTGACCAGTCTTCCATTGCCTTGCTGCCGTGGGAGGGGAACCCGAGGCTGGAGATTGCAGTGGCTTCTCAGAGAGTCTAGGAGGGGCAGGTGGAGCTTCAGCATCCAGGAACTTCTTGGTGTATTGGATGCTTACCCATGCAGGCTCCACTTTCCCTGGAGCTGGGGACTTTCCAAGGTGGTCCTGGAGGCTTGCTCATGGATGCAGGTGCAGCCCTCTTTGAAGGAAGCCAGGCCTGGGGCCTGAACTGAGGGACTGTGGGTTCTGCCACCCTAGGGCTCAATGGCCTGTGGCCATTCCCTTGGGAGGGGCCAGCAATGGGCTGCCCTGCCCAGCTCACCATGCAGAACACAGTCAGTTTGGTAACCGCCTTGGGAAGCTGGCATTTCCATTGCTCTAGCACTGACCATGGCTGGCAGGGGCCACCTCTGTCACCAGCCCAGCCCCACCGGGGATGGGAAGAACGGAACCGTCCAGAGACAGAACAGATGTGAGGCCAGCCAGGGGTTGTGGCCTCGGCAGGGAAGCCCGGGACATGTACTAGTAAAGGAAGTGGCCCTGCATGGCAACTGAAAAAGTTCAGGTGTTCCCCTTTGTAAGCCAGCTTGGCAGACAAATACAGAATGTAATCTACCCGACTACATTACAGAGCAAATTCGTTTTGGAGGCAGAGGCCTAGTTGGGAGTCTAGGATGGGATGTCCCTATCCCTCACTTTGGAAGTGATACATTTCTCATTCCTGGCAGGCAGAGGGCAGCCCCAACCCAACAGAAAGGAGGGAGGCAAACCTGGGAATGAGAAGTTGACTCCAGGAGCTCCAAGCTCCCAGCCCCTCATCAGGATGCGTGACCTTGGCTAGAGACCTTGTCACTTTCTTTCATCAAGTGAGATGTCCTGTCACAAGGGATAGAAGGAAGCTGACCTTCCTGGCTGATTTCACTGGGAACACAGCACTTCGTGCTGAACACAAGGGACAGGCTGGGACCCACTGTGCAGCCCTGCAGCCGCCTCCCTGGGCAGGGTGCTGGTCTCCAGTGAGAGGCCCGGGGTCACACTGCCCGGCAGGGAGAGGATGTGGTGATGTCCATACCTACGACCACAGCCTTGGGGACCCCAGGCTCCCCTGAGGAGGGGTGAGTTGGTGAAAATTGTCCAGGTAGACGAGACATTAGGGGAACATTCAGCACACTGAAGGGACTGCTTTAACCTTCCCGCCAGCAGCCTTTATTGACAACAAAGCTTTGGGCCCATGTGCCCATGTGCCGACTTCCTGTGTCTTATTACAGACCAGTTTCATCTCCAGCCAGCACCACTGGGGAGCCTGGCTCTTCTTCCCGTGTGGACTTTGTAACAAATAAAATGCATTTCCTCAGTCTGTCTAGTGTAGATGTTTCCTTGAAAGACCAGGTCCTCATTCAGATGCAGGTTTTGCTTTTCTTTGCCAAACATAACCCTCAGCTGGTACAGAAAGCTGAGCCGGATAGAGGTCCTGTCCTCCAGGGGGCCCAGAATGTCCTAAAGGAACTGGGTAGGGAGGTTTAATCAAAGTATGTGTGTCCCTCTTTGAATCTCCCAAGGATATCTCCTATAGAAAAAATAGTCAAGATTTGTGCTTTGGCCACTTGACTTGCTTTTTGCTTCCACAAATGCCACAGGACTTTTGCACAGCCTAGACAGGTCTCCTTGCCCTCCTCTCCCTTCACCTGGTTCATTCCCGCACCATCGTATTTCAGCTCCTTGTCGGTCTCAGGGTATCTGCCCTGACTCCCAGACTAACTGAGGTTCCCTTTTTAGATGTTCCATAGGTCAGGTTCTTTAGTCTGTAGTTACTATTTATGGGATTTTTGTTTTCAATGTCAGTCTCCTCTACTAGACTGGTCTGCGGGAGGATTGTCTCCCAGTGCCTACCACCTGAGGACACTTTCTGTGCAAAGGGAAGACGCCACAGAGCCACCTTCCGGCTGGGGGCTCGGTGGGGGGCTTATGCTGAGTCGGGAGGATGGGCCAGGCGCCTCTCCAGCGAAAACACTCTGGCTCCTTCAGATTTTGTGTTTGGAAATCTGGAATGTTGAAAAAAGTGAAGGTGGCAGAAAGAAAGCTTCGCTCTGTCCAGGGGGCTGCAAGGTCCTTGTGGCCGTTCCTGTCTCTAAGCCCTGCGCCAGACCTGTCCTCTGGGGTCCCTCAGGCGCAGAGCCCCCCGCATTAACGCGCAAATCTGCCAAGTTGCCGAGCCTCTCTGGGCCGGGCGGTGAGGACCGTGCCAGCCGCCAACCTCGGTCTCCTGCGCAGAGGGCGCGCGGACGCTCGCCATCGCCGCCCTGTAACGTCACGGGCGTTGCCCGGCAACGGCGAACGCCACGACGGCGTGCGAGTGTGAGCGGGCGGCTCCGGGGCTCGGGTCCTGCGGCGGCGCCTGCACCGCGGATCCCCCACTTCCCCGCCCGGGCCGGGCCTCAGGGACGGACGAGCCCGGGCGTGGGAGGCGGCGGAGGCCCGGCTCCGGTCCAGTGACTCGTGCGCCGCCCAACTCCTCCTCTCCCGGCGCCCCCCGAGGAGTCCCATCCCCCCGCCGCGGCCCCGCCCCCGTCGCGAGGCCCCGCCCCCCGCCGGTGCTGGCCCCGCCCCCGGGCCCGGGCCGCCGGGGGCCCCCCGCCGCGGTGCCATGGCCTCGGAGTCGGTGAAGGTGGTGGTTCGCTGCCGCCCCATGAACCAGCGCGAGCGGGAGCTGAACTGTCAGCCCGTGGTGACCGTGGACTGCGCGCGCGGCCAGTGCTTCATCCAGAACCCAGGCGCCTGCGACGAGCCCCCCAAGCAGTTCACCTTCGACGGTGCCTACTACATGGACCACTTCACCGAGCAGATCTACAACGAGATCGCCTACCCGCTGGTGGAGGTGAGGGCGCTGGCGGGCCGGGCTTGGGGCCACCGAAGTCCTGAAGGGATGGTCAACATTGCCCCCAAGCTAGGCCAGAAGGCCCTCGGGTGTGGTGGGCACAGGATAGCAACAGGTTGGTCTGAAGGCTTGCAATATGGCATCCACTTCTGCATGGAACAACCCAACGGCAGGCTTGGTCCTCACGCCTGTCCCTTCCAGCCCCTTTCCCAAACAACTGCAACCCCAGAACCCAGGACCACTCGCCTCCACCTTCATCTCAAACCTGCAGGACTCCAAAAGTTCCAGCCACTTCCCTCAGCCTTCTGCACTCCTCCTCCCTCAGGCCAATGGCACCCTTGTCCTCTCCAGACCAGCCAGCTCCTATTACTGGGGAAAGAGCTCCTGCCCTGATTCTGCTGAAGGGTTCTGGCCTGACTTTGACCTTGAGAATGGGAACCCTTCCCCTTCAGTCTAACCTGTCTCCTCTCCCTCAGGACCTCCACTCATAGAACTTACTCACTTGCGTTTCCTAACAGGGGAGACACATTTCACATATGGGGAAACTGAGGCCCAGAGGGAGGAAACTTGCCCAAGCTTCCACATTAGTTTCTGACAGAGGTGGGGCTGGGTGCCACCTCCTGTCTCCTGGCCAAGGCTCTTCCCACCACCCCCTCAGCCTCTCCCCCACCAGTCAGTGAATCGCTAGTTCCATGACTGTAATAGGCTGTTCCATAAGAAAGGAACAGTGTGGGAGCTGCCAGTCCCCATGCTCCACGTGACGCTTCATAGGGCATGGTAGGATATCCAAGCTCTGAGAAGTCCTGCAGTAAAGAAACCATTTCGACTTACATAACCCAGCATTTTCGGACATGGACACTCCCTATTTTGGCTGGCAAGCCATACAATATCCTGAGAGCACCCCCCATGGCTGCCCCACCTCTCCTGCCAGGAGTCAGGCAAGGCTGTTAAGAAGGTTCATGTGTCCTAAAACCCATCACTCCCTGGTAGTCAGAACAGATGATCAGAGGATGGTCCAGTCTCTGGGGGTGGCCAGGCTGGAAGGGACAGGAGGGATCATCTGATTCCCCCCTTTCTCTGAATGGTCCCTGAATGTCACCAAGTGGAGGACCAACTCTTGCAGCACCTCTCCACTGACAGCAGATAACTCTTTCCAAAGCACCTGTCCCACCTTTGTTGCTGGGTCCCTGAAACTGTTCTGCATACTGAGTCAAGGAACCTCTGGAGCTTTCAGCCCTTCCTAGCTCTGGCTCTATCACAGGGATCCCACGGAACACTCTGCTCCCTCTGCCCAGGGCTGGCCCCTTGGAGATCTGAAGGAGGACTCACCTTCTCTAGTGCCATCAGCCTTGCTCTTGGGTTAGAGTCTTGGCCCCTCCTCATCCTGGAATAATGCCCTAAGCAAGCCTTTCAGAGTCCCAGGAAGCCCCAGCTCAGAGAGGGAGATGGTGGGAAAGGAGACCGGGCCATCGGCTCTCTCCTCCAGCTCTCTCTGTGAGTTCCACTGTGCAGACACCTGCCTCTGGATGTCCCCAGGTCAGACATTGATTGATTGATGATTCATTCACTCATTCCATTCTCATCTCATTCTCATTCATTCATTCATTCAACTAACGAACTAAATAGCATCTCCGCAGCAGTCCTGATCCTAGATAGGCATGGGTTTTGTGTGTAAAGTAGACATGGACTCTGCCTCCAGTGAGGTCATGGTCAGGGGAGGAGCAGCTAAGCTGAAAGTTAGGATCTGGGGTGATGAGGGGGAGAAGTCTTTAGGACTTTGGCAGCATGGGGGAGGGCCAGCAAACGGGCGGAGAGCAGAAGGAGGGGCAGTCCGACGGAAGGATGCTGGCCAGGCAGGAAGAGACCAGCGTGTAGTATTTGATCCTCATAAGAAGAGCTGGAGCCTTCATTCCCAATGAGAAACTGAGGCCCGAGGGGTCATGGAACAAGTTAGGGTCAGCTCTGATTCCCAGTTCCTATGCTCCATCTTGCCGTCTCCCATTAAAGGAGCAGCATGAAAATCATATGCAAATCATAGCCTAGACTGGCTTTGAGCCAGGAGCAGGTACACCGTTAGGCCCTAGAGCAAGTGTGCGTCTCTGCTCTGCTGAGCGCTCAGACCCACCCAGTCCTAGGGCTTTCTGGATGGTGGCATGAACCCCAGAGGAACCTCCAGGGAGCCTCCTGCCCAGGACCCTCCCTTCAGGTCCTGCTACACAAAGCTCTTCATGGCTCACTTTCTGTCCTTTTCTTTTCCTCCTCCCCCCCTCAAATCCAAGCTCCCTTCCTGACCTTTCAACTCTCCTGCCATCACCGAGCTACTCATCCCACCTGACTGCTGCTTGTCCAGGTGCCCTTCTTACCCAGCATCTCTGGCATCCTCTCCTCCTGCCCACTCACATGGATGCCCTCAGAGTTGCTTCTGAGTGTTCACCCCCATCCCACTCAAGGACCACATACAGGGCTTCTGCCACGTCCAGTCTGGGGAGCATGGACCTGGTTTCCAGAGACTTCAGTGCAGTAGAATTGGTCCTGGGGTTGGCCATTTGGGAGGAGGCAGAAAGAGGACATGGGCCAATTTAGGACAGATGTTTTAATTCAATAGCAGGAAAAAATGTGTAATGTGACGTCCTGGGGATTTTTGCTCAGGATGACATCCATGCTGGGATGGAGGTGTAGCTCAGTGGGAGAGTGCTTGTCTAGTCAGAGAGAGAGAGACACAGAGAGAGAGAGAGAGAGAGAGAGAGAGAGAGAGAGAGAGAGAGACAGAGAGAGAGAGAGAGAGAATTAACAGTTGATTTCATTTAAAAAAACTTTATTAAATAAAAACACAGCCGGGTGTGCACAGAATGGTAGGGTAGACTACACTGGGACATGCTCTGTGGGTGTGCTCGCCCTTGGGGGAACTGGGGATATCAGTTATAGTGTGAGACTTTTTTGAAATCTTTCTTTTGCCTTAGAAATACACCTAAAATTGTTTTCTGCTTAACACCAGAGCAGTGCTGTCCTATAGAACACTCTGGAGACATGGAAATGTCCTATCTCTGCACTGACCGATTAAGTACCCACTAGCCTCTGTACAGTGGCACTTGAAATGAGACTAGCTGGACTGAGGAACTAAATTTTAATATAATTTTGATTAAATTAAATTTAAATAACCACATGTGGCTGGTGGCTACACAGGAAAGTTGGATGGCACAACTTTCCTGTGTAAATGTCTTGTGAGTCACATAGGTAAGTTAAGCTTTTCTAGGGCCACATTTTAAAAAATAAAAGGGAACCAGGAACTGGTGGCTCATGCCTGTAGTCCTAGCTACTCAGGGGGCAGAGATCAGGAGGATTGCAGTTCAAAGCCAGCCTGGGCAAATAGTTCACAAGACCCTATGTCAAAAAAAAAAAATCACATAAAGGGGCTGGTGGGGTGGCTCAAGGTGTAGGCCCTGAGTTCAAACTCCCGTACTGCAAAAAGAAAAAAAAAAAAAAAAAAGGAAAAGGAAACAGAATGAATTTTAATAATATAGTTAACCCAGTGTATCCAAAAATATTATCATTTCAATGGAGTATAATAACAGTGAGACATTTTACATTGTTTCTTCATGCTAAGTCTTTACACTTACAGCATTTACAAATATATATATTTTATATATGTACATTTTTTTTTCCAGTAGTGGGGTTTGAACTCAGGGCTTCACACTTGCTAGGCAGGCGCTCTACCCCTAGAGCCACACCTCCAGTGAATTTTAATCATTAAAATGAAATGGAACAAAAAATAAAGTTGTAGTTAATTTCCCCCAGTACTGAGGCTTGAACTCAGGGCCTACACTTTGAGCCACTCCACAGTCCTTTTTTGTGATGAGTGTTTTTTGAGATAGGGTCTCATGAACTGCTTGCCTGGGCTGGCTTTGAACCGCGATCCTCCTGATCTCTGCCTCCTGAGTAGGTAAGAATACAGGCGTGAGCCACCGGCACCCAGCTTTACACTGCTTTTGCTTTCAAATTTAGGTTAATTAAAATAAAATGGGGCTAAAGATATAGCTCAGTTAGCACTTGCCTGGCATGTGCAAAGCCCTGGCTTCAATTCTCCAACATTATAATGAGTAACTAGTTCATTAAAGTGGGTGCCTCGTGACTCTGGAGGCAGAAATTGGGAGAACCGAGGTTCAAGTCCAGTCCAGGCAAAACGTTAGTGAGACCTCACCTCAGCCAATAAAAATTGGGCATGGTGGTGTGCGCCTGTCCTCTCAGTTACAAGGGAGGCATAAATAGAAGGATTGTGGTCCGTGTGTCCAGGATGGCCTGGGCGTAAACATGAGACCCTATCTCAAAAATAAAAAAAGGTCTGGGGCTGTGACTCAAATGGCAGAACCTGCCTACCAAAACCAAGACCCTGAGTTCAATCCCTAGTACAGCACCACCAATAAATAAGTAAATAAATGAATAGATAGATGGATGAATTCAGTTCCCCAGCTGTACCAGGCCCTTCTGCAGTGCAGCTAGTGGTTATGTGTCTTTTTTTTTTTTTTTTTTTTTTGGTGGGACTGGGGTTTGAACTCAGGGCTTTGAGCTTACAAAGCAGGTGCTCTGCTACTTGAGCCACATCTCCAGTCCATTTTGCTCTGGTTATTTTGGAGATGTGGTCTCTTGACCACATCTGTGTCCAGGCTGGCCTCGAACCACAGTCCTCCCGATCTTAGCCTCCCAAGTAGCTAGGATTACAGGTATGAGCCACCATTGCCTGGCTACTCGATATTTATTTTTATTTATTTATTTTTGCGGTGCTGGGGTTTGAACTCAGGGCCTACACCTTGAGCCACTCCACCAGCCCCTTTATGTGATGGGTTTTTTTTTTTTGATGTAGGGTCTTGTGAACTATTTGCCCAGGCTGACTTTGAATCTCAATCTTCCTGATCTCTGCCTCCTGAGTAGCTAGGATTATAGGCATGAGCCACTGGTGCCCTGCTGATGTTTATTTTCATGTGGCCCCCTTCCCATGCTTGAGTCCTATTGATATGCCCGGAGCTGCTCCATGTTGTTCCAGGGGCTTTGTGTACCTCCTGCTCTCCCTGTTTGTAAATTTGAGAAGCCCAGCTCCTGGTTGGGTGATCTCTCTGTCACTGCCTGTCCCCACTTTGGGAATCTGGTCCATGTGTATAGCCCACCACCTCTGAGGAGCTGCAGGATACCACACCATGGTCATGGTTTCCTTGGACAAAGGAGAACTGCTCATTCCCTCATCCTCTCTGGGGCTGTGAATGGTGACTTCTGGCCTTCTTGCGCCAGCAGTCCCCGGGGCCCACCCAGCTGTTTCAGTCCCCGGCTGTGGAGCTGGGCATAAGTGTCATGTGGGCCCTTGGGGCCTGAGAGCAGTTCTTTGGGCCCATGTTCTGACATAGCATCCTTTCTCACCACTGTGGTCAGGTCTAGAATTTGTCACCTCATGAGCTCTGTGAGGTCAGGGACAGCATCCACCTCATTTACTGCTCTGCCCTCAGCCAGAACAAGGTGCCTTGACAAGGAAGACCACCAGTACCTATTGGGTGAATGAGTACACCAATGATGAGGACATACTTTAAAAGCTGTGCCCCGTTTGCCACCAGTCTGCTCTTCCAGCCTCATCCCCCAAGCCCTGGGTCCCGGCTCCACTGCTCTCAACTTCTCTATTTTGCCTTCGCTTAAACTGTCTCTTTGACCTGGAGGGCCTGCCTCTTCCTGTCACCTGTCAAAATCCAAGCCACCCTTTCAGCTCCCTAGTTGTACCTCAGTATTGCTACCCAGAAGCCTTTGCCTCCCACGTTGCCTTGGTTCCCTTCTTTGTACTCCTCTCCTTGCCCGTTGCTGGAACTTCTGCCATTGATACACCTCCCTGGCCTGGGTGAGAATCACTTATGCCCACCTTCCAGGCAGGCATGTGGTAAGCACCCACTTATGCCAGCCCTTGGTGTGCTAATGCCTGACGTAATTACATGTAAGCAGCTTTGGGGAGAGGGTGCGGTTCTTATCTTTTATGACAGATCAGAAAACAGGCTCAGTGTCCATAGTGGAATGGAGTCAGGATTTGAACCCAGGTGGCCAGGTTCTACAGCATAAGCTCTTAACCCCCAACAGAGATAATCGCCAACCCTCCCCCCATAGAATAAAGCTGTACCTTATTCATTTTCACTCCCTACCCCAGCCCAGTGCTGTCAGGGCGGGTGACCCAGGCAGGGGCCCTGAATCTATAGGTTAGGAAGCCACACCGCCCATTTGTTGACTTGATTACCAGACTTTGGCTTCCTCCCACACAGGGCGTCACTGAGGGCTACAATGGCACCATCTTTGCATACGGCCAGACAGGCAGCGGGAAGTCCTTCACCATGCAGGGCCTGCCGGACCCTCCATGCCAGAGAGGCATCATCCCCAGGGCTTTTGAGCATGTGTTTGAGAGCGTCCAGGTATGGGGTTCCCTGAGGGGAAGGCAGGGCTGGTGCCACAGACAGTCTCCAGGGCACCAGTGGCCTGAGCATAGACTGGGGGTCACCAGCAGAGTCTGGTCTCAACCTGGCACAGGCCAGCAGAGGCAGGTACTGATTTCTGGAAAGGTGGTGGTAGAAAAACTTAAAACTGAAAATTCTACTCATGCTTTATCTGGCCATTTTTGGACTTTAATGTTCATTGAACATCTCACGTGGCTCTGATGGCTCTGAGCGTTGTGGTGAGAAGTGGTTGAACTGTCATGGTTTCCCCTTTTTACCGAGCGATTGCCAGCCAAGGCTGTGTGAAGTCCTTTGCGTAATTGTCTCACTGGACCCCAGACTGGTCACCACTCATTGTGGTGACCCCCCCAGAGACATCAAGGGGCCAGGAGAGATGCCAGGGACCAGCCCAGAGCCAGTGGTTGGTCCTGGGGGCAGTTGCTGGGCCTGTAGCCTCAGTTTCCCTACCTGAATAAAGGGGAGGCCTCTTTTTCCTTTTCCATGATGCTGGAAGAATTGTGCAACTTGGGCAAGTTCAAGGGTTCACCGAGCTGGGGAGGAGGGCAGGCAGGGCAAGATGGTGGTAGGACTCCTTCTCCTGTGATGTCTGGCTGTAGAGGGCTCTGGCCTGGCAGCCAGGTGGGCTCCGCATCAGCTGTCTCTGTGTCGGGTCTTCTTCCTGCAGTGTGCAGAGAACACCAAGTTCCTGGTCCGGGCCTCCTACCTGGAGATCTACAATGAGGACGTCCGTGACCTGCTGGGGGCTGACACCAAACAGAAGCTGGAGGTGGGTGCAGACCTGGTGCAGGCAGGTGGCCCTGGCTATGGCAAACCAGCATCAGGAGGTGCTCCCTTATCCTGAGGGAATGGGGGTTGGTTCAGACCAGAGTGGGGACTTTTGAACTTGAACTTTGGACTGTCCTCAGCTAGAGCCCATGTTTGTGGGGAGGGATTAGTGAGCCTTCCCCCAATACACAAAATGGAGACCAGTTCTCACCCTGGGCAGTGCCATCTCTCCATGTTGAAACAGATTTTATTTGAGAAAAAGCTTCCACTTATAAAATTTTCAGAATTGTAGTTTGAGGCCAGCCCAGGCAAAAAGTTAGAGGGAGACATCTCAGCAAAAATGCTGGGTGCGTTGGAGAATGCCTGTCATCTCAGCTACACAGGAGGCAGAAGTAACAGGATACCAGTCCAGGCTGCCCTGTGCAAAACAAGAGAGACCTTACCTGAAAAAAGCTGAAACAAAAAGGCGCCGAGTTCAAACCCCAGTACTGCCAAAAAAACTTTTTTAATGAAAATCTAAGCCCTTCAAGCTAAAAAGAAGGTATTAATGATGATCACTTATTAAGCATTTACTGTCTACTGGCTGCTTTAGATTCATTATCCCATGTAATACTTACAGTAACCTTGTTGGGGAGATAACATCTGCGATTTCCCAGTGTGGAAGGGAGACTTGGAGAGGCCCTTTAATTTGTCTAAGTTACATCCTGCAGCAAGTGATCAAACTTGGATTCGAACCCAGGTCTGACTCAATGTCAGATCTCAAACATCCATTGTACTGCTCTTGCTGAGCTCAGATTTTGGGTCCTTGTTCCTTTTTGAAAAGGGACCAAGGACACCTGATGCTACCTCATAAGATTGTCATGAGGATGGAAGAGGGTATCGAGGATGAGCATCCAGGCGTGTGTTGGCACATGGGAGGTGCTCAGTGTGGGTGGGAGCTCTTTCATGTTACTGGGACTCAGAGAAAGGCCAGTGAGTATGATGAGGTTGCCAAGTGGAACTGTTGGGAGACAGAGTCCAGGACAGATGGGTGGATCACAACAAAGCAGGTTAGGGTGGGCTTAGCACACATTTCATAAATTGTCCTTAGTCTCTGAAAGACTGGGATGAAAGAATGTCACCTCACAGCAGCAGAGAGCAGAGTTGGATGTTTGGAGGCTCTTTTCAGACAGGCAACCTATCTGCTTCTGGGAGCACAGGGAGGTCAAGACACCCGCCAGGCCAGGCATGGTGATACACACCTATAATCCAAGCACTTCAGAGTCAGAGGCAGAAAGATCATAAGTTTGAGGCCACATAGTGTGACCCAGTCTCCAAAAATAAGAGAAAGAGAGACCTGCCAGGAGTGGAGAAGATAGCCAGTGAGTGGCCAGGTTGGACTCAGGGCTGCCCTTTGGCTTTGGTGAGAGGCATTGGTCATTTCTCCCATGTGGGGCTGTACATGCTAGGTGGGGTTGGTCTTGTCTAAAGAGGAGAGGTGGGCCATCCTTGTCCCCCTCCAGCTCTGGCACTTCTTATTTGACCACTCCTCCATGCCCGGGGGGCAACAAGCCAGTAATTCCAGCTTCGGGGAGGATAGTCAATTCATTCAGCAAAGACTTACTGGGAATATCCGGCAGGTGCCAGAGTGCCAGGCACCAGGCCACACATTGCACCACACCCACATGGAGTTAAAGGTCCCTGCTCCCCCAGTCTCCATCCAGACTGGAAACCCCAGCCCTCCTCTTGCAGCTGACTCTGCATGAATGTAGCTCCATTTTGCCCTCTCAGTGCAAGAACCTCTGCCACCCACCTGACATCTCTCCCCATCTTCTCTCCTGGAATGATGAGTCACAGCTCAGCCCCCGCCCAGGGAAGTAGGCAGAGGAGGTGATACAGGATGCTGCTCCTTCTTAGCAGCTCCAGAAGGCCAGACTGTGGGGTCAGGGCCCTGTCTGTTTGCAGAACGTTGACCAACTGCCCCAGGGTAGCAGGGGGCTCTCTCCTTCACTACCCTGGACTCTGGGAAGGCCTCAGTTACCAGGCCCTTGGTAAGATGGCTGCCTTAGGGACTCCCCATGACAAATGTGCTCCATGAAACACACCTGGGGGACCAGGCCTCTGACACAATGGCTCGTGGGTGATGTGCGGGTGTCTCTCCTGGAAGCCTCTCAGCAGCCAAAGAAGGAAGTCCTGCTCTTGCTCTTATCGTTTGTAAGAGTGTTACTGGAAATTGGGTTCCTTGATCTCAATACCAATTCACAAGTAACAAGAGCTGGGTTGGGGGGGCGGGGGGAGTAAGGTTTATTGATCATCAGATACGAGGAGGACAGGGAAAGTCAACCTCTCAAAGCTCTGTCATCCACTTCTGAGAGAAAATGTCATTTTTAAAAGGGGAGTTCAGGGGCTCAGTTCAAGTACGTGACAAAATGCATGCCCCACAGCAGTGCCAGCCTTGGTTCTCCAGGTGTCCAGTGCCACGTCTTCGAAGCTGTATGTGTTGTCTGACAGGTTTACTTGTCTGGTGGTCTGAGAGAGATAAGGGGTAGAAGACTGCCTGGTTTAACTGAAGAGTAAAGGGAGTTAACCTGGGGCTCTCCAGCATGTAGACAGAGGGGAAAATGTCAGTCTGATTCACAGTGGAGTAAACTGACCAGCATACAATCTGGTTACACCAAAAGTTTTCCCCTTTTGTGGTCCCCAGTTACAACAGATCAAGAAACTGAGGCTCCAGGCACCTACCTACAACTAGCCCAAGAGCACAGAATCAATAGAGTGGAGATGGATTTGAATTCATGTCCCGCTGCATAAGCTCCTAACCTGTACTTAACACAGGGCCTGATAAATTTTATAATTAGAGGCTGTTAGAACAGTGACAGCCAACAAGAGATTTGGGAAGGCAGAATTACCTCTCTCCCCCAGCCACTATAAACACTGTCCTGGAGCCCAATCCAGTAGTGCTTGGTGGGGCCTGAGGGGGCCTTCTCCCACTCCCTGTGTGGGCACAGTGAAATCAACCGCCCCTCCTAGACCTGGACCCTGGTCATATCCCCGCTTCTGTTCCCCTCTCCATCCCTGCTGCAGCCCAGCTGGTTGCTATGGCAACCTGGCTGGGCCTCTTGCAGCCAGGATGAGCAGTTACCAAGGAACAGGCATACAGCTGGCGGCCATCGCTCAGCACCTCCCCGGGGCCAGCATTAGGAGTGGAGAGGGGACAGGACTAGTGGGAGGGGTCCCCTGGGAGTATCTGGCGTTGAAGGACAAGCCTTCCTGGGCACAAAAGTAGTGGGGGACCTCTTAAGCCCTGGGGTTGCTCAGGCCAGAGACACCATCCTGTGCTGTCTGACCTGCGTCCACTGAGCCCTGGTTCCTGCAGAGCTTCTTTTCAGATCGCTCCCTTCTCATTCCCTACAGCAGTCTTGCAGATGTGGGGTTTATCGTCCTCATGTCACAGATGAGGGAACTGAGGCCCACAGGAGCAAACTGACTTCCCCCACCAGGTTTCTGGCCCAAGTTCTCGTGACTAAATGGGAAACTAAATAGATTGTCCCTGAAGCTGCAGGCTACCAGCCAACCCTGGGGTCAGCCTTTTCACATCAAGCTGCACTTCCTGCAGGATGCTCTCTGTACCTCGTCTCTGGAGCCTTCTGTCACCTGTGCCAGCAATAATAGCTGTGTGGCCTTCAGCAAGTCTCGTAACCTTTTTGGGCCTCTGTTGCTTATCCATTCCATGGAGCCCAGTCCTTCAGACTGAGTCATTGTTCATCCACCTCACACCAGAGCAGATGGGACCAGCTGTACCTCCCCCCACCCCACAGCCACCCCACCTGAGATCCATCTGGGATCCTTGAAGCTACGTGGAGCAGTGCCTCTGAGCCTGCATGGCTCTGAGGAGCAAGCGGGTCCATGGGCAGGCAAACAGCTGCTGTCTAACTCATTCTGCTGTTGTCAGAGTGGTTTTATTTCCTCTTATACTTGAAAACTACTTCATTTCACAGTGCCGTGTGAACAACAGAGCACCCTGGCTGCCTGGAAAGTGGGCAGAGAGCATGAAACACACTGACATCCTCGCCCCATTTTGCTGAGGGCTGGACCCATCTGAGCTGTAGGCTTGCAGGAACTCTGAGCCACAATGGCCTTCAGCTGCTGAGGTCCAGGACTTGGGAGCATTCCCATTGCCTTGGAGGGGAGGGGGTGATCAGGAGCCTTGTGGCCAGGATGAAGGGGACAGCACTAAGAGCCTTTGGGTGACTACAGGGTCTGTCCCAAAGAGCAGAAGCACCCAGACTGAAAACCACCTTTGCAGTAAGAGTATTGATTGTAACAGTACTAACTGGACAGTACCTATGTCACTGTGCTAAGCACTCAGTGTGCCTTATTTTACTTACTCTTCTCCATATTCTCTATGAAAGAGACACTTCATGCCCTTTTTACAGATGTGCAAACTGAGGTGCAGGTAAGTCACTGGCCCAAGGTCCCACAGGAAGCAAGAGGCAGCTGGCTCTGCCTGAGCAAACTCCCTACCTGTTAGAGGGTAATGCAGGTGTGGTCTGGAATGGGTCCTTAGGGTGTCAGCTCCTAGGAGGCAGGAGGTGCTGGCCCGTCCCGACCCGACCCGTTCTTCCCGCCCACAGCTGAAGGAGCACCCGGAGAAGGGCGTGTACGTGAGGGGGCTGTCCATGCACACCGTGCACAGTGTGGCCCAGTGCGAGCGCATCATGGACACCGGCTGGAAGAACCGCTCGGTCGGCTACACCTTGATGAACAAGGACTCCTCGCGCTCTCACTCCATCTTCACCATCAGCATTGAGATCTATGCTGTGGGTACGTGGGCCACACAACCTGAGCCAGCTTCCTGCCCTGCTAGTCAGGACCCTTCACCTTTTGGAGCCTTTGAGCCCCCTGGGAACCTGTGCAGAGAAGCCCTAACTGCCTGGGGGAGACTGTTGAGCTCCCCCCACGCTGGGCCTCTCTCTGGCTTCCTGCAATAACAATAAGGATTTTAACAGTAACACTGGTAGCTCGCCTTGAGCACTTACTCTGTGTCAAGTAATTTAAGTACATTGTCTCACTTATTCCTTACAGTAACCCCTTGAGCCAGATTTATTATGCCCATTTTTCAGAGGAGAAAATCAAGGCCTCCCTCACAACTGAAGGGTCAGAGCTGGGATACTATGCAGGGGTTGGGAGGTGTCTGCCCTGAGGGTGTGTATCATTCTGACCTTGTGGCTCCTCCTTTTTCTTAGTAACATTCTTTGCTCTTCAGTCATCTGCTTTTTCTTTCTGAAAGAGTTACTGAGAAAGAGAAGAGGAAGGAGAGAACGCATGTTTATTTTGGGCACCTGTAGGCTGGGTGCTGTGTTAAGTGCTTCCTTGTTCCATATAACCTATCTCTTTTCACATATGAGGAAACTGAGCTCTGAGGGGTGAAGGAGTCCCACAGTCACTAAGCACCGGAGCTGAAATTTGAACCTAGGACTCCCTGACACCAGGATTTTCCACCAATCTTACAGCTGCCTCTGAGTTTATGTCTGTCATGATTAGAACTCCAAAGAGCAACAGAGCAGGACCAGTGCAACTAGGAATGTAGTTCTGGGGACATCCCTGAGCCAGGGTCAAAGCCTGGGCCTGTGGGACCCTCCCACCACACTGTCCAGTCTAGTGCCCCGAGTGCAGGGCCATCAGCCTGAGTGTTCCTGGGAGAGGCCCACTTTGGGAGGACAGGATCAGTGTGGTCACAGCCTCAGGTGATGAGGCTGGGATGGGGTGGGCACCCGGCAGCAGGCTGGGTCAGGAGGGTGCAGAAGGCACTTTCGGAGCAGCCTGTGGGGCTAGAGGACAGTCGTGCTCATGTCTTTTCTTCGTGGTGCTGAGGATTTGCCCCACTGAGCTATGTCCCAAGCTCTTAGGTTTTTGAGACAGTGTCACTATGTAGCCCCAGGATGGCCTTGAGCTGGCCAACCTGCTGCCTCCTCCCTGAGTGCTGGGATTATAGGCGTCATGCCCTTTTCTAGCACATCTCTGCAAGGGTTAAAGTTGTCTCTGGCTTCTCCTTGCTATAAATGACGTTATGACAAACATCTTTGTGTACAAAGCCTGCTTGTGAGTCATATCCTCAGGTTAGATTCCTGAACCAGACTCTGGAAGCAAAGGGTATAGACATGTTTAAGGGTCTCGGCACATTCTGCAAAGAGCTTTCCAGAAGAGTAGTGCCAAGTTCCTTCCTGCTCCCTTTTAAGGGCCTGGAGACTCAAGGCCCTCACACGTCCATCTCTACAGAACTGTCTCCCCAGCTTCAGATTGTGGGGCCCATGCACACAACTTGGACCAATTCTGGTCTCAGCAGCAGGAAATAAGGAAGGGAGTACCTCCCCCATGCCGTCCCTTCTCCAGCTCCCAGTTTGGGCCCAGACCACTAAGTCAGAAACAAAGATTTTTATCTCCATCCCTTGGGAGCGGTGTATGGAGCAGTCCTGTGACTGGAAACTCTGAGTAGCACAGAGCAAACTGTCATTCCGTGAGTCCTTGAGTGGCACGTGCCAGCATGATCTGGAGCCCTTCCACTGACCCTTCCTGGTGGGGTTTAGCCCCATGTCACTGGGAGAAGGGCTGAGCTTTAGGATTAAGGGTGAAGTCATTTCCCAAGATTCACATCCACTAAGGGTTAGGATTGGGATGGGACCCTCCAGGGCCGTGTCCTGGAGCCAGTGCCCAGCTGTCCTGTCCTCAACACCAAGCTCTGCCCTAATGCACAACCCAGGCCCTACAGAGCTGACCTTGTTCTTAGGGGATCGGACCCCTGCTGCGTGTTGAGCCCAAGGAGACCCTGTCAGAATGTGCTGTCGAGTGACTTTTTTGCTTCCCCAGCAACCAGTCTTGGTGGGGAGCCAGGCACCCTGGTCTCACTGAGTTATTGTGAGGCTTTGAGAATCAGAGAGGTACACACAGCAAGGAGGAGGACTGGGCCCCAGGGTCTCGAAGTGGATGCTTTTTGCATGAAAGATCACAACTTCCAGATGATTCAATCACATTTCCTGTCTTCTGCCACTGGCCTCACAAGTCTGTAGGAACCATTGTGGTGGGCCAAAGGAATCCTGCTGCTCTCAGAGGACAGTCTGGAGTCCCTCTGCCCCGACACACTCTTGCTCCTGTACTCAGACAGCCCTGGGTATTGATCTTGGCTCCTCATCTTGGCATCTGTGTGACCTTGAGCAAGTTACGTGGCTTTCTGGGCCTCAGTCTCCTCATCTGTAAAGTGGGCACAGTGGTCCCACCTCCTTCGTGGGGCTCCTGTTCTGAAACGAGACTCTCGGTGGGTGGTGGGGCCCGGTGCTGAACTGCCCTCATCTCTTGGGTCTCACCCCAAGTTCCTCGCCCCCGTGTTGTCTGCAGATGAGCGGGGCAAAGACCACCTCCGCGCAGGCAAGCTGAACCTGGTGGACCTGGCGGGCAGCGAGCGGCAGTCCAAGACAGGGGCCACGGGGGAACGGCTCAAGGAGGCCACCAAGATCAACTTGTCACTGTCAGCGCTAGGCAATGTCATCTCAGCCCTGGTGGACGGACGCAGCAAGCACATTCCCTACCGGGACTCCAAGCTGACCCGTCTGCTGCAGGACTCGCTGGGTGGCAACACCAAGACACTGATGGTGGCCTGCCTGTCCCCTGCCGACAACAATTACGACGAGACCCTCAGCACACTGCGCTACGCTAACCGAGCTAAGAACATCAAGAACAAGCCGCGTATCAACGAGGACCCCAAGGACGCGCTGCTGCGCGAGTACCAGGAGGAGATCAAGAGGCTCAAAGCCATCCTGGCACAGCAGATGAGCCTCGGCACAGGTGTGGGGAGGGAAGGGGCTTTGCTCCCTCCTCGCCCCGGATTTCCACCTGAAAGTCCCGGCTCCAGCTCCCCGTGGGCGTGTCTTTTGAACACTGGGCGAGCCTGGGCGGCTTTTGCCGGTTGGCAGCAGCCTCTAGAAGAAGCCAGTCTGTCCCCAGGCTGGCCGCCCTCCCCCGCCTCTGGGCTGCTTATCTGTCATCCACCTGTCTGCCTGCTGTCTCTGTGGCAGAGTCGTGATCTTAGCAGCTGGCTGACTCACTTCCCCATGTTCCACCCCTGCTCCTAATTGGGCACCTTGTTATTGCGGCTCCCACGCCCAGGCATTTGGTAGAAACCCCAGCCTGGAGCACAGGCCTGCAGGGCCCTTGGTTCTGAAGGTCTCTGGGCCGAGCTACAGCACAATCTTTTTGGGGAGGGGGCACAAAAGGGCCTGGGTTCATCAGCCTCTGTCCATCCATTCTACGCCCAGCCCTTCATCTGCCCCCCGCCCATCCACCATCAGCCCACCCTTGTTGTTTATTCATCACCTGCTTGCTCTCAGCTCACAGTCTTCCCACCCTCCCTCCCTCCTTCCATCTATCCACCCATCCTTCCGCTTAATCCACCTACTGTCCACCCTCCCTCCCATCCATCCATCCATCCTAACCACCCACCTTCCCTTCCTTCTATGTATTTACCTGTTTATTTTCTCCATCTTGACATCTGCCTCTTCTCTGCCTTTCCACCCTCCTCCCACTCTTCCATACACTGTTCCCCGAGTACTTCTTCCATGTGTGGACTCAGGCTGACTCTGGGAACACAGAGATCGTTGTGACCCAGGCTCTGCCTCAGGATTTGCTGGGCGGGGGGGGAATGCTAGCTACCTTCACATGTAAGGTAAGACTCTAGGGCCAGCAGCAGCACGGGCAGGAAGGAGCACGTAGCCAGTTCTGTCTGGGAGGATGTGGCCAGTCAGGGAAGGCTCCACAGAGGACCTGGTGACCAAGCTGAGTCTTGGAGGATGAGAAAGTTCCTTGTTACGATGTGTGGCCGGTGTGTGCAAAGGTGCACAGAATGCTGAGGGGCCTGGGGGGCTGCATGTACCGCTGGTAGAGGGAGGCAGGGGTGGAGAGGGAGGGAAACAAGAACTTTCCTCCTCTGTCCCTTCTCTGTAAGGGGAAGACGAGATGGAGTGGCAAGAGCTACGGGTGCATCCTCAACCCAGCAGCTACCATGTGTCCAGCCTTCCATGGTGGCACAGCAGGCCTGCCGGGGGGTGGAGGGGGGCAGTTCCTGGGTTAGAAGCCTGGAGTTCAACAGGCTTCTGGCAGTGGCCAGGAAGGTACCAGGTGACAAGCTGAGATGGAGCAGTCAATAGCCAGCTTACTTCCTGTCCCCCGGCCTCCATCTCCTCCTAAAATGGAGAGAGTGAGGACACTGGCCCTGCTTTTGCTGTGGGCACTGGGGAAATTACCTGAGGGGCTGGCGTGACCGGCCATGGGAACCCCACAGATGGCATGCTCGCTCTGAGCTGTAGCGGAGCCTTGAGCCACGCTCCAGGAGAGGCCCACTCAGCCTCTTTCGTCTCTCTTCCCCTTTAGCAGAGTATGAGTCATGTCTGCCTCTGCTGGCCCCAGGATTTCTCCTCTGCCCCCTCACCTCTCCTCCAGGCAGCCTGCCCCATCCCCCCGAGGGGCCCTTGCCCCTGTGAAATGCAGCCATCAGCCTCAGGCAGGCCAGACCACTCCTGCTCTCTCAGCATCACTTAACTCACCTGGCCCTCTCTTCTGGACCCTCCCTCCCCGGATGCCCTCTGTCCCATTCTCCTCCTGCCTCCTCAGTTCAGCAGTTGCTGCTTCCCACTCCCGAGGATCTTCCTACCCTTGACTCCAATGCCCGGTCACCCCAGGGTCACTACTATATCCCCTCCTCTCTCTACGGGAACCTGTCCTTACCTCCACTCCAACCTCCACTCCGCCTACCCTCACTCACTTCTCTCCAGCCATGCTTGGGTTCCCAGTGTAGGTCCATGCTCGCCCCAGGGCCTTTGCACTCACTGCTCCCTCTGACTGGAAAGCAATTCCTCCTGGTCTCTGCCTGCCTCTCTCTCACTTCAGTTCTCCACTTGCATCTTGCCTCTAAGAGGTCTTGCCTGACTATGGTACAGAAAGTATCGCCTTTTTCCTGTCTCTACCTCTGAGCATCCCCTCTTCCTTGTAATCCCCTTGTCACATTCTACTCATTTTGCTTATTAGTTTGCTTGGGAAAGCTCAGCGTGGGTGCAGAATTTCTTTCTCTCAGTGCCACATCCCTAGTATCCAGAACATCCAGGTGCTACGTGCAGATTTGTTGGGTGACAGAGCGGCCCAGCATTTTATACACATGTTTGAATCAAACTCAACACTTTCAAGTCTTTCCCCAGTGACTGCATTGTTCTCTTCTGGATTCTGCTTAGTTCCTGAGAACCATGTACCCCTGGCTCTTGATTCATCTCTTTTTCCCCTGCAGCCCTCCCACCCAGTCAGGCACCCCTGGACCCTGTCCAGGTTGAAGAGAAGCCTTTGCCGCCCCCTGTGGTCCAGCATGACACAGAGGCCGAGAAGCAGCTCATCCGAGAGGTGAGGACAGGCAGACAGGTCCAGTGGGAATGGGAAGGCTGCAAGGAGCCCCAGCACCATCAGGTCAGCATGCTGGGATTTGAACCCGGGTACCTGACTCCAGACTGTAGTCTGTGCAATGTCGGGGCCTGTGTGGGGAGAGCACAGAAGGCTTGAGTGCAGTCATAGGAGCCAGGTCTCGGTACTGAAGGAAGGGGTGGTTAGGGGTTGGTGGAAGCCGAGAAGGACTATGAAAAGGCCAGGTGGTCAGAGGGAGTGGAGTTGCCCTCAGCATTCACCACTAAGCCCAGACTGAGGCCAGGGCAGCCATTTGGTTTGTTGTGATTGTGGTGTTGGCTGCCTGGGAACACCTGGGTCCTTTCACACATGTGTGTTCCATCATCTCTGGGAAGCAGCAAGGCAGGTAACACTGAGTAGGGCACCTGTACAGCCAGGCATGGCTCCGTTCTGACCCCAGGCTTAGGCTGACTTCAGAAGCCTCTGCCATCAGAAGGCTGACTCTGAGATCTGAGCATCTGGGGGGTCAGAACTTGATCCTTTAGGGGGAACTGGTTTTTCCTGATGGGGGACCTGGTTCCAGGCCCAGGCTGCTCTGCGAGGGTCTGGCCTGGTTGTATCCTTGAATGACGCTGTCTGGCTAAGGGCCTGGAACTGGCTGAGGGGCAGACCAGTAAATCCTGGGACTCCAGTCCTGTAGCATGAGGTTCTGGGAGCTCAGCTGCTCCCTGGGCCTTTGAATCTACTGATCTGGTGCAGGTCCAGGTGTCTGGAGCCCTGGGCCAGCTGCTGGGGGAGGGCTGAACACAAGCCCACAGGGAAGAGAAGCCACAATTGCAAGCTTCCACACTATGTCTAGAACTCCAGCATGACAGTGACTTTGCTCAGAGATGTCTAGACTTCCTCATCCTGGGCAGGCTCCCTAGCGGGCGCCACCGCCCCCTAGTGGTCCCCAAGGAGAAGAGCCTTATTCCAGGCAGGCCACTGTAAGGTGGCTTGGGAGGGTCCTTCTGCCCTTGGGGAGGGAGGTCATCTGCCCCATCTCCGTACCCTGTGGACATCAGAGACCATCAGAGGGCTCTGCCTGATCCGCCACCCTGACATTCCATTACTGACCCTGGAGTCTCTGCTTTGAGCCACTCTTGGAGGCAGGGTTTGGGTATCTGATTTCTTCGCTCCTGGGGACTTGGATCTATCAGGCTGGGGACCAGGGAGGAGGCCCCTCTGTATAAGGAGAGACAGCTCAGCTGGGGTCTGAGGTGTGCTAAGCTGCAGAATTGTCGGTAGTAGGCGATCTGGACTAGAAAATTCCAAGGGTCATTGGCGTTTACTTTCTACAAGTGCAGTTCTGATGGGCTCTGTGGCCAGGGGCAGGTGTCCCCTGTCATGGACCACCCATGGACCGTGGTGGCTTGCCTGCTGCTTCACATGGACTGTATGGGCTTTATTGTTTTGGTTTGGTTTTTGAGACGGGGGTCTTGCTACGTAGCCCAGGCTGGCCTCGAACTCTCCATCCTCCTGTCTCAGCCTCCCGAGTGCTGAGATTACAGGTGTGTCCACCACGCCAGGCTTTACTTCACACAGACTGTGTGAAGGCAAAAAGAAGGCTGGTCTCATCACTGGGGTGTGTAATGAGCACCAAGCAGGAGCTTGGGTCTGGGCTTAGCCCCAGTCCCCACTCACCCTCAGCGAATGTGTCCTGAGCTCCTGCTGGGCACTGGTGCGAGGCTGGAGAGGCTTGTGGGTGAGGGGCAGGTTACTGCTTTAATTATGGAAGGACGGTTCTGCAGAGCGTCAGGAAAGGTCTGGTACCGGGCAGTTTTGTCCACGGGGAGGTGTTGTGTTGGAGGGAGGTGAGGGCTTGAGGGAGGCGTTGAGGTACAGGAAGGGGGTGTGAGATCGGGGGAGGGGTGCGGCACAGAGGGAGGTGGGGGACTAAGGACATGCATGTGGATGCGTGGTTTTGGTTTGCTCATGCATGTGTGTGCACACGTGTGTGATTGTACGTGCGTGCCCTTGTGTGGGATGCTGGGATGGGAATGGCGAGAAGGCAGAGGAGAGAGTGGCTGGTGGTCAGAGAGCTGCCTTGTGGTGCAACCTCCCTGGGCCTCAGTGACACTGCAGGAGTGACCGTGAGGCTCAGGTGCTTCTGAAGGTGTACTGAAGCATGCGTCTCAGGATGCCCGTCCTATGGAGGAGGCCCTTAGTGAACCTCTAAGATCATGGAGGCTGAGGAAGCCAAGTGACAGTGGCAGGAGGTTGAGAGGGTGGTGGGAAAAGCCTCTTGGAGGGGGAGGGGTTGGAGGCCCTAAGGTCTGGAGAAAACAGATATGTCTGGGAGTGCAAATTACAAGTGGCCCAAAATGTGGCAAGAATGAGGGGTGTCCGGGTTTGGGGCAAGCATAAACCTAGTGTGCACAAAGCCCTGGGTTCAATCCCCGGCATCACAAAAATAAAAATTTTTTAAAAAGGAGGGGTGGTCAAGGGGCTATAGCATCATGTCACATGGGGGCTTAGATGTCTCCATAAACATGGGAAACTGCTGAAATCCTACACAGAGGAGGAACTGTATAGTGGGATGCATGTAGCAGTTTGGGGCAGTAGCAAGAGTGGAGGAGGAGGCCAGGTGGGAGGCTTTTGGGACAAGAGCCAGTGGTGACAGCAGAGATGGAGAGGGAAGTTGATGCATAGAAATGTATTTTGTCATTAATGGGTTGAGACCATTGAGTAAAAATGCATTTGTGGATGGGGAAAGGTCCTCATGACATAGTGTTGTGTGGAAAAAATAGATTGCAAGCACATATGTATCTCACTAGTCCATTAAAAATGTACAGAGAGCTGGGTGCAGTGGCCCATGCCTGTAATCTCTACTATTTGGGAGGCAGAGGTAAGAAGATCACAGTTCAAGGCCAGCCCCAAGCAAAAAGCAGGAGACCTATTTGAAAAATAACTAAATCAAAAAGGGCTGGGGGCATGGCTCAACTGGTAGAGAACCTGCCTTGTAAACCCAAGGCCCTGAGTTCAAACCCCAATGCCACCAAAAACAAAACAAAAAGATTCACTAGAACCTTCACTAGTGTGAAGTTTTCATGTCACTCTCTTGACTTGCTTGTATTCTCTGTACCCATGACTGGAAGGGGACCCCTGAAAGCTGAGTTAGCACTGCCCCCTGCATCTCCCCACCCATCCCAGGAATATGAGGAGCGCCTGGCCCGGCTGAAGGCAGACTATGAGGCAGAACAAGAGTCTCGGGCCAGGCTGGAGGAAGACATCACTGCCATGCGTAACTTGTATGACGTGAAGCTATCCACTCTGGAGGAGAGCCTGCGGAAGGAGACAGGTGCGCATGATCTAGGCTGCCTCCCTCCCTTCTAGTCACTGACATGAATAAAGCACTCCACACACCAGGCTCAGTTCTGCTTAATCCTCACAACAGCCTGGCCAGGCAGGTACCACAGTTACCCTCATTCTATAGACGAAGAAACCGAGGCATAGAGAGGGTAAGTAATGTGCCCATGTTTATAAAATGGAACCAAGATTTGAACCTGGGCAGTGTGGCCTTAACGCAGTGTTCTTACACATAACACTGCATCATAGTGGCTTGGCCCCAGGCTGGACCCAGCTCCAGGATGATTTAGAGGTATGAAGTGTCACCCTTGCTTAAGGGGTGCCTCCGACTTTTGAGTCTGTCTATTACCAAGTCAACCACAACCCATAAAGATTCAGTCATTAAGCCAGGCATGGTGCCGCAAGCCTGTAATCCCAGCTACTTGGGAGGCTGAGATCAGGAGGATTATGGTTTCAGGCCAGCTAGGCAAAAAGTTAGTGAGACCCCATCTCAACGGAAAAAAAGCTGAGCATGGTGTCGTGTGCCTGCCATCCCAGCTATGACAGGGAGTGTAAAACAGGATTTTGGTTCAGGCTGGTCTGGGCAAAAAGCTAGACCCTATCTCCAAAATAACCAGAGCAAGAGGGGCTGGAGGTGGAGCTCAAATGGTAGAGCAGGCGCCTGCCTAGCAAGTGAGAAGCCCTGAATCCAGTACCAGCCATCGGGAAGGTGATGTGGAAGTCTCTGCCTTCTTTTTGGCCTTCTAGGAGCCCCCCAGGCAGCTCCCCACAGCACAAAAACATCTGTTGGCACTGATGACGACCACTGAGCACATGGTTGGCACTGTTTGTGGCCATCACTTGTGTGCCAGGTGCTATGGGGGGAGCTTTAGCTGCACCCATCCTTGAGCGTCATCCCATCCATTGAGGCAGGACATGGAGTCCTCACATTCAGGTGGGGAAACCAAGGCAGGCAAGGTCCAGGCCACTTGGCCAGGGTATGGGTGTCATGTTTCAGCCAAGGGAGTCAGGGCCTTCCTTAGGGGACACAAGTTATTAAAAAAAAAAAAAAATGGATGGATGTAAAGGCGTGGTTTGGAGCCCCCTGAATTGGGGCCTGTGTGAGCAAACCCCCTTCCAAGTTGGGGAGACACCACTCCAGCTGCACCCACCCAGAAGAAGAGGAAGGGCAGCTTGTAGCACTTTTTCCTCAGACTGTAACCTCCAGTGTGAGTATTCAGCTTCCACTGTTTGGGCTCTGGAGTTGTGACATGTCCGCAGTGTTCATTTGCTCTTGGGAGTCTAGCATATTCCCTGGGCACTCCAGTGGGGCCCCTGGGCCTGTCGCTCAGGATGCTCAGCCTTGGGAGGCAGCAAGAGGCAGCCATGGGCAGCCTGCTCACCTGGAAGAACAGTGCTGAAGCAGGGCAGTAGGAGCCAGTGCTCAGTGGCTGGGGTTTCAGAGAGGAGACATGTTGGTGCTTGTCAGGGAGGGCTTCCTGGAAGAGGGGAAGAAGCAGAGTTTGGGTTCTGATGGGGTAAGGGCAGGAATGGCTGGCATGCTGGCTGTAGCTGGATCCTGGGGCCTGCAAGGCTTTCCCCCTGAAGTCAGTCTCTTGGAGATGGTGGCTTGGGGCCACCTTCTGGGCAGCAGTCCCCACTTTTGTCCCCTTTAAAACATTGCAAGAAGTTCTCCTTTTTGCAGAGGCTGTCCTGAAGGCAGAAATCCTCTACAAGGCTGAGGTCTTGTCGAAGGCTGAGTTTGCCAGCAGGTCCGAGTGCTCACCAGCTGCCCAGTACAAGATGGCTGAGAAGCCTGAGGCCCTCTGCATGCCCGACGCCCTGCCCAGTGATAAGGTCTCTATGGCCCAGGTTTCTCCCAGCTTTGAGGATCTGCTCCAGGTGGAGCCTTCCAAGTCTGAGGTTTCTTCTGGGTCCAATGAGTCGTCCACACTCGAAGACTCCTCTATGTCAGAGGCCTTCCCTGGGCCTGAGGAGCTTCCCAACGTGGAGTTCTCAGTGCCTGGGGTGGAATCCAGGAACAGGTATTTCTCGGAGGAGTATCTCAGCCAGGAGATGGCTGGGCCCCAGCTGGAGGGTGAGAACTACGTCCAGGATGAGAATTATGGCCAGGATGAGAACTACGTCCAGGACGAGAATTACAGCCAGGATGAGAATTGTGTCCAGGACAAGAATTACATCCAGGACAAGAGCTATGTCCACGATGAGGAACCACCCATGGCGCCCCTCCAGATATTATCAGGCCTGCAGGACCCATTTGCTGAGCTAGAAGCCAAGCTGGCCAGGCTGTCCTCCACCGTGACCAGGGTGGACTCGCCCCAGACAGACATCGCCCAGGTCCCTGAGCAGGTAGCCAATGTCACGTGTGATGCCATGCACAACTGAGCAGGCAGAGCTGGCAGGGGGCATGGGGTCACTGTGCATACACAGGGTTTCTCACTTCTGCTCCAGAAGCACCTTCCAGTGACAGAGGAGGCTGTGGGTGGGTGTGGCTGTGTCTCCCCTGGGACTTGAAGGGGTAGAGGTGGGGGTGGTGATAGGAGGATTCTAGCCCAAACCTCTCCTCCTCCCTGCCCTCTTCTCCCCACAAGCACCCACCCGTGCTGGAACCCAGTGACATTGGTTCAGAGGCAGAGGTGGCTGATGATCTCCCACTCAGGCCTGTGAGTACCCTCCTGGCCCTCTGTGTATCTGGCCAGGCTCTGTCCAACTTCGTGTCCCCTCCCTTCCTGGGCCTCAGTTTCCTCATCCATGAGACAGGGACTACAACCCCTGCCCTCCCTGGGTTTGTAGCATGTGGCCCATGGCCAAGCAATGTTCAAACCGGAGGATGGTCACGCTGCTCGTGGTTGATATGAACCAGAGCCTGTTCTAGACAGTGACCTTGTGGCCCAGTGTCTGCTGAGGACAGAGCTGTAGGTCAGGCCTGGTGCAGCTGTGGACCTACTTTGGGCCTTTTGTCTTCTTCTTGGGGCAGGCTAGGGAAGTGAGAGGCAGCTTTAAATCCCCCAGGGAGAGTGAAGACCACCTGCCAACCTCTGGACTTGAGTACTGGATGGGGCTGGTATGTGCAGGCTCTCAGAAGTTGGTATGTGGAGTGGCTGGGGAGGACATAGCTAGAAAGTGACATTGAGGTGGGATCTAGACAAGAAGGAGAGGCCAGAAAAGAACAGCAAATGCCAAGGTCTTGTGACTGGGGAAATCTTGACTTTCTCAGTGACAAAAATGAAACCAGGGTCCTGGCTGGGTGGACAGGTGGGGGCAGGGAGCAGGCAGAGCAGACACAGCAACTGGGCAGGAACTAGACTTCCCTGTACATGTGCTAGCAAAGGGGTGCTGTGATTGACTTATATTTTAAGAAAATCACCCTGGCCACCACGTGGAGACTGAATCATAGAAGGGTAAGAGAGGAAGCTGGGGGACCATTTTGGAGGCAGTAAGAATTTGGTATAATTTAAAAAAAAAAACAAAACTAGTATAGGTTGAGCATCTTTCCTGTGAAAATTAAAATCCAAAATGTGATCTCTGAAACTTTTTAAGCAGCATAAACCTCAAAAATCTTCAGATTTCAGAGCATTTTGGATTTCAGACTTTTGGATTAGGGATACTGAACGTGTATCTTCTCACCAAGGGTGATCTGTGAAACCTCAGAGGGAGAGATGTCTCCTCTGGAACTGAGGGTGGGCAGTGAGCTCATCCTTGGGGCAACCTTCCCACCTCATCTTGGTTATATACAGGAAGCTGACCTAGCCCCAGAAGTGGCTGAGGAGGTGGTGTCCACAGCAGAGCCCGACGTGTGGATGGAGTCCGAGGCCCAGGAAACCCTAGTTTCTCAGCCTCAGCCCCTGCAGGCCACAACAACCATGAGAAGGGAGAGTGTGGGCGTGGAAGTGGCTGTACTGACCGACGAGGTGCTGCCCATAGTGGATCAGCAGCAGGTGCTGGCCCGGTGAGCAGCATAGCTTGGGCTGGAGGGAGCTTGCAGAAGGGCAGGAAGGAGGTGTGGCCCGGGCTGGATGGGAGGTGGGGCAGGCTGGGATCTTCCTGTTTTTCTGGATTTCTGCTGAGCCCACACCAGGCTCTCCCTCCACCATGGCCAGGGTGGTCCTGTCCTCTCTCCAGGGCAGTGGGGCTGGCAAGATGCCAGGCAGGGCTCTGCCCTGTAGCTGTACCATCGCAACCTGTTTCCAGTCAGGCACCTGCTAGGAAGCAGCTAGCTTTGAGGAGAAAGCAAAGGGACCATCCGTGGCCCAGCCTTCGTAGGGCCTAGCCTCTGGGGTTCCAGAAATCCCAGAGTAGGGTCACTCCAGCCACCTGGCCTCCAGAGCCAGAGATCACCTGCCCCAGGGACAGGCCACCCCAGACACCATCTGGAACCTCCAGGAGAGCTGGGCTTTTCTCATTTGCTGCCTGGCTTTGTGTGGGTCACTTTTCTGAGCCCTGGTTCTCACTGCTGTCCATGGTGATGACAACCCATCTCCATGGCAGTCAGTTGGGGCTCAGGCTCCTCCCAGCAAGGAGACTCCTCTCCCAGCAGACACAGTTCAGATACATACTGAGCAGGTACTGCATGCTGGGTCCTGGGAGGCCCAGTGGATGGGAGGTGGCCTTGGCCCTCAAGGGCTCCTGCTCCTAGGAGAGGCCAACACTCAGGCTGAGAGGGCTGTGCCCTTGGAGCAGTGGGGAGTGAATGGAGTCCACAGTCACACCACATGGCTCCCATCTTGCCTCCTCTGAGGCTTTGGCAGACTTTCAGCCTCTCTGGACTTTGGCTTGTCGCCTGTAGAATGGGTGTATTACTAGTCCTGGCTGGAGGAGCTCATGAGGGACCAACCGGGCAGTGCCCAGAGGCAGTAGCCCAGCACCATGCATATAGAAGGCCTCGGCCCACGTTTGTGGCTGTGTTCACAGGAGGTCTGGAGGGGAAGGTCAGGGAGGGCTTCATCCAGGGGGCACCTTAGCAAGGTGTGCAAGTCACATGCCTCGGGGGTGGCATTCTTGATACAGCGTGGCATCTGCCCATGTGCCCAGGGGGAACCACCTGGGAGAAGCTCTGGCAGGGAGGGTTCAAGCCGGAGTGAGTGAGGGGTTGCAGGGGCAGAGGGAAGGTCCCAGATATCCCATGGGGTGTTGACAGGGTCCCAGAAGGGTTTTCAGCAGAGTTGGGGCTTGGATACAGTCCCCTCTGCCCTGGCTGTCATCATAGCTGGTGGGAACCAGGCTGCTCAGCTTAGAGCTGCTTTCCCTCCTTGGACCTGGCCTTCGCTCCCTTTCATGCGGCCTGCTGATGTCTCGCTCTCATCCCTTCCACTCCTTCAGAAGGAGGCAGAGCCTGAAACACTTTCATTGGGCTTTATTAGGCACTGGGGGTTCCACAGAAGCTTCCTGCTGTAGTTATTTAAAATCTGGGTCCCTAGCCTAGTGTCAGTGGCTCATGCCTGTAGTCTTAGCTATTCAGGAGGTAGTGATCAGGAGGATCACGGTTCAAAGCCAGCCCTATGAGACCCTGTCTCAAAAATACCCAATGCAAAAAACAGTACTGGTGGAGTGGCTCAAGTGGTAGAGCACCTGCCTTGCAAGTGTAAGACCCTGAGTTCAAACCTCAGTACTGCCAAAATAAAATAAAATAAAGCCTGTACCCCTACTGGGCAAATCTCTATGAACATTTTAAGCACAGGGCATAAGTTTTTTAATGCATTGCACGTCATTTAAACAGTGAGCACAGAATGCATTGAGCATTTTCACAGTCCTGGGTGAGTTTAAAACACACTGGGAGCCTCTGAGCACAACCAGAGTCCCTGCTGTGCTGCAGGAACTGTCAGCCTTGGGGATGTAACTGGTAGGGATGGAGGGAGTCAGCTCTGAGTGCACAGAAAGATTCTCACCCTTCTTGTGACTGAGTGCCCAGGCCTGTGGGTAGATCAGGGAAGGAACCCTGATTCCTATCCTGAGCAGAAGCAGGGTTCTCAGTGCCTCAGTTTACCGTGCTGTGAAGTGGGGTTGCAGGGAGCACTTGCTGGATGGGGCAAGCACCCAGGTCACATTTGGGTTCTTGCTTTCCCCTCAGCTTGCAGCTGTTGGAGCAGCAGGTGGTGGGTGGGGAGCAGTCCAAGAACAAGGACTTGAAGGAGAAGCATAAGCGGCGCAAGCGGTATGCTGACGAGCGCAAGAAGCAACTGGTGGCAGCGCTGCAGAACTCGGACGAGGACAGTGGGGACTGGGTGCTGCTTAACGTCTATGACTCCATCCAGGAGGAAGTGAGGGCCAAGAGCAAGCTGCTGGAGAAGATGCAGAGGAAGGTGAGGCCCTGGCCCCGGCACCCCAGCCCCACATCTGTTCATCGCCACACCTGCACAGGCAGGCCTCCCTCCACTCACGGGCACTTAGGAAGCTGTCAGCCCAACTATGTCTCTTGCTGGAGGGCCGGAGGAGGAGCCATGTCTGGGCTGTCGGGCTGGGGACAGAGTTCAGTCTATGAGGTTACTCGTGGGACCCAGGCCCCGTTTTCTTGTGGGCGGGTCATTCTTAGCCTGCGTTCCTGGCTGGTGGCCCACTCCCAAGACAGGCGGTCAGGGACTCACTATTTTAAAGTCAACTGACTAACGCCCTTAATTCCATCTGCAAAGACTTTTTTGTGTTTGTGTCACAGTGAGGCTTGAACTCAGGGCCTACCACCAGCAGCCCTTTTTTGTGGTGGGTTTTGTCAAGATAGGGTCTCTCAAACTATTTGCCTGGGCTGACTTGAAACTGTGATCCTCCTGATCTCTGCTCCTGAGTAGCTAGGATTACAGGTGTGAGCCACCAGCCACCTTTTTTCCATAACACTAGGGGCAAAAATCAGGAGAATGAAAAGTTCTCTGAGTGTGTGTGTGTTGGTGGGGGGGACTTTTAATTCCACTTCAAGGGCACCTGGCTTCTAAATACCCCCAAATGTCCTCTGAAGCAAGCCTGCCAAGGGCTGCTCCTTCTTGTCCTGTGTACACTGTAGTCTGTTTCAGATCTTTTCAGGATTTCTCCATTCGGAGGTGGACCTTCTCTTTTGGGTAATGAGGTTATCCTTCATCACCTTGTTCCTCTCACCGCATGCTTTCCTGGTCCTCACCACTCATACCCCTATCAGAGGCTGTCAGCTGTAACTTTAAGCATAACCATACTGTTCTCTGTGTCCTGGTCATGCTGTGTGCTGGCCCAGGTGTTACCAGACCCAAGTCTGTCTGCTCTCCACTTGAGAGCCAGTTCTCAAAAGACCAAAGCTGGCAGTACCCTCAGCAGGTGTGGGGAGCTCATCCCTCCCAAAGGACCAAGTTAGGGAGCTGCGGCATGAGAAAGGGGGGCATGGGGACAATGACCGGGAAGGCTGTGCTCTGGGCATGGTCTTTGTCATCTAGGTCTCTCTTTCTCTCTCTAGAAATTATTTATTTACTATATATATCCATAAAGTTGTGCAATTCATTTATATATGAATTTTAAATTGGCGGATGGTATGACACATGGATTATAACTCAATAAAGCTATTATTTAAAAAGATACGCAGGTGTGGTGATTCACACCTGTAATCCCAGCTATTTGGGAGGCAGAGATCAAGAGGCTCTCGGGTTGAGGCCAGCCCAGGTAAAAAGTTAATGAGGCCCTATCTCAACAAGTAAGCCAGGCCTGGTGGTTCATGTTTATGATCCCAGCTACAGGATGCTGTAGGTAGTGGATCATAGTCTACTACCTGAGGCTGGCCCCAGGCAAAAACCTGAGACTATCTGAAAAATAAGTAAAGCTAAAAAATTGGCTGGGAGCATGGCTCAAGTGGTAGAGTGCCTGCTTAAGCAAGTGTGAAGCCCTGAGTTCAAACCTCAGTACTTCCCCCCAAAATATTATTGTGCCAGCCATGATAGCACATGCCTGTAGTCCTGAATACTCAGGAGACTGAGACAGGAGGATTGCTTGAGCCCAGGAATTAGAGGACTATTATGAATGATTCCAGAGGTACAGAAGTATAGAACGATGATTACCATGTATGTCCCATCCGCTTAAGAAACGGAGCTGTAATTCCATGCCAATCCTGCCACCTGGGTCAGGTACCCTCTGTGCTGAGGGAGGTGATGGTTTAAAAGTGATGGGTATAGAGCCATGTTCTCTACCAGGCACACTGTACCTGCTGTTGGAGGACTAGACTGTGTGCACGGGGTCTCAGTACAAGGGGGGAAGGAGGGGGAAGAACATGTGGCAGACCTGGGAGGGGACCAGAGCCATCTGGGGTGTGCAGTGTTTGATGCATCATAACAACTTATGGCCCTGGGAGAGCGAGGGCTGCTGAGTCTGAGAGTTTATGTCTATGGTCGTCCGTAGCAAGGTCACCTGTGCAACTCTGAGACCTTCTAGGGCTTGGGTGACTGGTGTGTTGTTTGTGGACACTTTTTTTTTCTTGCAGTACTAGGAACCAAACCTAGGGCCTGTGTGTGCTAGGCAAGTGCTCTACCATTGAGCTGCATCCCCAACCAGTATATAGGCACTATTTTTTTTTTTGGAGACAGGTTCTCGCTGTTTAGGCCAGGCTGGCCTCAAACTCACAATCTTCCTTCTTCCACCTCCTGAGTGCAGGCTTTATAGGCTTGCACCATCATGCCCCACATGTAGGCACATTCGTGTGGATGAATGTGGAATAATCAGTAAGGCAGGCAGTGGGGTTGAGGATCAACTTTTCGCAGGGCTGTGGACACACTAGGTGCTCATAACTTGCTGGGGAGGGAGGGAGGGAGAGTGAGTGGATGGTGGAAGGCCTGGCGGGCTGGAGGATGGTGCGGATGAGGACCAGAAAGCAGGAGGTGAGTGAGTGGCTGCCGGAGGGCAGCTGGAGGACAGGGTGGTCCGTCGGATGTGAAGTACTGTTTCCTGCTCACTGCTTGTCATATGTCCTTGGTTTTCAGCTTCGGGCAGCAGAGGTGGAGATCAAAGACCTGCAGTCGGAGTTTGAGCTGGAGAAAATCGATTACTTGGCTACCATCCGCCGGCAGGAGCGAGACTCCATGCTGCTCCAGCAGCTCCTGGAGCAGGTGCAGCCCCTCATCCGCCGGGACTGTAACTACAGCAGCCTGGAGAAGATAAGGCGTGAATCGAGCTGGGATGAGGATAATGGCTTCTGGAAGATCCCAGAGCCCATCATCATAAAAACCAGCCTCCCAGTAGGTCAGGAGCTCGGCTGTCCCCGCCCTCTCCTGCTGCCTTCACAATTGCCCACCCTGCAGAGGGTCAGGGAGCCTGGCTTCTCCCTGCAGGCTGTGGGTGCAGTAGATACGTGGCCCCAGCTATCTGATACATTGGGGTCCTAAGACCGATGAAAATGGGTTGGAATTCTGGCTGCACCATTCCCTTGTGACATGGGGACGAGTAACAGCACTTTTTAAAGGTTGCTGTGAGGCTTACAACGTGCTCAGATATGTGTATGCTTTAGAGCGCTGCCTGGCACACAGTATGTTCACAGTCCACTGTCATTATCATCACCATTATTCCGTCCTTACAAGAATCCTGCAAAGAGCAATGATCACGACACTTGTTTTATACACCAGGGAATAATCTCAGTGGGTGACTCATCCAAAGTCACAGGGCAGTGAGTCGCAGAGCACAGATAGGACCCAGCTGTTTAGGTTCAGGCCTGGTTCAGCCTCTGCTTTGGCTTCTGCACCCCTGTGTCCCTCTCTGGCCTTCTTGACAAAAGAAGGGGCTGTGTAAGAACTGCAAAGACCCCTCTACCTCTGATGAGTCCCACAGTGGTAGGCTTGCTGTGGATCTTTGTCCAACCACAGACCTGGCTCTGTCATTTGGGGAGCTCTTACCTCGCTCCGAGGCCCCCTGCGGTCCTCTTCCATCAGTGTTTCCCCAGCCCTCATCTCTGATGTGATGGGTGGCCACAGACACCACCATCCCATTGAAACTCCAGGCAGCAGCCGCCTCTCTCCACGCTCCACCCACTTGCCTGGGAGCAGGGGACTGGCCCTCTGGCACCTAAGCCACTCTGGTGTCTTTCCCAGTCATCCCTTGGCTGGGCTGGGAAGTATCCTCCTGTTTGCACTCCCAGGACAGCGTGAGGCCGCCAGCAGCCCTCCGGCCCTGCTCTTCAGCCCTCGTTTTCTCATAGCAGTTTCAACTGGGCCACAGAACAAGCGGATCCGCAAAACCTCTGCAGCAGACAATGGAGAGTCCAACATGGTGAGGCCCGGGGAGGGAAGGGTGAGGAGCCAGGGGCTTTGTCCTCAAAGTGCTGTGGTCCGCAATGCCATGGGAAATTGGGCTGCTTTTATCTTGCCTAAGGATTGAAGCAGGGTGCTGAGGCTGCGCCCTCTTCTGTCACTCCACTCAAAGGCACTTACACTCCACATGACTAGAGGGACATTAGAGGGCTCCAAGTGGCTCCTGTTGGTCAAACCCAGAGGTTCCAGCTGGCATTCTTAGACCAAAATGCTCCTCAAAGGGTCCACAAGACCTAAGTTGGGACTCTAGAGTCATTTAATTTTCCTACCTCCATGTTTTGTAGTGCAACAGAAATGTGTACCCTTAAAAGCAGGGATCAGCAAGCCTTTTCCAAAAAGGACCCAAGAGTAAATATCTCAGGCTTTGTGGGCCACATGGTCTCTGTCACAACTACTCAACTCTGCCACTATGGCGCAAAACCATAAATAGACAATATGTAAATGAAGTATGTTCCAATAAAACTTTATTTACAAAAACAGCCTGCAGGCCAGATTTGGCCCATTGGCTGTAATCTGCAGATCCCTGCCTTAAACCCTTCTGGGTATCTCAGAACACACCTTTAAGGATGTGAAGCCATTCATAGTTGTTAACAAGTCCGGCCAAGCATCTCTGCCTGAGCAACTTGGGGACTGTAAGCAGTGTCCCATGCTGGCCTAAAGCTGTATCTGTGCTCGGACAGCTTTGCTTCATAAGGGAAAAGCTGCTGCACAAACAAACAAAAATCTTAACTAGACCGGAAAGGCTTATGCCAGAACACGTTCACTTCCAAGTGACACCAAAGTAAACAATCACAAGAAAAATAGGGTCTTCCTTTGTCCATGTAAGCAGACCCATTTCAGACGCGGTTGCATCTAGTCAGGGTTCTGGGTCTTGCTTTACCTCTTTTTTGTTCATCCTTTTTTTGTATGTCAGCTTCAGGCTTTCTCCACATGACGGGAAGACAGCTGCTAGCAGTTGGGATCCAAAAGGGCCCTTAAAATACCCTTGCACCAAAGTTTGTGGAAAGGTTCTGATTGGTTCTGCTGGGTCATAGCATACTCTTGGAGCAATTACTATATTCAGGAAGATACAGCTCTGTGGTTGGTGCACTCTGGGCCCTACATCCAGCCCTGTCGTGCAGAACACTGAATGATTGCCCACCCAAAGAAAGAGATTCAGACTGAGGCCAGGTCCATCACAGTAGCAAAGAATGGTCGTCTTGGGTGAGGGAAGGTGTAGTAGACGACTGCTCCGGGTGCAGTGATCATTAAGGCAGCTGTAGGCGGAAAGCTGCGGTGCTCCCTACGCTATGAATACACCGTGAGAGACCTAGGCTGCCCCAGGAGTCAGGGTCTGTGGCAAGGTGCCCCAAAGTGGGCAGTGACTGCTCCCACCCTGTGACACAGCCTGGGAGAGGCTCAGGTCCCTAGAGGCCGCCAGGTAGGGCCCCAGATCAGGGCTGCAGGAAGGGCTTGATTTGGGGACGTGGGATCTCAGCAGGAGGAAGACCGCTACAAGCTGATGCTCAGTCGGAGTGACAGTGAGAATACTGCCAGTAACTACTTCCGGTCCAAGCGGGCCAGCCAGATCCTCAGCACAGACCCCATGAAGAGCCTCAGTGAGTACCCTGCACCCTGCGCTTCCCCTCCCCCACCTCTCACCTGCTAGAGGTACCATGGGGGGGTGGGATTTTGAAGCCAGGTAGACCCAGGTTCTAAATTCCTATCCCTCAGTGAGCCTCAATTTCCTCAGCTGTAAAACAAGGGGCGTGACACCCACTTCATGAGATGAGCTGAATACCAGCCCAGCCAGGGCCTGGCACATAGCTGATACTCAGTACCATGTCCTTGGAGAGAGGTGCTGGTTTGACCCCAGTCTCCTCACGTGAGGGATGACTTCATCTCCCATAGAACCCCAGAGGGCAGAAAGGGCCCCCGAAACAAAAGTTTCAAGAATTGAAAATCGCTTTGTTCTTTTGCTTTTAAAACTAAAAGCAAAGCCCATAGAGCTTCCAGTACACTAGCAATAGAGAGCAAAGCCTCCTTCTATACTGAGATGTTTGAGACTAAGTGTAGCTGAGGAAGGGTGAGGGGAGAGGACAGGGAAGAAATGAACATCAGTTGTGTACCTGGCATTGTGTCCATGTTGCAGATGAAGAAACTGAGGCTCAGAGAGGTGAGTGGCTTGCTCAGGTGACCCTACTAGGAAGTGGGGTGCTGGGCTTGGTGCCCAGGTTGGAGCCTCAATTTGAAGCCCTAGCTGAGATCCTTTGGATGCAGATGTGATGCTGGGGCTCAGAACTCAGGCGAGCAGCCTCAGGGGGTCCAAGAGCAGGGCCAAGGCCTCTGGTTGGGTGAGGAGGAAGGCCCTGCACTGTCTGCATGTGGGTATCTCCTCTCTGCCCCACTCTCCTGGCTTACCACACCCTCTGCTCTCTTCTCCACAGCGCATCACAACTCGCCACCAGGCCTCACCTCCCCGCTCAGCACCAGCTCTGCCATGTCCCCCAGCCAGGTCCCTGAAATGCCTCACCCCCGGCCTTTCCGCCTTGAGTCCCTCGACATTCCTTTCACCAAGGCCAAGCGTAAGAAAAGCAAAAGTAGCTTTGGCAGTGAGCCTCTGTGATGGCAGCTGCCTGTCTCTCTACCTGTCCTTAGGCTTCTAGAAACTGCTAGGCTCTCCCAGGGCAGCCCCAACCAGGCCTCTTCCCCTCTCCCCTGCAGTGACCGGGGGCCAAGGGGCCCTCAGCCCTGGGAAGACACCGTCCTGTCCCTGTTGCCCAGAGAGCTCACTGCAGCCCAAGGCCTGAGCTCCTCAGAGGCTGGACCATTCTCCGAGGCCTGCCCCAGCTGTCTACACCGTGTCAGTGTTTCCATCTCCTCCTACCACAGAGCCCATGCTGTACCCATCAATGTGGGCCTCTATCTTGATGGGCTCAGAAGCCCCAGGCCTGCCTCAGGGCCTTCACCATCAGCCCCGAAGCCCCGATGTGGGCAGCAGCTACCATGTGGATGAAGCTCAACATCTTGGTGACAGATTCGTACCTCCGAGTGATCGGCCCCTTCCTGAGGGAAGCCCTGGCTGCAGGGTGGGCACAGGCAGAGTCCCAAGTGGTCCTTCTGCTTGACCTGCTCCTGGCTGGGCTTTGACCTCAAGAAGCTGCTTCACATTAAGCTGCCCAATAAAATTCCTTTTAGGATGAGCTTTCCTTTCCTGCCCTCTGACATATCATGGGGGCTCCTCCCAGCCAATCATGGGAAGCTGTCTCTGAAACAAGGGTTCCCCACTGCCTTGGCTTCCACAGCTTCTGTGGCTCCCTAGGCATTGCCAGCACAGAGATGCTTTTCTAGGCGAGTCTGAGCTTTCAAAGGGTCTGTGACCCAGAAAAGCAGAGCCATTCTTGAGGAATAATCCATGCTGAGGCTGAAGACAGCCCAGTGTTTGAACTCAGGGCCTCATACTTGCTAGGCAGGCCCTCTACCACTTGAGTCATGCTCCTAGCCCTTTTTTGCTTTATTTTTCAGGTAGGGTCTGGGTTTTTAGCCCAGGGCTGGCCTTGAATCTCAGTTCTCCTACCTATACCTCCCACTGGGATTATAGGTGTGAGCAACCATGCTTTGCAAGGGCCCAGGGTTTGACAGTCCTCAAGGCTGGGCTGGAACTGGGTGTTCTGACATAGCCAGAAACAAACCTGGGTTGCCCTGTTTGTGACCTCCCTGGACACAACCCTACCCTTGCTTATTGTGGGGTACCCAAAGCCTGGGGTTAGAACTGTGTCCCCAGCCTTATATCAGTAAGGATAACCCCCCCCCCCCCACACACACACAGGTTACTACGGTCAGGGTTTAATGAGCTAGTGGGTGAAGCAGGGGCACAGTAGCTACTCCCTTATTCTTCCTCCACTGCCTAGTTTGTATTACTGTGGTAGTTCTCTTTAAGTATGGAGAGGATCCTGGAGCTTTGAGATGGACTGTGGGGAGGACATGCCTGGTGGAGGGAGCCATAGGAGCAGAAGGTGGAGAAGTTTAGGACTCAGGTGCTAAAGGCTGGCCCCTGCCCTGAGCAGGATGGAAGCTTGGAGATAAGTTCTTCCTAAAAGGGAAGAGCCTTTGGATGCCCTGAGCTGTGGCAGGCCTGGAAACAATGGGTTGGCATCACTGGGTGGCAGGGCTGGGATGCAGGGCGGAGGCAGGGGGAACAGACGTAACTAGGGCGGAGCCCATAGGGATGGAAAGGAGGTGCAGTAAGGATCAGGTAAGGAGAAGCAACTTGGGTTGGTGGACAAGTGTCACAAGGCTACCTTCTCTCTCCACAATTTCCCTCGCCACTGTCCTCGTAAGTGTGGTGGGACCCAGAAAGCAGCTTAAGGTTTGGAGCGGCTTGGAATCCCTTTAACTGAAATCCGTGATGGGAATGAGGCTGGTGGTGAGCTGGGTGTACCCTGTTGTATTAACCTGGAAGTGGGGAGCCAGAGTTGCTGAGTGGGTGCTCAGCCTAGCGCTGCGTGAAACTCCTCAAAACCTGCCTAAGAGCCCGGAGGTGGTTAAATGGCTGTTGCAAAGGCACACAAATGAGGGGCTGGATCTCCTGTTTATCCCTGCTTGGCCAAGGAAACTAATCTGGCGACGCCAGGGGAACAGGGTTAAAGAGATTCGAAATTTGGGATCTTAACCCAGCTGATTCCAAGGCTAGAGCTTTTTAATCGCTAGGTCAGTCCGCCGCCATCATGCTGTCCCCAGAGTGGGCCAACAGCCGGGGGAGGACCCTTGGAGCCGTGCGCCGCAGGCTGCAGTTCCTAGGTCCTCTTATTCTATGTCCCCATCCCCTTGCTCCCTACATGTGAAAAAGTGGGCCAAGGTGACCCCAGATCCGGCCCTGGACGCTACAGCCTTGCCCCAGGAGGTCAGGACTGGCATGCTAAAGAAGTGGGTGGGACCCCAGATTCCTGCTGGAAGCAGGCGCTACACGCACGGCGGAAGGAAGCCTGGGCGGAGTCAAAGGGCGCTCGGCCTTATTGATTGGCCGTGGCTGCAGAGCTGTCTCTCTAGGATTGAGCCTTTTCCTTTGAGGAGGCGGGGCCTCGAGCCCCTTCCGCCAGTAGGGTGCCCAGAATCAGCCTCCGACCGGGGCACTTCCGGAAGTGCTCCCTGCTCCTTACCGCCAAAGTCGCAGCTCTAGTTACTGAACCCCAGAGTCACAAGATCACTTCCGGGTGATGCTCCAGGGTCACAAGCTGCGATTGGGCAACTGTAGACAGGACACTTCCGGTGTTCAGGTGCTGGGTTCCCTGGCAGGAAGGGAAAGATGGAGCCCTGCACCGTGGCCCGTGCTTGGTCCCACTTAGGGCTGCTGCTGCTGTTGTCCTTACTGGGCTCGGTCTGCGCGAGCGGTCCCCGCACCCTAGTGTTGCTGGACAACCTCAACCTGCGGGAGACGCACTCGCTTTTCTTCCGGAGCCTGAAGGGTGAGCGCGGGGTCCGAGGGGACGGCGTGTGAGGATCCAAGGTTGAGAAGGCGTCCGAGGGCATTACCATCCTCCCTCTTGGTTTCCTGGAGCAGGTTGCCCAGGTCTGGCCTGTCACCTGGGGTGGGGTCTGTAGCAGGGGTGTCTCTTTACTTCCCGTCTGCCTCAGCTCCCTGTCTTTTTGTTTTGTTTCCTCGTCCAGACCGGGGCTTTGAGCTCACGTTCAAGACCGCCGATGACCCTAGCCTGTCTCTCATTAAGTACGGGGAGTTCCTCTATGACAATCTTATCATCTTCTCTCCCTCGGTAGAAGGTAAGCGCTGCGACTCGCCTTCAGAACTGAGATTCGAGGCCCGGGACTGACCCATTGTTTTCTTATGGTTTCCGCGCATGTTCTGGGTCTCAGGATGGGTTGTCAGCCCTGGGCCCCACTGCTGCCACAGAAAGGATAATGTTAATTTCTAACGTGGGCTCAGAAGGGGAGGGACATCTTTCTAAAACATACACGTAAGGGCTGTGCAGGCAGGTGTTGCCATAGACCATGGAACTCGGGACCCTGGTGCTCTTTGGAGAAGAGAGTTTTCTCTGCAAAGAGCTTGATAGGTGAAGAGCCTTTGATTCAGTTTGTCTGTGTGCAGAGAATTGGCATGTCATTAATCTGGATTACTGGAAAAAGGCATTGCGCAGTGTCATAGTTGATTTTAGGACTAGATGCATCGTCTCCAGCTGAACAAGTCTTAGCAATAACCTGCCTACCATTTGAGGCTAGCTGGATGTGTCCATTAGCCTAGCAGAGGGTTAACAATAGAATAGAAGGAATATCTTTGCCAGATTATCTAATTTAGATTTCATTATTCCTATTTTATGAGGCAATCCACTCCACCAATGGACAAGTCTGTTAAGAACTTATTATACTGATTTGAATTTTGTCACTTTCCTACTTTATTTTGGGGTGTGGTACTCTTACTTCCCCCTGGGCCTTAGAGAACAAGTCTGATGCTGAGATGTATAGCCTTCTCATGGCAACAGCTGTGTGTCTCTTCTCCTGGCTAAGGGTCCCCAGTTCTTTTGGCTGTTTCTCTTTTGCTGAGCTTTTTTGGTGAGCATGCTAGATGTTCTTTTCTTTATTTGCTTTAGTTTATCTTTTTTCTTGAAGGACTCAAGTTTTCCCTGTCTGGGGTAAGATGTCCCTGTCGTCCCTCCCTTTGGTTGATGAAGCTTAGGAGGTTTCTCACCTTCTTGGCAGCTACTTTGTCTTCTGCAGTTCACATGAGATTGGGTTCCGCCACATTCCCAGGCTTATGGTCACTTACCATGCTACTGTCAACTGCCCTGCAGCATGTGCCTTTGGAATTGGCTTTTTGGAGGCAAAGTGTTGCTGGGTGGATGTGATGCAGACTGTACAAGTTAAAGTGTTCACATGTCTCAGAGGCTGAATGGAACTTTCGGTAGAGTCATTGGTGTTTGCCGAGTTTCTACTGGGTTTGGGACTCGGAAATAATCATGATTTGGTGGGTGGGGTGAGAAGTAAAAATAGAGACATGCTCTTGAGGTTCTTTCAGAATGTCTTTGAGGAAATAAAAATAAAGACTGGAAGGAGTAACCAAGCCTTGCGTTGGAGTATCAGATGAAGTGGAGGGATTGTCTGAGCTGTGCCTCTGGAGATGGCTGGGAAAGAAAGCAGCAGGGGGTGAGGTGGTGTGGAGAAAGTCAGGAGAGGCTGTTGTTGATGGGAGAAACATCAAAGAGCCTAAAACTGTCTCCTGAGTGTTAGTTGTTTCCATACCTCCTTCATGAATTCCACCACATTCCATATCACTTGTGCTACCAGTTACCAAATATTTTCTTCAAATTGACCTAAACTAAGGTGACATTTTAAAAGAAAGCCAGTGATGAACCTTGTTCATTCATGGAGAAAACTGAGATGGAAAAATAGTTAGCAAGGGGATAACTTGCTCTCCTTGAGATTCAACATTGTTTAAAACCCTGGCCGTACATCACTATTGTTCCTTTTTTCTGTCCCTGGTGAATGGGCCCCATACTGGGAGATGCCGCCCCATCAAACCCTCTCAGGCACTCCCAGAAGAAGGCTTGTATCTGTTGAGGCTTAAGGGAGGAGGTTGGCCCTGCCAGGGGGCCTTTCTGTTGTCTGTGACCATGTTAGTTGTGCAGACACTATCCTGGCTTCCTTCATGCACCAGTAGTGGGTTCCTTGAATCCACTGGGATAAGGAGGCTCCCAGGCTGTATGCAGTAGTGGCACAGGGGGAAGGGATCTGTAGCATTGCTCGTCTTGAGAAATACTGGATCCTTGTTCTGCAGGTGGGGAGACAGCTTGGGAAGGTGCAAGAGTTTGCCAAGTTTAGCTCTGGGCTGCTGTCTCAGTTTCATCATGATGGTGGTGTTCTTCCTGCCCTGCAAGGGCTTCTCAGCCCTTGTGGAGGTTATCCTGTGCACTGTGGGACGTTCGGCAGCATCCCAGCCTCTACCCACTAGATGCCAGCAGCTACTTCCCACCATTGTTGCAATAAGACTGTCTGCAGACAGTGTCCTGAGGGGCAAAATCACTTCAGGTCAAAAGCCACTGTACTGCACCAGAAACTATGTTTGAAGTGTCTGAGCATCTGCCTGACCTCTCAGGAGAGTGGCTGGATGGCTTTCCAAATGTGGGAGATGCAAGAGTCCCCAGGTTCGGGGTGGTTCTGTTTACTTCTGAAGGTAAGGTAAGTTAAGGTGCTTTTGTGTTTTCTAAAAGATTCAGAAGAGGGCTCTTCTAGTTGGATTTTTACAGAGTCATTTCATGGACTATTGTCCATTTTGTCTAGTGGATGTCTTAACAGATAAACTTATGTCTCTGGTTTCAGTAATTGGCACTTCTGATCTTCCAGTTACTTGGGTCAGACTCCTTGGGGCTTCCTTAATACTTTTCCTTTGGTCACAGCCACATCCAGCAGGCCCTGTGGCTTTGCCATTAGAGCCAGCAGGAAGGCCCTTGCCCCTCCTTCCTCTACCTCTGCTGTCTCGGAGCACTTTTCCCAGCCTGGCTTTCCAGCTCCTGACCTGACCCTGCTTCCACCCTCACCCCTGTATCCTCCTCTTCGCCCTGATGCTAGGACATCCTTTAGAAATAAAAACAAGGTCATGACTGTCTCCTGCTCAGAATCCTCTGTGGAGCCTGGTATGGTGGCACACACCTCTGATCCCTGTACTCGGGAGGCAGAGGCCGGAGGATCCAAGTTCAAGGCCAGTCTGGGCCAAAACAAAAAAACCCCAAAAAGATCCTCCAGTGGCTCCTATGCCACAGCCCTCCTGGTGTATACTTAAGTCCAAGGATAACTGATGACTGCCTTCCTTGTCTTGCTGGACTGCATCTCTAGCCCAGTTGCCTGGGCTTCCTGGAGCTGGGGTGAGTGGCCCCCTCCACATAGACTTTGCCTGGAGTGCTCTTGTCCAGAATGCTGCCTGGCTCACCTCTTCTCAAGTATTACTTGTTGGAAGTCTTCCTGCACCAACCTTGGCATAACAGCAGTCCCCTCCCCATGGTCCTCTTTTTTTATTTTCCCAGCATCCAAGAAATGCTGACTTATTTAGTGACTAAATGAACAACTAAGCACTCCCTCCATTACCTTATGGTCACCTTGGGGACGAATTGACCTGGCGTACCCCACCCATCCTATTTTGGAGGCTTGTGGCTATTGTCATATGACTGAATTGATGGGCCAGTAACATGTAGGATCTCATGGTTGCAAATGTTGGAAATGAATGAGCCCTTTTGGTGAAAAACAAAAAAAATCAGTATGAATGGTTGTAGATAACATGGGTGTAAATCTGCAGGATGAATAAAGGGAAAAGCTGTTAATGTTAGCAGTGCGTACCAGTGTCACGTGACAGCACCATCCACTGATTCAGCAGTGGTCTTTCTCAAACAGCCTAGACAGAGTGAAATTGATAGGCTTTGGAAAACTGTGTGGTGGCCCAGGTGGCTGCAGTGAGGTGGTATCAGTGTGAAAGGTGCAGGTGCTATTTGGTTAAGGTTGTGAATTGTAAGTGGAAAATGTAGAATATCTAAGAGAATAATGCTGTATGTGACTTGAAATATGTGCTCTCAGCTTGACAGATGTAATTAGATGTTTGGCTAGTTCATCTAACTTCTAAAAGTTCACAAATCTGAGCCATTACTTTGAATCTTCACTTGAGAATACAGGAGCGCGCACAGACCAGATGTGGTGTGGTAATCCTCCCTCTCACTTTGGGCCTGGAGGGGTTCCACTCAATGACTGGTATGACTGGTCTGCAAGGTGTCCCCCATACACACGCACACACACACACACACACGCACACACACACGCACGCACGCACGCGCACACACACGCGCACACGCGCACACACACACACACGCACGCGCGCGCGTTAGGCAGTGGTGACAGGATGCCTCTGCTCACTCACTGTATCTGGGGTCTTCGTTCAGATTTTGGAGGCAACATCAACGTGGAGACCATCAGTGCCTTCATTGATGGTGGAGGCAGTGTCCTGGTTGCTGCCAGCTCCGACATTGGTAAGTCTGCCTGGGAGGGTCTGGTGCTTTCTCCCAGGAGCTTGGAGAGTTCACACGTGGGAGCTGCCAAATTGGCATTTGCTGGGTGGGCCAAGGCCAGGGAGCAGTGAGAGAGCTGCAGGACTGTGTGGTCCTCAGTCTCTGCGCTTTCCTGTGATCAGACGGTAAGAACCCTGGATGGTTTTTTTAATTCATTGTTTTAGTGGCTCTTCCTTTTTAGAAAGAAGGAAAGTCAAAGAAAGCTAACTCCATGGAGCCTAAAGCTTTTGATGGACTATTGTTTTCTGTGTTTGAACATTTCAAAGATACCCAGTAGAGAGAGAGAGCAGTGTTCTCTGCCCAGCTTTGACAGTTAATAACAGTCCCAGTCTGTTTTCCTTTTTCTCAGTTGTGACAGATTTTAAACTTGTATTATTCTTAGTAGGTGAGCTTCTTGGTGGGGTAATGACAAGACCTGGAGGAACCTTGTGTTCCATGCTCATCCAGGGCAGCTTTGGCTGAGGGAATGGCTTGCTTCAAAAGACCTTTTGTCTGCATTTGTGGAGGGAGAGCACCAGGATCCCATTCCAACCCCTGAAGGCAGTGCCCAGCCTGATGAAGCTGTAGGGCACTGGGGCTGACCAGTAACAAGTGAAGCGTGAGGCAGCCATGACTCTTGGGCATGGGTGCAGTGTAAGGGCTCAGCCAGACATCTCTTGGGTCTCTGCAGGTGACCCTCTCCGGGAGCTGGGCAGTGAGTGTGGGATCGAGTTTGATGAAGAGAGAACGGCTGTCATTGACCATCACAACTATGATGTCTCAGACCTTGGCCAGGTAATCAGGCCTGTCACCTTTCAGGTTTTGGGCACATACAGCAAAGCTTGGGTTGGCCTAGAAACCAAGAGGAAGCCAGGAGGGACTCCCTAGCCTGACACCCTCCCCCACCCCTTTATAGCATACGCTCATCGTGGCTGACACTGAGAACCTGCTGAAGGCCCCAACCATTGTTGGGAAGGCATCTCTAAACCCCATCCTCTTCCGAGGAGTTGGGTAAGTGATGAGGAGGCTGGCAGAAACCTGGGAGAAGGGGTCACTTTCTTGGTGGGGAAACCAAGCCAAATTTAGGTTTATTTGGGGACATTCCTTAAGAGGATGTGGTGAGATTAATTTATTGTTACAACAGTAAAGAGGAGAACTAAATGTTTGGCCAGTGGGTAAGAAATGTCCCTGGGAAGAAATGGCCCTTAGGTATCCCATGTCCTGTGGGCTCAGCCCAAGTTAGTGTTGGGCTGCCGTCATTTTCTCCTGCAGGATGGTGGCTGATCCTGACAATCCCTTGGTTCTGGACATCCTGACTGGCTCTTCCACCTCTTACTCCTTCTTCCCAGATAAACCCATCACCCAGGTAAGAGCCTTTGCAGCCTTGAGCCTCCAGCTCCTGGCCCCAGTGGCAAAGCATCTTTTAATTGAAAATCAGAATGAAGCGAGAAATGTACTTTGTGAGGCTGATGAAGGGACAGGTTGTTGGGAGTGGGTATGAGGGGTGGAAGCAGTAGGACCCCAGGTTCCTCCCTCAGATGGGGGCATAGCACCTAGGTAGAAGTCTAGCCTGCTGTCTCTTGCTCTGGTGGCTTTGCCTTTATCCTGGCACTGCCCAGTGATTGCCTCCTTCTGTCCTCAGTACCCCCATGCGGTGGGAAAGAACACCCTCCTCATTGCTGGACTCCAGGCTAGGAACAATGCCCGGGTCATCTTCAGCGGCTCCCTGGATTTCTTCAGCGATGCTTTCTTCAACTCAGCTGTGCAGAAGGCCACACCTGGTGCCCAGAGGTACAGCTGGGCTTAACCCATGGTTTCTGGGTGGGAGAAGGAAGGAAACTTTAGGCTAAGCTTCTGAAGCTTCATGCCTTCTGAGGTTTTTCACATTATTTAAAACAGTTTTGTTGCTATCCTGCTGGTATTGGTACTCCATGCTTTTCAAGGGAGCAATGACTTATATAATAAGACCCCCTAATATCCAGCATTCCTTTTAGAAAATTGTGTGCCTAGGGCAGGGGCTATAGCTCATTGATAGAGCTTTTGTCTAGCATGCATGAGGCCCTGGGTTCTAATACCAGCATTGCAAAAGGGGGAAAAACTGCGATTTATTGTGTGGATGACACCCAGAGCAACACCACCGCCATCTTTTCATCATTTTCTGCATCCATTCTAACCATGGAACCTCTGTGTCTGAGGCTTCTACACAGAACCTTCCTTAGTGCACATTGTCCTAGTGGACACAAGTAGCCTGCCCACCGGGTACCATGGGGGAGAAGCTGGCCTCAGTGCTCATGTCTCTCCTCTCCCTCCTGCAGGTTTTCCCAGACAGGCAACTACGAGCTAGCTGTGGCCCTGTCCCGCTGGGTGTTCAAGGAAGAGGGCGTCCTTCGTGTGGGGCCTGTGTCCCATCACCGGGTGGGCGAGACAGCCCCACCCAATGCCTATACTGTCAGTGACCTGGTGGTAAGAGCACGTCAGGTGGGAGGCCCTGCTCTGCCCGTGGGGCCGGAATTAAGGGCAGCTCTGCCTGCAGGTGGCAGCGCTGCTCCAGATGCTGGCCACACCTGGCTAATCTGGCCTTTTGTCTCAGGAGTACAGCATCGTGATTGAGCAGCTCTCCAATGGCAAGTGGGTCCCCTTTGATGGTGATGACATTCAGCTGGAGTTTGTCCGCATTGATCCTTTTGTGAGGACATTTTTGAAGAGGAAAGGTAAGTGTGATTTCTGCCAGGGAAGGCCACAGGGTAGCTTGCATTCCACACTTTTCTCCTGTGAGGCTCAGCTAAGAAATGCTCCCAGAAACCTCTCCTTCCCCAGGTGGCAAATACAGTGTCCAGTTCAAATTGCCTGATGTGTACGGTGTGTTCCAGTTTAAAGTAGATTACAACCGGCTTGGCTACACCCACCTGTACTCTTCCACTCAGGTAAGCACAGGGGCAGTCCCTAGTTTCGGCCAGCAGGTGCCCTACTTGGGCCTCCCAGTGACCAGGGCCTGCCACCTCTGTCCTGTTGCAGGTGTCAGTGAGGCCACTCCAGCACACACAGTACGAGCGCTTCATCCCCTCGGCCTATCCCTACTATGCCAGCGCCTTCTCCATGATGGCAGGGCTCTTCATCTTCAGCATCGTCTTCTTACACATGAAGGAGAAGGAGAAGTCTGACTAAGCGGCCAGAGCCCAGACTCCACACAGCAGGGAGGCAGAGGATTTTTTTAGGGCGAGTTGGTGGGGTTTTTTTTTTTTTTTTTTTTTCCTAAAGTCGTGGGAAATGGCACAGTCTTACCTCAGTGGGGGACGCAGCACTGAGTACCAAGGGGCGGGGGCCAGAGAATAATTTTTATGTAAGTTTTCCACCTTGAATTGCTATGTGACATTTTTCATAAGTGCAGTCACTCCCATTTCTAAAATAAAAGAGAAACGTCCTCACATGTCACTTGGTCCCCTGTCATGCCTTGCCAGATAGAAACACTGTTCAGGAATGACTACATGAACTACTAAGTGGTTTCTTTCAATTTTGCAAAGACTGGCCTGTCTCAACTATTAAATGAAAGTGAATCCTAACTTCTCTGGGGCTAAAATAGTTGACACAGTTCAGGGAGCTGGGAATGTCTGGAACAGGAGCTCGAGAATGACAGCTCTGGACTGACTGAGAATTGTGTGGTTGAAAAGAACTTCAATTCTGTGTTCCCCTTGCTTTAGGCCATTGCTGTGGGCTTTTTTGTTTGTTGATTTGTTTTAGTGGGAGTGAGATTTGAGCTTGGGGCTTCACACTTGCTAGTCATAGCTTTGACTCAGTTCAGCACATACATACTCTGCATTGTAAATTTGTATTTAATATTTCATGATTCCTGTAAGAAAAGCTAGTCAAAAGGGAAATCAGCAAGTTTAAAATGCCACACTGTTAATTTCTGGGTCAGCAGTCCTGTTAGCTGTGCTAGATTAATTCGTTGCCTGAACGCTGAGGAAATACTTTCCTCAGCACAACACACCCCAGGCTGTTCCAGAAGGCATGCCATTAGTGTAGAGGCTCCCCACCTCCCAGGCCTCCTTTTGGTGGGCTTTCATGCAACTGAATTTACCGACTTGTACAATGTTTGCCTTGGCCCAGGTGGCTCATGCCAACTGGGGGCATGGCCTTTTTCAAACAAGCCACAATCCACTCTCTGTGCTAGGGGCAAATGTCACAGACTGCCATCCACAGTTACTGCGTTGGCCTGGATCCTTTGATGTGGAGCACAGGTCTAACCCCCTCAGCCTTTCTAACAGACTAGGACAACCATTCACCGTGGGAGGTCTGTGAGGCCAGAACAAGGTTTAACATGATAGGGCTTTCTGGTCGGCAGTGGTGCCAAGTGTGATTTCCCCCTTGGTGCAGAGAATGCATTCTTTTGGGTCTGTGCACAGGGTCGTTTCACATCTTTAGCACTGGCACACACAGGGGCCTAATGGTTAGTTAGCATTTGTAAGAGGCCTTGTGAATTCATCTAGACCAGAGATTGGCAAATTGGCTACCACTTGCAAGTTCAGTGGTTTTTACATTTCTAAATGGTTGGGAAAAAAATGAAAAGAATATGGTGACAGATGAAAAATCAAATTTCAGTGTCCACAAATAAAGCTGTGTTGGACACAGCCACACTCATTTGCTTAGCTCGTTTTTATGCTTCAGTGAGAGCTGAGTAGCTGTGACAATTTAATTTATTATCTGGCCTTACACACAGTTTGCCAACTCCCAATCTGGACCAATGTCGATTTTATAGGAAAAGAACTTAAGTCTTAAGTCCACACAGGTTATAGGATTTTTCCACAGCCACACAGCTAGAGTTAGCAGCTGCAGTTGTTCCTTTGCTTGCTAAACCTGAGGCCTTCTCTGGCTGAACAGCCCCTCTGCACCAGCTCGTCTCCTGACTCCCGCTTTCCAGGCATTCACACACCATAACACAAATGCTGCCAAGTCCTTTCAGTAACACATCAGTGACATGCGGAGGTGTCATGGGGCTGCCCTCCATGAGCAGAGGAGGAGGGCGGCCTGGCAGAGTGCGTCACACTCCAGGTTCGCCAGGAACAACATCTTCAGCTTTGTTTCCACGCAGCTCTTCTCTGTCAGCCTGTTGGCCAGTAACGTGGAGGCTGAGTGTTGGAGGAGCCAGCCAGTCATCCTGTCTAACTTCATATTCTTCCGGGCTAGAATATGTTCACCCCAGAGGCTCAAATGAAGCACATTTGCAGCCACACGGGCAGACGGTCTCTGCAAGAGGAAGGGAAGGTGGAGCTTATAACACCTGGCCAAGCACTCAGCACTCAGCCCACACCTGCACTGTTATACAACGTCACTTCAGGGCCTTTTCTTCCCTGCCGCAGCCCAGCATTGCATGGGGGATATGCTTAGGATACTTTCCACATCATGGAGGGCCCTCTGCCTCCACTGTGGACAGCTCTGTCTTGTCCTTAGCACTGGGACAAGGCGCGTGGTCTCATCACTTTGTAACTGGATGTAGTTGCTATTCTAACTCCTTTACTGAGCACCTACTATGATGGAGATGGCAGGCTATGTACAGTCAGGGCTCAGCGGTAAGCAGCAGAACAGCAGCCTGAGGCCAGACCTGCTACTCCAATTATGGCAGATTGGCCTTCTTCATGTTCTTCTACATTAATTTCACAGTGTCCAGATCTGCTCTCTGGAGATATTTTCCCATCTGTCTGTCGGGTTAGATCTCAGATGTTTCCATATGCTGTATCTTCAGTGAACAGTTCTCAAAAGTGCATCCTTTTCCATCTGAGTAACTTCCTAAGCAACTAAAAAAGCCAAGAGGACTGGGGGTGTGGCTCGGTGGTATAGCACTTGCCTAGCATGCATGAGGCCCTGGGTTCCATCCCTAGCACTTAAAAAAAGGTCAAGAAGAGGTGACTTGCTAGAATTCTAATGGTTTGGTTGTAAGTTCACCTACTCTTGTTTACACTCGAGTCTACTCTGTCTTCTGTAATTGGTGTTTACCTGTGTATGACTGTCACTGTTGTGTGTCCAAACCCGACATTCACTCTGGGATGTGAACTGAGGTCCCCATCCACACAGTTCCCTGGAAGCCTGGGAATGACCTCACCTTGCTGGCGTCTCGCTGGAGCAGCGCCCTCACCAGCTGCCTCATGTCTAGAGGCACTGATTCAGGCACCGCAGGGAGCTGTGCCTCTTGGTAACTGCGGCTTTCCAGGTGGGCCCTGCCCTGGCCGTAGAAGGGATTGGCGAGCCCTAAGATTTCATAGGCAATGGCTCCCACGGCCCAGGCATCAGCCTTGCTGTAGTCAATCACTGCCCTTGGGCCAGGACGGGCTGTGGACACCTGCTTGGAAAACAGAAGATGAGCTATTAGGCACTGGCAGGTCTGCCTGTTCATGCTCCTGTGTGTCACTTGAACCAGGAGCTAATCTATCCCCAGGAACCACCCAGAACTTGAATAAGTTGTAGCTCAGACCCAGAAGGATCTGCTGAGGCTGCCCAGTGGATGCAGACAAAACTTGCATCCCCTGGAAACCTGGGTCAAGGACCCAGGTTAAAGCAGAGCAGCGGGGAAGGGGCCTCTTGTCTTGTTCATTTACTGAGATTGGGAAGCATCTGTTGATGGTGGAGGATGGCGCATAGCAGGACTCACCTCAGGAGCCATCAAGCAGCCGTTTCCGCCCCGATCCACATACCAACTGGTGAAAGGCAACTGCAAACCGACACGCTCATCAGCCAGGCAGCAGCCAAAATCAGAGATCACCAGCCAGGGGCAACCATCTATGGAGGAGCAGCAGAGGTGAGTGGCAATTCTCTCTCCTGCCCTCTAAGAGACCCTCCCAGATCCTTCTGAAAACCACTACAAAGAAGTGGGTGAGCTGGGTCTGCTCACCAGAGAACTGTACAGGAAGGGCAGCAACAGGGACTTGGACATGCCTCCAGGAAACAAAAGTCCCCACGCTATCCAGCTACAGGACTAACTGGCAAAAGAGCTTGGCTCCGTCTAAATAACTCTCTAGTAACTGGAACTGTTCCAAGACCAAAGGAGCTGGCACTTGGCTCAGATGATCTCCAAGAGCTCTGATGATACCCTAAGAGTACTGAGTTCGATTTTGAAACCCCAATAAATCTAAGAAACAGGTGCATTAGGAATTATTTATTTGTAAAATCACTCAGCGTTCCTTTGAAGAGCCAATTATTTAGTCATTTAGTTGCACGATTATTTTTAAGTCTTCTAGTTTAAGAATTTATCAGCTAGCAGTGAGGAGGTAGAGGGAGGATCAAGATTTAAAAGCCAGCCTGAGGTACACAGCAAGATCCTGTCTCAAAAAAACCAAGAATGTAACTCAGTGCTACAGTGCTTGTCTAAGCATGGGCTAAGCCCTGGGTTCAGTCTCCAGGATCACACACACACACACACACACACACACACACACACACACACACACAATTAGATATATGAATCTGTTTCATATATATTCTTTCCCAGGTAGCCAGGTGTAAGTGAGACCCTACCTTGAAAATACCCAACACAAGTTGGGTACTAGTGGCTCCCATCTGTAATCCTAGCTACTCAGAAGGTAGAGCTCAGGAGGATCAAGGGTCAAAGCCAGCCCCAGCCAAATAGTTCTTGAGACCCTATCTCAAAAAAAAAGAAACCCTTCACAAAAAAAGGGCTGGCAGAGTGTCTCAAGTGGTAGAGTATCTGCCTAGCAAGTGTGAAGTCCTGAATATCTCCAAGTAGGTGGCTTCTGCTTGAATGCTTCCAGTGACGGGGAGTTCATTATTTCCAGAGGCAACTGGGCTTGCATTCTTGCACTTGGACAACTTTCACTGAGAATGATTCTTCCCACTGAGGTAAGGTCTACCTCACTTTGGCTTTATTAAGAAAAACTGCAGCACTGAGGCTTTTGTCATGCAAGTAGGCAATGGAGGAACCTGGGAACTGTTAGAGACCTGTCACCTGTCTCCCTCAGAGAAGGAAGGCTCTGTCAGAAGGACGGGTGGCCCATCTCGTGTATGGAGCTAAGGAAGCCAAGGCAGGAGAAAGCATGAAGACGAAAAGGGACCTTAGGATCCTAATGTCCCAAGTCCCCTTCTTGTGCTCCCCAGAGAACTCTGGGGGTGTGGCGGGGCCTACCTGCATCTAGCTCCACAAGGATGTTGTCAGACTTGAGGTCTCGGTGCGCAATGCCCTGCTGAACCAGGTGATCCACGCCTTCCAGTAGCTGCAGAGTCATCATGGTGGCCAGGCGGGGGCTGGGAACATTCTCACGAAGGTACTGGCGCAAGGTACAGGGGTAGCTGGCAGGAGAAGACAGGGTCTCTAGCTGTCATCTAGCAATACAACCTAGCACCTCACGCACTGCTATGATTGGGCCTTTCCTCTTCCCATTCCTGGGGCTTTTTGATTGCTTTTTGCCCGTGTATCCTTTCTGTTCCCACCCACTGCCACCCTGAATCTACGAAGAGTGAGCCAGGGCTCCACATGTGCAGGCACTTGTCTCTTCAGACATCCATCACAGCAGTTGAGGGGAACAAGGGTGCCCCCCACAGGTGCCCCCTCTGCAAGAAAGGGAATAGTCAAATGTACCATGAGCACTAGTGGGAAGTATGCTCTGGAACATAAGGAACTATCCTAAAAAGATGCTGCTCTCTAGGGTGCCACCTCCCCCTGTACTCCCATGGGGAAGGTGAAGCAGCTCTGGGTCCCGCCATATTCCTGCCACTTACTTCTTCATGACAAGGAACAGTGTGCGTCCATGGCCCAGGCCTTCGGGATGGAGACGTGGGGGCAGTACGTCAGGGTAGTCGGTCAGGGCCCCAGGCAGCAATGGCACCGATGAGGTGAAAGCGCGGAAAACCCGGATGATATTGGGGTGTGGGGCCAGCTGCTTGGGGCCACCCTTGGATTTCCTATTCAGCCAAATGGGACAAACAGATGAGGCCAGTATCAGAGACAACAGGTGGAAAGACAACAAGCAAATATTAACATTCGCTTATTTACTAATATTTTTTATAGGCTTGCCATATTCCAGCTACTGTACATGGTGTTGTGAGCAAAAAGCCAATGGGGATGACTTACCACAGTCAATGACTCCCTTAGTCCACCCACCTGTCCATCATCCATCTACCCACTCATCTCACATGGTAGGACACAGTGGTTAAGAGACCCTCGAAGGAACCTGGGTTTGAACTCCAGGTTTGCCATTCTAAGTCTTTAGTCCAGTTATTTGTCTTCTTTGGGCTCAGTACCAAGTGAAAAGGGGAACCAGGTAGTAACATACCAAAGGGTGTTAATATATGCAAAGGGCCTAGAGTTACCAGAGTAAGTACCCAGCATATACTGGCTGGTACTGGTACTGGTTCAACTAATTTCACACTAAATGCCAAACATTGTCCTAGTACGCTGTGAGTTATGCAGAGAACAGGCTGGAGTCTATCCTCATGGGTTTTCAGTCTAACAGGAGGAGGATGCCCACTAAGTAACCGTTTTAGTTCCCTAAGGACAGGAAGGTCCATGTCTAAATCATCTCCCTGATTCCAGGGTCTAGCATCACCTTTGTCAAATGCAGAAATGGATACAGATGCACGTAGTAATAGCAATGTCACCTGCTTGCCCTGTCCTCTTCTCTGGAAAGCCCCATATCCACAGCCCAACTGAGGCACCAGTGACTGTATTTTGGACAGGGTGGCTCTGCTTGCTGTATGCCAGTCCTGTCTTTCAGCCAAAACTGGCTGGATCGAGTGGGCACCTGGACCAAGGGCAATGTGTCCAGATGCAAATGGTTGGTGAGGAAAAGGACAGGGGAGGTAGATTTGCTCTTTGGGAGCACGATGAAGAAGCCAGTCAGTAAACAACTGCCTAAGGTGAATGGATACCATAGGATTTCACCAGGGGCCATGGAGAGCCAGAGAGGGAGCAAATGGTTGGCAGGAAGGGAGGAGTCATGGGGAGGAAACTGGGATGCTGAGGGTAAAGAGGACGATGAAGCTGAGATAAGGAAGACAAGGAAGTCCCTTCCCTGAACTATGTGGACCCTGAGATTTGTGACCCAGGACACACATCCTCCTTCTCCTGTGTTAACCGAGTGGATCCCTGCTCTGTGCAGCATGGTTCCTGCCCTTGGGCCACTGGGCTAGAGGGAGAATCAGAACCACAGCACAAGGCCTCCAGGGCCCCAGCAGGCATCACGGGGTCTCCGGGCTGTGCTGTGCTATGCTGTGGAGATGTGTGGAGTGTGTTTGAACCAGATTTTCAATGTGCAGTGAGAGCAGCCACTGCACGCTCAGGAACAGTCACAGAGGAGCTTGGCGCATCTGGGGAAGGCAGTGTGGAATATGGAATGGGGGAGAGGAGGTGCTGAGGGGGAAGGACGAGAAGTGAGGTAGAAGAAGCAATGAGGGGAGCAGATCACAAAATCTCTGAGTCTGAGGCCCCAACGAGCAAAGGCTAGGAGGGAATGTCCCTAGGAGGCTCTAGGGAGCAGTTTCTCCTGAAATCCAGCAGCTCTGTGACAACACACCTGCCATAACCATCCGGACACTCAACAGACAGAGCTGTAGATGCACAGTAAACCAGAGCACCACAGTGTAGCTGGAAGGATAGGGGACACTCACAGACAGGTAGGCTCTAAGGCCACATGGTGCTGAATGCCATGAAAACAACTAACTGAAGGGATGTGGTGTTTCAGATGGGGGCCTGGGCAGGTGCTGTGCTCAGTGCTATGTGATAGCACCATGCCAACGGACTGATGGTAACAGCACAAAGCAGCCACGGAGGCTACTCTGAGCCCCATGTGACTGACATTCAGGTTTGTGATTTTCTCTGTGAAGGGCTGGAGAATAAGGCCAATAGTCCTAAAGCCACCTGAGCAGCTGTTCTCATTGCCTGCAGTGACTTGGCCACACTGGAGCCTTTCTAGCCCTGGAAGGGCTTCCCCAGATCCCTATTTCTGAAAAGTTCCTATTCTATTTCTGATTTTCTGCTTTTGTGTTTATGTATGGTATTGGGGTTTGAAACCAGGGTTCACGCTTGCTAGGCAGGCACTCTGGTGCTTAATCCACACCCCAGTGTCTTTCTGCTTCTGACAGAACTAAGGTTTATACTCATCCCTTAGACAGCAGAACAGCAGTGCCCCCTCACTCTGGTGGGATTCAAGTATTAAAGTGACTGCAGGTGTCTCAATCACCAGTGGGTCTGCAGATGGGGATTTATGAAGCAGCAGGCTGCAGTCCGTGTGCATGTCCCTCTGGTGTGGATGCCTCTTCTCCTTCTTCCATGTCTAGGTGATGCCTTCTCATCCTTCCAAAGGTAGCACAAGTTCCCTGAGAACTCTGGAAGGCCTGGCCCCCTGCAGTGCACACCCTCCCCAAGCACCTCAGCCCTGGGCACATGCTGTTCTAATATTTACTGCATTGAGTCCTGCTCCACACTGAGAACTCTGGGAACAGACCACTTTTGCCTTTTAAAAATCTCTTGGCAGCTGCACATGGTTCCACACACCTGTAATCCTAGCCTTTCAGAGGCTGAGGAAGGATGATCTCAAATTTAAGGCTGGGATACATAGAAGGTTCCATGCTAGCCTGGCTACATAATGAGACCCTGCCCCCCCCCAAAAAAAACCCCAAATGTCTTGGCCCCACCAAGACCGGGTGCACACCAGCCTGTAGAGGAGTGTTCCCCTCTGTGGAGGACAGAGCACATGTGTACCACTAGGTGGCGCTGCACCCATGCACTGCTGTGCTGGAATGCTGAACTTGGGAGGATTTTCCAGAGCTCTGAACTGGGTGCAGTCTGGATGGCTTCTCCCCTGCTCCAATGTGAACTAGCCCCACAAGTTGGAATTAGAGATCTTTAATCTTTCCCAAGATCTATTATCCTTTAACTGAAAATTCACCCTCTACACCATCTACTGCGTGATGCATCAGATCTTGTGCTGAGCACCAGGGCCACAGGTGATGATTTTGCTCCCAAAGAACCCACAGTCGTCTGGTGGGAAAAAGATGCTTACCTATAAGTGAATGCTCCATACTCCCCAGCCAAGGCCACTCGGCTAGCTGGGACCAGCTCTTGGCTCATGGTGCTTAAGATGGCTTCGCTGGATGAGCCGGCCTGGAACACATCCATAACACATCCAGGGTTACAAAAACCTTGGAATGACAAGTTCCAAGCCCTGCATATGATGTGGACCAGGACAGCTGCTGCCTGGAATTAGCTTTGACCTTTAAGACCAGATAACCTCTCTGAAGTGGCCAGTCAAAACTAGTTCCTCCTGCTCTGTGTGTGTGTGTGTGTGTGTGTGTGTGTGAGAGAGAGAGAGAGAGAGAGAGAGAGAGAGATTCTATTCACACCAACTTCAAAGATGCTTTCCATATCTCAAAATCTTGGCAGCCAAGGTGCCCAGGGCAGCAGAAGAGACTACGACGGTCGGGGCATGAAACACTTCTTCCTGACACGAATACCTCTGGTTACTACCTGTTCAAAAATGATCATTGGGCCACTAAGACTCATTCTGCTGGCTCCCTTCAGCAGTCAGGTCAGAGCCCCAGGAGCTCTACCTGGACTAAATTGTGTAGATTACAGGGCAGCCTCCTTACCCCCAATAGACAAAACCAAAGAGGCAGAAGAGCACATGGTTTTCCTCATTTCAGTGGGAATGGTTTCTAGGACCTACAAAGCCTGTTGTGCTCACAACATCTACCACAACCCACCAGTGGGAGTTTGATCTAAGACAATGTTTCATAGGCAAAGGATTTGGTTACCAATTAGCTATTCACTCAGCCTGGAGTGCAACAGCCTAACAACCTTCATGCCAGAAATAAAAACAAGGAACTGCCCTCTTCATATCCTGCATGGGCTCCTAAGGTTGTTCACTGTAGCCTTGTGCTCTGGGCAGGAGAAAGAATGTTGGGTCCTGATTAATTTTCTAAACCCATCTTGCAATGGCAAGGTAAAGACATTAAGTAGACAGAAAACTTTGGTTTTGTGAGGGAAACACTTCTAGCTCATAAAGCCTTGGGTCCTTCCAAGAGCTGACAGCAAGGAGGCAACAGCAAGCCTTTGAGCTGGAGGAAGGGCCCCTCTTCTCCAGTGAGGCAGCCATGGAAGGAGGGGGGAAAGGACAGGATGGCCATACAGCTGACTTGATGAACTAGACATCAGGGCAGAAGCAATTTACTGGCTATTCAGACCACCAGCTGGAAAAAAAATCACAGATTCTCAGACCCACCCCCGACCTGTTGAATCTGTCTTTTCCTATCTACTTCCAGGAAAAATTTCCACCAGGACCACAAAGATGGGGATTTAGAGAAATGTCCATTTGAGAGAGGAAAGGCCCTGTCCTTACCGAGATGTTCCACATCATCTTGATGGCGAAGGGAAAGGCAGGGGCCACTGGAGCCTGATTCACCTCCTCCCCTTGTGGGACTACATCTGGGCCTCTTCCTGGAAGAGGCCGGATGTGCTTTGCCTCCTCCAGGTGCTGGGGCAATGCAGGCATGGTGGCTTCATACACAGCAGCACTGCAGCCCTTGCCAATGGACTGTCCGATCAGATAGTCCTCTAGCCGGAAGCCCTGCCAGCGCCGCATGTTCAATGGGTCAGGCACCAGCTTGCTTTTCTGTGTAAAAATTGCCTGTGAGGAAAAAGAAATGCCCTGTGAACCATGGGGAAATGTAGGAGTAGAGAGAGGTACAGTAAGGCAGGGTCCTCACCAAAAAGGTCAAGAGCTAGTAACAGCCACGTGCTGGTGGCTCATGCCTGTAAGTCCTAGCTACTTGGGAGGCTGAGATCAGGAGAATCGAAGCTGGAGGCTAGCCCAGGCAAATAGTTCAGAGACCCCATCTCCAAAATAACCAGAGCAAAAGGGACTGGAAGTGTGGCTCAAGCAGTAGAGCGTCTGCTTTGCAAGGATGAAGCCCTGAGTTCATATCTCAGTCCCACTGAAAAAAAATTAAGACACAGGAGGGTGAAGTGTGAGAAATGTGTGAACAGTAAGTTTAAGGGGACCAATTTCACTTTTTTTGGGGGGGATGGTACTAAGGTTTGAACTCAGGACTTCGTACTTGCCATGTCCCAGCCCAGGAGGATCAATTTTAGTAAAAAGGGGAAAAAAGCCTCTTTAGTTTGAAGCAGGATTTGTCAAATTTCCCATCCTTGGCTTCTGCCAGTTAAGCTGAGGCAAAACACAAGGACAAGGACTGGGGACTAGGCCAGATGCCACCTGTTCACCCCAAACTGGCAAGAGCTCAAACATGAGGAAAAAGAACTGGGCTGGAGACCAAGAAATGCTGCCTGGTCCTTAACCTGCTGTGTCCTTGGGCACAATACTCCATTCTCTACTCCTCAGTCCTAACCTGTAAAACACAGGGCTGCACTCACTCAGTGAGCGGTTCCAACCCCCAGGAAAAAGCCTGACCTCCAGGAAGAAGACAGAATTCTGGCAGCCAACAGCCTGCAGACTTGCACTGCAATGCTGGTTCTTCCTGGGTCTGCAGCCTGCCCCTGCTGGCCCGCCCTGCAGATTTTAGACTTGCCAGCCCACCATGAACCAAGTCCTTAAAATAAATCCCTGCCTCTAAATATATGCATCCTATTGGTTCTGTTTGTCTAGAAAACCCTGACTAAAAGACTTTGCACAAGCAGAAACAGAGGTCACTGAGCTACTTATTTTAAGCATTTAAAAAGCCTGACAGGGGTTGGTAGAGTGGCTCAAAGTGGTAGAAGGCCTGCCTAGCAAGCATGAGGCCCTGAGTTCAAAATCCAGTGCCACCAAAAAATAAATAAATAAAATAAAAATAAAAAGCCTGAGAGGATGGATGCTGGTGGCTCATGGCTATAATCCTAGCTACTTGGGAAGCTGAGATCTGGAGGATCAGGACTCAAGGTCAGCCCAGGCATATAGTTTGTGAGACCTCCATTTCCAAAATAACCAAAGCAAAATGGACTGGAGGTGTAACTCAAGTGGTAGACACCTGCTTTGCAAGCACAAAGCCCTGAGTTCAAACCCCAGTCCCACAAAAAAAAAAAAAGTCTGAGAATTCCTATATATCTGCATAATAACTCTATGCAGGTAACTAAAAAGTTAGATATGCAGTTTTCTCCTTCTGATCATAGCTTTTAATATTTTAATTGTGATTGCACCTCTATCAAAGACTGAGTATTTGGCTAAACCGTGGAGGCAGCCTGGCTAAGGTTAAGGGTATAGGCTTTGGAAAGCCAGACTTTGGGCATTGCCTTTATTAGCTGTGTGACTTTGAGTAAGTCACTTCGCCTCTCTGAATGTGTGTCCTCCTCCATAAACTCGGGATGACAATTACCTCAAGGGTGTTTGATTCAACTGTCATTAAATTTTTAGGAAATTTACACAAAGCCAGCCAGGTACCTGTACCCTGTACTCTGGACATGGAGGCAGGAGCACTGCAAGTACAAAGTCAGTTTGGGCTATGTAGTGAGACTCTCAAAAAAAGGAAGTTACACAAAGTCATTTACCATGGTGCAAGTGGAGCTACAATTAGAGCATATCTTCCAAAACACACTGAAAGAAACTGCAAAAAAAACGGGAGGTACCAGGCCATCAGTAATGGTGAAATAAGTCAGCCTTAGGGTGGAAGTCATAGGTCAGGTGGTAGAGAGCGCGCTTAGCAAGCATAATGCCCTGAGTTCAAATCTCAGTTACCACCCAAAAAGGTAAGTCAGCTTTTACTGGTGACTTCCAAGGAATTTCCAGCTCTGCTGAAACAGGCCACCACCACCAGGTCCAGGCACCTCCCTCCCTATGTCCCGGCTCCTAGGACCACAACCCAAGATCAAGATCAGCACACTTAGTCCGCCGAGTGCTCCAGGCCTCGAACTGCCCAATCACAGATCAGGATCCCGCTCCTCCCAATAACCACGTTCCCAGCCCCGCCCCCACCGGGCAAGGGGCCCGCCCCCAGCCCCGCCCTAGCCTGCGTTCACCTGGATCTCCCGACAGGCGGAGGCGGCCCTTCGGCCCTCTGCCTGCTTCTCCTCGATGAGCCCCAGCCCCAGCCCGAAAGCCAGAAAGACGGCTCGGCCGCCAGGGCCCGCGCCGCCCCGGACCCGCACCACGAACTGCCTTTGAAGCCGCGCCGCCAGCCCGGCCACCGACTGGCGAAAGAAGCGGTAGCGGTCGGGGAGCCCGAGCCCTCGTGGCTCTGCGCCGGGTCCCCCGGTCCGGCCCGGGCGCTCTCCGCGGCCCCAACCCGCCGCCGGGCCGGGTCGTCCCCAGGCGTAGGCTGGGCCAGGCTTGGCCGTGAAGCGCAGCAGCAGCGCTCGACCTAGCTGTAGGCCACGGCCCAGGGCCTGTCGTACCGCCATGGTGGCGCCGCGACCCGGTCCCGGCGCTACCGCAGGAAGCGTCCGGGACGCCGAGGACAACAAACTTCGGGGGCGGTGCTTCCGCGCAGGCGTGGGTGCTGGGGGCGGGGCGGGGCGGGGCGGGGCGGGGCCCGGCCCGCGGCGGTTCCCCTGCTCGGCGCGCGAGGGCGCTGTGCGCATTTCTGCGCCGCGCGGGCTCCAGTTGGTTTGCACTTTGGAGCCAGGTTCAGAGGTTGCAAGTTCAGCCAGGTCATAAACATCATTAGTCCTGTGCAAAAGTGGAGAAATTGAGAAGGAAAACTAATATTTATCATCAATCATCGTGCCAGGCCCTTTGCATTTTTTTAGTGTTGGTTCTGGGGTTTGAACTCAGGGCCTGGCACTTGTTATGCAGGTATAGCTACCACTTGAACCCTAGCTCCAGCCACTTTACATCTTTTAATTCATTTGTTTCTCACCGATGAGATAGGAACGTCATTTTTATAGATAGGCATTGAAAGGCCAGTGCTCCAGGTTGCATGCAGGTATCAGAACTGAGGCTGGTCTGTTGTTCAGTCTGCCCTCCCTGTGCTGTTACACCTCCAGAAGTCCCAGGTTCCTAGGCTTCTTAGGAGCCAAGTGCTATTTATGGATGAATGAGCTGAGGTCCTGAGACAGTGGGCTGTTTGCCCAAAGTCACACAGTTTAATGGCAGAGCCCTGTTACCCAAACCTGCTGTAGAAATGGCTGGCTGTTGAACAACGTGGGCCCAAGGTAACCCATCAGAAGTGTCTTCTTTGCTTCCTGACATTCTTTGGATGTGGCTCTAGCATCTGTAGTCTTAGAAGTGACCTGAAGACAACTGGTGCTGGATAGAGGAGCCTTAGTTTTTGTTATGGCTACTTGCTGTTTTTGTAGCATGGTGGTTGGGGTAAACACAAAGTCCAGTACAAACTGATCTTCCCTTTCCCCTGGGTGAATGAACAGCTGATTAAATATTGATGTCAGCATCCTTGCACAGATCCAAGGGAGCAATGTTTGGCCACCACTTCTGTATGAAGTAATGCTGTGTTTTGATTGTGGTACAAAGCTTTGAAGCACTACTGGCATCTCTCTTCTGTGGAGCTCTCAGCCTTCAAACAGGACCTGTTTGGTAAAGTACTAGCTGGGTTGAGTCTTGTTTGCCTTCATTCAGTCATCTTTGTGAGAATCCAGTGGTTGGGGTTTTTTTTTGTTTGTTTGTTTTTTGGAGTGGGCTTCCTGGCTTTTTTTTTAACAATATTTTTTAGCTGATGTTCATGAAGAGTGAGTACTTAGCACTGTGCTGCTAATAAAAGGAAATCCTATGTAACTTAAGAAAGTGCATTTCTTTACAGAGCTAATTCATCCCATCCTTTGGGCCCAATCAAGTCTCAAATCATGAGCGCTAGTGTCATGGATGTCAGGCAGTACTGTAGCTCACCTCAGCGAATAGAAAGTATCTTCACCTGCTTGGTGATATATAGAGTAGTGATGGAGCTTTGGCAGAGCTGCTTTTAATGGTGTTATCTAGAAGGTTTTCTTTCCAGATGATGATTGAGAAGCTAATAAAAGAAATGGTGCCAGGTACCACAACAGAAACAGAACTTTGTTGTTTTCTGGGGTTTTGTTTTTTAACTTTTTTTTTTTTTAATGGAGTGTGCTAGAGGTCTCTAATTTTGTCCAGATGCTTGTAGACCCTGGAAGAACTGTTGCTGCTGTTGATTCATAGCATACTGCTATTCCTGGTCTTTTTATATAAATATATACATACATATATGTAATTTGAATTTTTGGAGACTTTAACTGTGCTGCCAACTTTGGAAAACTATATCCCAGTTTACTGTGTTGATCTGGAATTGTACAGAAATTTATGATCAGATTTGTGTAGAAACATTCAACTTAGTTTTTTTTCCATCTCTACAGGGGTAATACACTGTATTAAATATATAAGTTCTTATCTATGTGGCTTTTTTTTGTTGTTGTTGGTACTGGGGTTTGAACTCAGGGCCTTGCACTTGCTAGGCAGGCACTCTACCACTTGAGCCACTCCACCACCCTTTTTTTGTGTTGGGTATTTGCAAGATAGGGTCTCACTGTTTGCCCAGACTGGCCTTCAACTGCAATCCTCCTAGACTTCACCTCCGGAGTAGCTAGGATTCCAGGCATGAGCCACCGGTGCCTGGCTGATCCACTGCATTTTAATCTTGAATTTTATCCTATCACAAGCCAGGATGGGACTTTACCCCGAAGTCATGCCCACCTCAGCTGGACTGTTTCTGCAACGTTGAAGATGGTTACTTTCCCCCGACCAGCCTCAGTAAGTGCCTCTCCTGGGCCAGTCTTTACTTTGACTGTTTTTTTAATGTAGTGACATGGGAAAGATGGAACACCAAGATGGAGAACAGGCTTTATATCTTCTCCTTAAATACCGGATCAAGTGACGGGTACACAGTAGCTGTCACTGAAGGGGAGTCTTCAATTTTCTGAAGAGTTATGTCCCTTAGGCTTGCTTTGCAATGGGATAGACCGCTCTGGAGACAGGTGGACAACTGTGCAAGCGAAGGGAGGAGGGTGTGTGTGTGTTCTCTGATCTCTCTTACAATGATCTTCCTGAAGGGAGGACTTGCAGGACCCTTTATATCCAACCGTATTTATTTGGGAGAGACATAAATCGATCAATTTCCAATTTATTTGTAGAGGCACATCAAAATCAGATATCGTCTTTAATTTTTTATTAATCTCTGAGAATTTAAAATTTTACTTTTATTTTTTAATTTTTTTGGTCCTTTTGGATCTCACTATGTAGCCCAGGCTGGCCATGAACTTGTGATCGTCCTGCTTTAGGGATTAGAGGCATGCACCACCACACCCAGCTTTTAATTGCAATTTTAAATGGTCTGTTGAAAAGGAAGAGAAAGTTGGAGAAACCTGCGGTTCACCAGGAGGAGCTAGTGGAGACAGAGGTCTCATCCAAAGTTTGTAGTTCTTCTCTTTAATGTTTACAGAGAAGGAATAAGAGGTTCTGCAAGCTATTTAATATTTTAACCACAAAGATTTTCTCTAATCTCCTGCAACTAGGGGATTAGACAACTGTGAGGACCACACAATTTGTGAGATGTGTTTGCTGAAAGATGTCTTGGTTTCGCATTTAAGGATGGAGTTGGGTGCAACAGGCTGCAAACAAGCTCGCTGGACCTGCGATGGACCTGCCCAACTGCTGGCTGGTGTTAATAACCCTCCCTTGGAGCTGGGCTTGCTCTGTCTCCTGTGGAAAAATCTCAGTTCAGACTGGTCCGAGCTGAGCACAGCATGAAGTGCTATTCTATGCATACAGGCTTCCAGCAGGTTCGGTGGGGCTCCATCCTCTCATTCCACAGGACAGACACACCATCTTGGGGACAATGGTCCTGAGCCCATTCATCCCTATCTGTTTTCCTCTGAAGGATATCTTTTTGTGGTGGTACCAAAAGCCTCAGTGGGGACAGATGACCCCCAGGTTCTCTCACAACCTCTGTCATCTCTGCAGTGGTACCCCAAAATAGCCAAATGGGGGTATGGAATATGGTTTTCTGCTGAGATACCTGTTTACATTGTGGATTTAATATTCTCTCTCTTTTTTTCTTTCTTTTTTTTTTTGGGTTGTGCTGGGGTTTGAACTCAGGGCCTTATGCTTGCTAGGCAGGCACTCTACCACTTGAGCCACGCCTCCAGCCTGAGAGTTAATATTCTACATGAGAGACTCATTCATGGAACATTTACTGAACATCACCTGCACCAGGTGGGCTTTGATCTGTTCCAGTGAGAGGAGAATGGAGGCGGTTTGGGGAGGCCACAGGACCCTTTTCTGGTCTACTCCACTCTGGGCATCCTTGGATCTGCATTGTACCCTTTCCCTCTAGGTAGGCAAGAGGGTGGAGTTTTGGAAAAGTCCATAATATTCTTAAGAAGCATCACTTAACCTCCCCCAAAGGACACGGAAGAAATAGGCTGATGCAAATGTAAAAATGGAGAAAGGCAAGAGTTGCAAAAGAGAGCTGCTGTTTGACCTCCCTTTCTGGAGTGCATCCCTTGGCGCTGTTTCAGTGCTCTCTGTCTCCTCCTGCAGAGCTGGACACGTTTTCCCAGAGCAAACATCCTTTATTCACACACTGTTTCAGAAATGCTCTCTCTACTCTCCCTAAATCGCCAGCAGAGGTGGAAAGGGAGCTTGCTGGAACTGTTGACAGGGTAAAGCTGCAGGAGATTAAACCCCTGCTTCTTAAAAATCCCAGGCTGGAGGTTCTGGAGGTTACAAGCTGGTCACCATGCACAGAGAGTGAGATTTCAATGGGCAGAAGTGTCTCCATGGTGACTGGGCCTATAGGAAGGAAAACATGGTGGCGAGGAAGCAGGGAGATCTGTTGGTGAGGAATTCAGGCCATTCATGGTTCATGTAGTCCGATATTTTTGCTGCCCTGCAGATTGTTCAGAGAATAAATATGGCAGTGTCACCTCCTGCATAATCCTTTCCAGCTCTCTGGCCCACTGCCTCAGGACAAAGCCCAAGACCCGTAGGCTGCCACAGAAGGCTCTTGGCTATTTGGTACTAACATTGTTCTTCTTGTCCTGTCCCACCCTTGATGAGCCAGCAATACTGAATTTTTTGCAGCTGCCCTAACCAGCTTGCTAATGCCTTTGTTGATTGAGCATACTGTAGGACACCTCTTCCAGGAAGCCTTCTTTGACTTTCTCTAGAATGGACTAGATGACCTTTCTTTCTCTCCCTTTAAAATGTGAGTCTTTAAACCTAAATTCCTTGGCACCTAGCACAGAGCCTGCTGGGTCCCCAGTTCTGATTTGAGAGCCTTCTGGAAAGGCTCATGTCCAAGGGCAGGGTGAGAGGAAAGCTGGGCCAAACTAACAAATTTCCTAATCACATAGGTCACTCCTCCTTCTAGGGCACAGAGAGGGAGGGACTGCAGAGAGGTCCGAGGGAGCATCAGGCGTATTGAGCCATGTTCACCCCTCCCCCAGCATCAACTAGTGGATAGTCTAGAACTTACTTCACACCATTGCTAAATGCATTTCCTGTGGCTCCTTCCCTTTTTATTCTGGGTTTTGTTTTTTTTTATGTAAAACCCTTTGAAATAATAGTAATTTGTACAGATGTTTAAAAACCAGAGGCACAGCAGCAGTGCGCTGATAATGAAAAACAAGCATCTCTCTTTAAGCCTAGTCCCCAGCCCAAGACAATGATATTTTACTTTTTACGTACTTTTTAAAATAATTTTCTTTGCATCACTACTGTTTTTTGATTTAGCAACAGAGCCACTTAAGGCACAAAGCTGGCCTTGCTGCTCCCTGCTAGGCAGATGGTGCCCTTTGGAGTCAGGTCAAACTTCTTCCCAGGGCTACCATGCCTGCTTCTTCTGATCCTCCTGACGCCTTGACCTACTCTTTTCTTTTCCTTGCCCAAGAGCATTTTCAATTTCTACATCTTTAGGATGTCCACACCCTGGTATCTGCGTTGTGTCATCCCGACCCTGAGATGCTGGCTGGACTTCATTTCCTTGTTTCTAAGCATAGAAGGTGTCAAAAGAAAGACAAAAGAGAAAGGATTTTGCTCCAGGGGTTAGGTGACAGATTCTGGTCTCTGTCTTCCTCACTTCCTTCTTTTGCTTTCTCACTTTCTTATTCTAAAAGAAGCCACATACCAGGTCCTACAGAGAACAAGGAACTGAATCATAACAGTAACAGCTAACAAGGAACAAAATCCTGTCAACAACTGTGTATGAGCTTTGCAGGGGACCCCCCCCCCAGTCAAGTCTTCAGATGAGACAACAGCCCTGCTTGACATCTTCATTGCAGCCATGTAAGAGACATTGAGTTTGAGAACCTAGCTCGGCCCAGAATCCTCCAGAAACTGTGAGATAATATTTGTTAACCTAAGCCTTTAAATATTGGGGTGATTTGTTACACAGCAATGGACAACCAGTATAACCATTGTGGCATATATTTTTTGTTCCATGGTAGAGTTTTTAATTTTTTCCCTCCTTCCCCAAACCATCAAAAACTATGTTAACAGTGGGTATTCTTCCACTTCAACTTCTATGCTCATATGATCATTTACAGAATATTAGACATGTGTCAGACTTACCAGGGTACTCCATTATCTATTTTACTTCCTTCCTTCCTCACTTCCCTTCCCTTCTCCCTTTCCCTTCCCTTCCCTTTTCCCCTTCCCTTCCCCTTCTCCCCTTCCCTCCCCTCCCGTCTCTGCCCTTTTCTTCAGTGCTGGGGATCAACCCAGGGCCTCACACATTCCAGACAAGCGCTCTACCATTGAGCAACACCTCCAGCTGTATTTATTCTTGACCAGCATTTTCTGGCTTTGTTTCAGACACAGGCACTGAGGTACCCTAGCATCTATCATTATAGTTGTGCCCTCATTCTTGCCAAAAGGAAATCCTAAAGAATCGTGCAGTTTACATAAGCAATGGGCAGCAGCTGTGGTGAACAACAGAAGCAACCACACTTCTTTTTATTTCCCTGGGAACCTGGGACAGCACTTTAGGGCTCTGAAAAACACAGTGCTCAACAATGGAGCCTGTGCTGCTCTGAAAAGCAGAATGAAAAGCCTGCAAAATGAAAAGGCTTTTATTTTAAACAAACATCCCAGCCTTTCTCCGCAGCCACGGAAGTACCATTCTTCCCCACAGACATTGCTCAAATATTTTCTGGAAACTTTCCTTGAGAAGCATCTTTCCCTGTTTCCATAAAGTGCACAAGAGTACCGGGCCTTGTCCTGTGGTCCAGCCTTACTTTTTACCTCCCCAAGCCCCAGTCCTTAACAGAACCACCCTTCTTGTGGATGGACAACCTCTGGCTCTCTGGCTGAAACACCCCGTTCTCCAGGCAGCCTCACCCTGAGGAGAGTGTCACTCCTGCTGCTAGATGCTCCCAGGCTCTGCTTGTTCTCTTTGAGTAGCACTCGTCATAAGAACAATAATCTCTTAGCTCTCACTTTCCCATGGACAGACTGAGCGCTTCATGAGGGAAGGGACTTACTTTGTTTTGTTTTGTTTTTCAGTTCTGGTGTTTGAACTCAGGGCCTCACACTTGCTAGGCAGGTGCTGTACCACTTGAGCCCTCCGACAGCCCTTTTTGTGTTGGGTATTTTCGAGGTAGTTTCCTCTCGAACTATTTCCCTGGGGCTGGCATTGAACTATGATCCTCTATCTGAGGATATCTGAGTAGCAAGGGTTACAGGTGTGAGCCACTGGCGGTGGAAGGAAATTTCTTACTCCTTGCTGTGTCCCTAAGAACTGGTTACATCCCTAGCACCCAGTAGGCAGCAATTAATAATTATTAAATGAATTAATAAACTGGTTGAAGGCCAGACGCAGTGGCTCACACCTGTAATCATAGCTACGTGGGAGACAGAGATAGGAAAGATGGCGGTTTGAGGCCAGCTCAGGCAAAAAGTTCACAAGACTCCATCTCAACCAATAAATAAAAAAGCTGGGCACAATGGTGTATGCCTGTCATCACAGCTATGTGGGATGCATAACTAGGAGGACTGAGGTCCAGGTTGACCAAAGTATAAAATGTGAGACCCTATTCAAAAAAGAAAGCAAAAAGAGTTGGGCTTGTGGCTCAAGTGGTAGAGCACTGCCTAGCAAACATGAGGCCCTGAGTTCAAACCCAGTACTATCACCAAAGGAAAAAAAATGGCTGTAAAAGATTTTTGTTTGTAAAAATCAAATCCATCCTCAGAGGACTGAAACTTGTTACCCTTAATAATGGTGAATAGACATTTATTGAGACCCTATAGACGATCAAACGCTGGGTTTTTTTTTTGAGTCAGGGTCTCATTATTGTCGTCCAGGTTGGCCTCAAACTCAGAATCCTCCTGCCTCAATCTCTGAGAACTGGGATTACAGGCATGCATCATACCCTGCTTAAACACTGGATGTTGCATTATTTTACTCAGGCTTACAACAGTCCTGTGGGGGAGGAAACTGAGTCTCAGAATAATGAAGTAACTTACCCCAAACCACACAGCTTGGTGGCTTTTCACGTCCAAAGTGCAGACTTTTAACCAGTATGCTATACCATTTTTTCTTTCTTTGTATTTTTGTTGATTTCTTAATGTTTTAAAATTTTTAGAATGAGGGGATGCATTCAACTATGATATATTGTAAGAACTTTTGTAAATGTTACAACGTAACACCAGCACAACAGTAACACTAAAAAAAGCATAAAATAAAAAATTTAAAGTACAAGAAAACAGTCATTCAGATTGTCAGTCTATTCTGATTCTCCTGTTAACATCTTGGTGTCTTTCCTTCCAGCTTCCTCTAAATTTCTCATTCCCTTTGTTGAGAACATCCCCAAGAGTGTTCTGGAAGCCCCAAAGCCATTTTTTGGCTTGTTTTGTGGTGCTGGGGATTGAACCCAGGACCTTGTGCATGCCAGGTAAGTGCTCTACCACTGAGCTGCACCCCAACCCCTAAAGCTATTGCTGATGTAAGGCAGAGTGGAGTTTTTGCATCTGCAGAACGCTGGGAAGCAGTGCTGTCTCCCATGATGGCTGTGGGTGGGAGAGGTCTGGGCGAGGGTAGGAGAGCCAGTGCCCACTGTAATGCTGCTGGAAAGATTTCCAGTGAAGGGGCAACTGCCTGTCCATGTCCTGTCCTCCGGGATCTTGCGTGAATCAGAAGGAAAACAATGCTCTGTTCTTATCCCACCCACCGAGGCCCCATGACCAGCTCCTCCTGGAGGACACAGGGGCTGTCAGCTCCCTCCGGAGGGCTGGCCTTGGTCCCTTCCCTTATTCAGTCCTGACCTTGCTGTGTGTGTGTGACAACCAATGCACCACAGAAGCAGACAGATTCTTCTTGGCTGTCCTTCCACTCCAGGGCGCAATGTGCCCCCAACATTCCCACCTACACTGGTGCTGCCTGGATCACAGGCCTGTCTACAACTCTGTCTTCCTGTCAAACTGCAGTCCTCCAGGGCAGAGGCTGTTTCTTACACAACTTTCTCTCTGCGGTATTTAGCATATTTTATATATAAAAGATACTTGATCAAGACAGACACTAGCTCTGGGAGAATGGAATAAAAACTCAGAATCAGACAGATCTGGATCAAATTCCAACTGTGCCACAGATTAACTGTGTGACTTTGGGCAAGTGATTTAACTGCTCTGAGCTTCAGTGTGCTTATTGGTAACTCATCTTTGGGTTTGATAAGTGGGGATGCAATAGGTTTAAGTAATATAGTACATGACAAACAGCCCTCAATGTTTCTAGACCCTGGGAGGGGAGGTAAAAGGACCTGGATTCTGTGCTGAGCTTGTCACAGCCCTAGGGTGGACCTCAGCCTCTCTTAAGAGTAGTACATCTGTAAGAAGGAAAATACCGCCCCTCTCAGAACTATTGAGTATTGTCAATAAAAAGTAAACCACACAAAAAGCCTTTGGTCCCAAGAGAAGCTTTTTTTTTTTCCAGTACTGGGGCTTGAACTCAGGACCTTCGTCTTGAGCCACTCCACCAGTCCTAGTTTTGTGAAAGGTTTTTTTGAGATAGGGTCTTTCTTGTGCAGTATTTGCCTGAGGTTGGCTTCGAACCACGATTCTCCTGATCCCTGCTTCCTGAGTAGCTAGGATTACAGGTGTGAGCCTCCCGCGCACAGCCCAAGAGCATCTTTTGCCATGAGGTCTGTACTTCCCCTTTATGCTATAGAGCCACAATTGTGAGGGTGGCTGGCACCCAGGGCTCAGGTCTGTAACAGAGCCAAACCAGACTCTAGAAATGGTGCGTTAGCTTACCACCACTGTAACCTGAGTTACAGAATCAACTTATAAAGAGTAAAGGCTTTCAGGGCACGGTAGCTCACACCTGTAATCCTAGCTACTCGGGAGGTAGAGATTGGAAGGAAACCAGCCTGGCAAAACATTTGTGAGACCTCATCTCAACCAATAAAAGATGGTTTAGTGGTATGTGCCTGTTACAGCTCCACGGGAAGTGTAAATAGGAGGATGGTTATCCAGGCCAGCCCAGGCATAAAAGTGAGACCCTATTTGAAAAATCACTAAAGCATAAAGGTCTGGGAGCGTGGCTAAATGATAGAACACATGCCTAGCAAGGCTCTGAGTTTAAACCCCAATACTGGAAAAAAAAAGGTCTGGTGTGTCTCATGGGGTAGAGGTGCTTGCCCAGCAAGCATAAGGCCCTGAGTTGAAATCCCAGTACTGGCAAAAAAATATATATATATATATTTATTTTGGCCCCCAGTTTTAGAGGTTCCAGACCATTACCTTTAGGCCTCTGACCATGGCAGGAGCAAGCAAACCTGCTCACCTCATGACTGGGAAGTGGGACAACAAAGAGGACTGGGTCTGACTACCTTCCTCAAGGCCCCCAATGACCTAACTTCCTCCCACTAGGCCCTACCTCCTAGGGCCTAAGGTTCCACCACCTCCTAATTTGTGCCACAGGCTGGGGACCAAACCTTTTAACACATGGGCCTTGAAGAAACATTCCAGATCCAAACTCTAGCAAATGGGCACCAGCAGTCAGGCCCACCCTAGGGGCCTTCATCTGAGAACACAGGTGAGAAGCCTATGGACTCAGACTCCACCCAGACAGACATGTGGTTCCAATGCTGGCTTTTCTTCCAGAAGACAGTGTCCAGGTCCTTCTAAAAAGACAGATCAGCCTGTCCTTCCTAAATGCTGCAAACTACAACAGAAAAAGAGCAAACTGCGGTCTTCCAAATTGGGATGTTCTGTGACATTTATAAGCAGAAAAATCACCTGGAATAGGATAGGACCTCAGGGAGCCAGGCGGGGAAGCAGGCCTGGCCTGCAGGAAGGAAAGCAGGTTCAGAGTGCTCTGGGTCCCAGGGAGGACAGGGCTGCGAGGAGGGCTCAGGCCTAGGTGGGTGAAACCCAGACCATGGTGCTAGAGTGTAATCTGGAAAAGTCAGTCCAGGCCAGCCCCTGGAGGGTTGGGGCCATCTGGCAGGTGTCCAGGAGAACATCGTGACGTTTCCAGGGAGCTGTCCCCTTCAGCACCTGTGAGAAGCTGGGCAGTGGGTGTTCCCCGCCCTTCAGTGGATCTCCTGCAGGTCCTCAGGCCCAAAGGAGGCCGGCAGCAGCTCCTGGAGAGTCCTGACGACATACGTGCCATCTGGCTTGGTCATGTACACGGCCCAGTCGCTGCCAAACTGGAAAAGAGGTAAAGCCAGTGTGAGGGAGGCCGTGTGGCTGAGGACTTGGAGGGACCCAGGTTTGGGTCTGGCTCTCCCATTTACTGCGTCCTGTCCCTCTCTGTGCCTTAGTTTTCTCTTCTGTCCAATGGGAACACAATAACTGTGCCCAGTTCAGAAAGCTCGAGGGAAGAGCAGATGAAACCATGCTATTGAACAGCACAGCGCAGGGCACACTGCAGGGAACACTGCCATGTTCCAGGAGGGACTCACCCAGAGCTTTGTAAAATTACCTTCAACTTCCAGAGTCAGACTTCCTTCGGTTGTGACAGCTGACAACTAACAGCTGGCATGCCTGCTGCACCACATACTGGCTCCTGAGCTTGCAGTATTTCACTACCCACCTTTGCAGGTAGGTGCTACTGTTAGGACCATTTTACTGAGGAGGAAACTGAGGTTAAGTCAGCAAAGCTGAACATGTCTCCCGATCTTTCTCCTGTACTCTGAGGAGCACCACTTGATTACTGTGTAAATGATACCTTTATTTATTTATTTATTTTGCAGTACGGGGGCTTGAACTCAGGGCCTACACCTTGAGCCACCCTACCAGCCCTTTTTTGTGATAGGGTTTTTCGAGCTAGGGTCTCTTGGAACTATTTGCCCAGGTCGGCTTCGAACCTTGGTCCTCTTGATCTCTGCCTCCTGAGTAGCTAGGATTACAGGTGTGAGCCACTGGTGCCTGGCTATTTATGAGTTTTATTTATTTATTTTTTGATGGTAGTGGGGTTTGAACTCAGGGCCTTGAACTTGCCTTTACCACTTGAGCCACATCCCCAGTCCTTTCTCCTTTAGTTTGTTTTTCAGGTAGGGTCTGGGGCTGCTCTTGGACCATATACCTCTACTTTCTGCGTAGCTGGGAATATAAACACAAACCACCTCATCTGGTTTGTTTGTTGAGATGGCCTCACCCTAACTTTTTGGCCCAGGCTAGTCTTGAATTGTGATCTTCCTAATCTCCTCCTCCTGAACAGCTGGGATCACAGGAATGGACCACCCTCCCGGTTCTATCTATAACTTTTGTTTGGGTAAATGATAACTCTTTGGGGCTTGATGTCTATCTGTAGTGGAGACTTAAAACAGTGGTGGCCTCATGGAAACAGCCTGGAGTTAGGCCCAGGCTCTACCTGGTCAGGTGTAGCGAAGACCATTCATTTGAATGCAGTCCCTGGCAACACAGTAGGCACTCAGTTCATGGCTACCAGCAACCATTCTGGTCTGCAGCCTGTGCTGTTCCTCCATGCTTCTGTCTGAATCAGCAAGCCATTACCAGATGCCATCTATCTTCTGTTTTAAGTGAGGCACTTTTCCTGCCTGGCAGGCTCTGCTGAGTGCAGGAGAGTCTGATGCTAGCTCCTCATCCCCAAGCCTCATCTCTTACGATTTGCATTTGCTTTTAGTCCCCACTCCCCTCTCAGCTTCTCCATTTTTCTGCTCCCTTACCACCAGTAGCTCATCTGCTTGAAGAAAACACTGAGCAATTGGGCCAAGTTGGGAACCAGAGATCTGAGGTGGCTTCCTTACTTGACTTTTAGACACTGCCACCGTGAGTTCCACCATGTGAACTTAGTGCCTTTGGGTGGCATTTTTCATCTGGATTTGAGAATGTGCTCTGTGTTTGCAGTCCTGGCAAAAAGGAGGAAGATGGAGGTGGCAGCGGCCTTGGGTGAACTGAAACCCCAAGGCAGAAACACAAAGCTGAAACAGTTTCCATGGGGCTCCCACTTTTAGAACACCCTAAAAGTGGGAGCCCCATGGAACAGGCAGCTTTCACACGGCAGCGTCCCACTGTGTTCCTGTTTGCTGCGCACTGGTCCCTGCACCTCTCTGATACTTCTCAGGGTGCCCATTTGGAAAAATGAGTGATGACACTGCTTCCTTCATGGGCTCAGGTGGGGACTGAACAGGCCCTGTGTTCAGAGCAGTTGATCTCATCGTGGGAGAATTCAAGGGACGGGCGTGTGGCTCTCTAGGCTGGTGGCTTTCACCTTTTGGACTCCGGATGACACAGACCTCTTTAAGAAATGCGTAAGACCATGGGGTGCCAGTAGCTCACACCTGTCATCCTATCTACTCAGGAGGCACAGATCAGGAAGTCTGACGCCAGCCCCAGGCAAATAGTTTGAGATCCTAGCTCAACAAAGGGCTGGTGGAGTGGCTTAAGGTGTTGAGTTCAAACTCCAGCACTGCAAAGAAAAAAGAAAGAAAGAAAAAAAAGAAATGCATAAGACCTACTGGCAGTCCTCCTCCCCAAATGTACATATAAAGCAAAAAAACTCCCACTGGGAAGCCAGGCATGGTGACTCATAGCTATAATCCCAGCTATTACAGAGGCAGAGATCAGGAAGATAGCAGTTGGAGGCCAGTTAGGGCAAGAAGTTAGTGAGGCCCCATCTCAACTAACAAGCCAGGTGTGTTTGTACATGCCTATCATCCCATCTATTCTGAACGCATAGGTAGGAGGATTGTGGTCCAGGGCAGCCCAGGGGACATTTGCTGCTCCCTCTTGTCTAGAACTCTCCTCCTTAGACCTTTGTGGTATTGTTTCTCACAATTTGCATTTCTGCTCAAATGCCCCCTTTAAAGAAAAGCCCTTCTCAGCTGTGTAGGGCAGGGGCTGGCAAGCCTTCTGCTGGCAGAGGGAAGTCGGTAAGTGATGTAGGTTTTGCAGGCCAGGTGGCCTCTGTGTAACTGCTCAGTCCTGCTGTCATAGGGCCAAAGTGGCCATGGACAATACATTGATGAGTGGGCAAAGCTGTGCTCCAATAAAACCTTATTTACAAACAAGCAGCAGTCTGGGTTTTGCCTACCCTAATCTAGAATCCCCTGCTTCCCCATCACTCAACTCCTTGTCCTTCATGTTTTGACCACTGCAGAGGGAACTTTGCTCCCTGTTTGTCATCTGTCTCCTGCACCAGACTGTAAATCCTCTGAGGCTGTCTTGGGTTGTCCCTGGCACCAACAACACTCAGTCAATAAGTGTCTTCTGGATGAAGGACGCATTTCCAGTGACTCTTGTAAGCCCAGTAAGGTCCCAGGTGTCGGCCAGCGGAGCAGACAGGACAGTGACTGTGCATCCTCTTCACAGCTTGGCCTGGGAAGGCCATAAGCCCCCACCCCGGATTTATATTCCAGGAAAAAAAGAAGCTCTTACCTCCCGCATGACTTGCCTGCAGGCACCACATGGTGAGATGAACTTATCTTGCAGGTCACTGGGAACAGAGAATCCAACAGATCAGTGCGTCCCTAGGCACCAGCCCTGTTCCAGAGCGGGTCACACCCCATCAGGAGTTCCTGACTCACAGACACGTTGTGTTCTAGAGGCTGAGAAGGCGACTTGGCAGTCCTCCACACTTGCACAAGGAAGGCCATAGGCAGGGATGCGAGCTCTTACTGTCTGCCACCCACACCCCAGGGAGCCAGAGGTTGAGGAGAACTTGTCTCTGGCTTTTGAGAGATAGCTCAGCTTAGCAGGTGACATTGAAAACTAGATGAGTTTTCTGTGGGTGACATGGAAGAGGAGCCATGGGAGAGGGCCTGCCTGCAGGGGCCTACGGTCTGGAGGGGAGAATGAACCTCCCAGATCTGCTGTAAGAAGGCAGAGTGTGGGCAGGCTGGGAGAGGTGCTGAGGGATTCAGTTCCCTGTGTAATCTGACCCTTGCCAGTTGTCACTTCCTTTCTCAGTCTTGTGGCCCGCATGGTCAACAACCTGTGAACAACTCCTTGGATAAGGTGACCTGCATTCGGGGTTTGAAGAGGCAGTCTTACCATCCATTGGGAAGTTGGAACTGGGGCATCCAGGCCCATAGCTCCCAGAATAATAATGGCCTCTTAGTTCATTAACCACCCCCCCCACCTTTCAACAACCGTGCAACAGGTAAGGGAAGTGACTTGCCCCCAGGGTCACACAGCCAGTGGCAGGACATTTTTGTTTTTGTTTTTTTGCAGTACTGGAGTTTGAACCCAAGGCCTCATGTATGCTGGACAAAGGCTCTACACCTGAGCCACTCCCTTGGTTCTTGATGTTTTTATTTATTTGTTTTTGAGATAAGATCTTGCTAACTTGGCTAGGTTGATCTTGAATTCATGATCCTCTTGCCTTTGCATCAGGATTTGAACCTAGAATCTGTGCCCTGTCTTTGGTATTCATAGAGCTTACATTAGTCATAATGAGGTCAGACGTGGTGGTATACATCTGTAATCCTAGCTACTTGAGAGGCAGAGATTGGGAGGATTGTGGTTTAAGGCCAGTCTGGGCAAAAAGTTCATCTTTTAACTTGACCCCACGTCCTGCCAAGAGCACTGAGAGCACTAAGAATCACTGCCTTGGGACATTTCTTCTGCCCTTCTCCTCCCCTGACAACATTTTCTGGGCATTGAAGGCTTTCTGTAGCTTGTGCTGACCTTGGTCACATTGAGGTCACGCTTATCAGATTGGACAGGTTGGGAAGCTACTGACTATGTTAGTCTGACCAGCTTATGTCTGTCTGCCAGCAAAGTCCAGCCTGGCTCTTTGGTACCTGGGCTCTTTCTGGGTACAGTCGCCATCCTTCGACGCGTTGCTGGCTCGGGGATGCATGTGTTGCAGGCAGAATACACAGGGTAGAGCAGTTGGGTTCTGAGAAAATTTGGGATTTATGCAAATAAGGACATTTGCTAATCTTTGCTAGCAATTCCCAGCCGTGTTTAAAAGTAAATAATGACCAAGAGAAAAAGTCTTTCATTGGGGCAAATTCCAATACCGCAAGGCCACTGGCTGTGTGACCCTGGGGGCAAGTCACTTCCCTTACCTGTTGCACGGTTGTTGGAAGGTGGGGGGGGAGTTAATGAACTAAGAGGCCATTATTATTCTGGGAGCTATGGGCCTGGATGCCCCAGAACGTTCAGCCCTGTGCAGTGCTAACAAGGGAGCAGGCATTTCCCACTCATGCGCTGATCCACACTCTCAAGTATCCACTGGCTAGTGCAATAATGACTGCGTTGTTGGCTCGGGGATGCATGTGTTGCAGGCAGAATACACAGGGTAGAACAGTGGAGTTCTGAGAAAATTTGGGATTTATGCAAATAAGGACATTTGCTAATCTTTGCTAGCAATTCCCAGCCGTGTTTAAAAGTAGATAATGACCAAGAGAAAAAGTCTTTCATTGGGGGAAACTCCAACACAGCAAGGCTACTGTGCCATTATCATTTTGTTGACTTTGGTCTGTCCTTCCCTGGGATATCATTAGTTTCTTGGATCAGCTTTGAAATTGAGTTATTTCTCTCCTTTTTTCATAAAGTTCAACTCACATCCTGATCTCTGCTCATCTGCACAAAATGTTCCCAGCATAGCCTCATTTATTCTCTGGAAGCTGAAGAGAAGCCAGGACAGACCTCGGTCACAGTCACAGGGAAGGCTTTCGGAAGCAAGGCCTTTCTCCCTGAGTGCATCCTTGGCTCCAATTGTTCAGAAACAAGTCTGGGGTAAGCTGGGTCACCTGGGAGCAAAGTCTTAGGAAAGCCACGAGGGCTTGTTTCTGTTGCTGGTTGCCATCCGCCTTGCTCTAAGCCCCTCATTTCTGCTTTTGACATTTCTGCCAGGAAGGGGTGGTAGCTCCATCCAAGGTGAAGAAATGATTTACTCATAGTATGTGACCCAGGTGGCAGAATGTCCCCAAAGACTGATGCTGAGTCCATCTACCATGGAGCTTTTTCTGGGTGAATTAACTGTTTTCCATTAACAGGACATTGCTAAGGACCCTGTGTCTTGTAGACAACTCAAAGCTGCACACAAAATCGATTCACCATTAAGCCATTAAATTGATAGCGTCCCAATGAGTAAAAGAGTTCATTCCCGCAGGCACCAGTGGCTCAAACCTGTAACCCTAGCTACTGAAGAGGCAGAGATCAGGAGGATGAAGCCAGTGCAGGCAAAATAGTTCACGAGACCCTATCTCAAAAAAAGAAACTATCACAAAAAAGGGCTGGTGGAGTGGCTCAAGGTGTAGACCCTGAGTTCAAACCCCAGTACTGAGAAGAAAAAAAAAAAAAGAGTTCATTCCCAGTCTTGAATCCTGAAGCCACTGGGTGGGTCTGGTCTGCCCAGTCAGGGTCCAATGAGCCTCCACGTGCTCCCTTGAGATCAAGCCCACAGGGACTGGGATACTTATGCCTGGGGCACAGAGAGTGCACCAGGGCTCTTTTCTAGCCAGACCAGCTGGAATCTGATTAGTTTGCACTATCATCAGCGTGTCCCTGGCTGTCACCACCCCGCCCCCAGCTTGTCTTTGCTACCTGGTTCTGGCACCTAGAAATGAACGCTGGCTTAGGAGGACTTGTTCAGGACTTTGGTGTCAACTTCAGGGGAGGAAGAGTGTCCAGGCCCACCACGTTTCAGTGGAATGAGCTCTAGATGAGACTGCAGGACCTGGGATTTTTCTCATCTCTGCCATTAACTCCCAGGAAAGTTACCCAACTTCTAAGGCCTTAGGTTTTTTCAGCTGTAAAATGGGAGTGGTGGCCAGGGAGCCAATACACTCCCTCTTCTTCCACTTTGGGATTCTAGGGGGCCTTTCTGCTATAACTATGGGAATGCTATGTGTTGCTGGAACAGGGACACACCTGCTCATCGAGGGAGAGTCCATTTCTTTTGCATCTCCTGATCCTCTGCACTCAGCCCAGGGTTCCATCCCTGTGTCCGGCTCTCAGAATGTGCATGATAGACATGCATCAGTTGAATGAATGATCAATCAGTGCCTGGGGGATGGTGGCTGAAGAGATGAATGAATGTCACTCTAACTTGCCTGTCCCACTCACCTGGAGATAGCAATGGCCTTGAAATCCTTGTGCCCTTCAGAGATGGCCTTCTGGATGGCAGTCCGTTCAGCACACACACCCAGTGGGTAGCAGGCATTCTCTACATTGCACCCTGAGGAGAAAGGATACAGTACTGTATCTGGTGGAACCACTTCCTGCTGCCTGTGATGTAAGAGGCTTACCCATTCCAGGACAGGGAGGGACCCACTGCTCTAAACGAGGTGGGGCAATTTGACCTGAAACATGGGTGACTCTTGGGCCCTTATGGAGTGACTCCTCCCAAGTATGCTTGCACAGCCTGGAGCAGAGGCAGTGTGAGAGAGAAGATCAAGCAACCTCATCACCCCTGGAGAGGTCACAGCCAGGCTTGAGAAACTAGATTTAAGAGAAGGAAGTCATGGGGTGCAGTCCTGCAATGGTCTGAATATGTGTGTGTATGTGTGTCCCCTAAATTCATGTTGAAATCCTAATCCCAAAGTTATGTTGTTAGGAGGTAGGACCTTTTGGAGAGGTGATCAGTATGGGAAATGCAGACTCCCAGACTCCCTTGCAGCATAGTGTGGCCATGTGACTATGTTTTGGCCAAAGAGATGTGGCCCAAAATGATGTAGAGAATCTTCTGGGTCATATTTTCTGTAATGAGAGCTGGTGGAGTGGTTCAAGTGGTGGAATGAATGCCTAGCAAGCATAAGGCCTTGAGTTCAAACCCCAGTACTGCCAAAAAACGAAATAATCAAACATTTTCTGTAATGAGATTGCTATTGGCTATCACTTCCTCTCTTTTCCTCTTCTACAGGCTAGATGATGGAGATGGAAGGAGTTGGGACTGCTTTGACTATGCAGTTTATGTCACAGGAATGGGGTAACAATGAGAAGGAACTTGGGACCCTCATCAACTCAAAGGAGCACAGTTCCTGTGAACCATCTGCCTATTCTGAATTGTCACGTGAGAAAAAAAACAGAATTCTACTATGTTTGAATCTCTGTATTTTGGGATTTTTTTTTTTGTTAGAGCAGTATAACTTATCCCTAACTAATATGGAAATTTGTGTTAAAAGTAAGATTCAGCTTTAACAAAAGAATCTAAAACAAACGACATTGGTGTAGTAACTGGACAATGTGAATGAGGGATGGGATATGGCAAGATGACAAAGTGGTGACTTTTGTGGTCTGAAGCAGATTATTTGGTCACACCCCACCTACCATGACCTGAAAGGAAGACCACATTGCCTACCACCAAGATTTCTGTACCTGGCTAAGGGAATGAGCCCCCTGGCAAAGATCTAATTCAAGGTCATCTGTCATCTTCCCACCCAACCTATTGTTTCAGGTGCCTTTAGGTGCCTCAAAGCCACCACTGAGAAGAGACAAGCGGGCATGGCTCTGAGGTGAGGTGCCGCTGTGCAGAAACCACTGGAAGCAAACAGGTCTGGAGGGATCTAGATCTTTGTGAGGTACTTGATAGCTAAGAAGCCACAAGTCAACCCTACAAAGGCCTGATTGTCTGATCTCCACCACTCGTGTGCTGAGAGAGCTGAGTGCCCCAGGAGATGTTTTCTCCAACACTCACAGATATGTGGCCAAGAACCACACAATCAAAGAAGCTGCTCCCAGAGGGCTAAGCCAGGGCCCCAGCAGACAGTGGACAAGGGTCACACCCAGAGCCGAACAGAAAGGGGAGCATATGTACAAGGGCCAGGGAGCCTTTACACTCTTGTCCAGTGGGTTCTACTCTCTTGCCATGGCCAGTAACTGCCATGTGTTCCCTGGTCCTTCCCTTTTCCTAATAGGACATTTTATGGCTGTCACCATTTCTTACTCCACATCAGATATTGTGGGAGTGGGTGTGAAGTATGTCTGGGGTATATATTAGTAATTAGTTTCTAGGGGCTGCTAGACCAGCAGGGTACATCTGCACGGGGGGAAGAGAACATGCAGCGCTTCAAGGTCCTCTCTTAGAGCCAAATGCTATGACAAGTGAGACTTCGGGGTGCCTTCCTTAGGAAGGTGATAGGTGGATTCTCTGGGAAGATGGATATATGCAAATATGGGCCGCCTGGTGGCTAACTGCTTCCAGCATGCACTCTGTGATGGACTTCACCTGGGCACATAGCTGCCCAGCAGAAACCGCACTTCTCAGCCTCCCTTGAGGCATCCTGAGGGTCTGCAGTTTTGGCCAATGGGGTATGAGCAGAAGTGAGAGAGAGGCACCACGAGCAGCTTCTGGTGATACTGTTGGGAGAACACTGTGTGCCCTCCACCTCCTCTTCCCCTTCCTGGGGGCTGGGTCATAGACAAAATGATGTGTCAGTTGAACCTACAGGTTAGGATATCCCTCAAGGGATGGTGGGATACCCAGACAGAAGGATTCTCATCTCCAGGACACAGTAGTGCAGCCCACTACTGTCAGAGAAGAGAAATAGGCAGCCATCTTGTTCCAGTCATTGTTCTTGCAGTTGTTCTACCAGTTCAGTCGGCTGCTCACCTGCCACATCTCCTTTTCTAAGTCTGAGTCTTTACTGTGATTGTGCATCTATTTATCAAATCTGGAAACTGTTTGGTCATTATCTTCCCATATATTTTTCTGTCCCTTCATTATTTTTCGTGGCATGTTAGGAGTGGTTAAATTTATCATTTAGCTTATAGTTCTCAGGATCCCATGCATTCATGTCCAGAACAGTGGATGTCACTAGACAGCCTACCCTCAACTGGGTGCTATAGCTCCAAGTCCCCTGCTAGAGTGAGGGTGAGTTTGTTCAGTCAAGCATGAGGTGACTGTATGTTGTCATGCGGTGACGTTTTGGAATTCTAGTTTTGGGAAGAAGGTTCATGTATATCCTAGGCACCAAAGGTGGACTACAGTGGACACTGACTTTAAAACTCAATAACTCTTTCTCCATTTTTGTGCCTCACCTCATTCCCTAGCAGGTAATCTAAGTGGAAAGAAGCTGCCATCTTTTCTCACGTGGCCTGAGCATGTCCACCTGACCCAGACTGGCTAGAGTTCTTCTCTGCGTGGAACTTCGGTTCCTCTCCGAGACAGAGTGTGGGCCGCCATGTTTTCATTCGTTATGGAGGAAACCAACAGAAGACAAGCATACAGGTGAATGAGAGATGAGAGACTGAAGAACGGCTCCTGAGGCTCAGCTACACTCCAGCTCTCACAGTTCAGTTATATGAGCCCGTACACCCTCCTCCTATCTACAATAGTTCATGTGTATTGGTGTCATTTGCAGCCATACAGAAAGCAATTAATTCAGTTAGGATACAGGACAGAGCGCTATCAGGAAGTTACAACCTTGAAAGCAGTGGATGCCTTCCACGAAAAGTAACTGATGCTGACCCATCTTCTCTTTCCCTAGTTCTCTGACTCCCTGTCCTCTCCTGCTGTAGTTTCAGTGTTGGGTGCCCCAAAGGTCCATATGTTGAAGGCTTGGTCCCCAGGGTGGGACTATTGGGAGATGCCTTGGCCTTATGGGAAATCTTTAGGTCGTTTGGGTTGACCTCAAAGGGGACTATGGGTAAGTGGTTTGCACTGCCACACGCTTCCCTATAACATGTTGGCTTTGCCAGAGGCCCAAAGCATGGGGCCAGTAGATCTTGGATTGAAACTTCCAGAACTATGAGTCAAAACAACCCCTTTCTCTTTATAAGTTAATTGCCTCAGGCATTTTGTTATATGATGCAAACCTGACAAGCAGACCACCTTACAAGGAAAGTAACTTTAAAATGACCAATTTGATTTTGTCCTTTGTTTCTGCTTTCTTCAGCCTTTCTTTGTCTATAACATCAACACTTACTCTAGATCCTTCTCCTACCTGGAGAGGATTTTCTTTTTTTGGTGGGACTGGAGGTTGAACTCAGGACCTCATGCTTGCTAGGAAGGCACTCTACCACTTGAACCACTTCGCCAGCCCTACATTTATTCTACAACCAAAAATAAAGCTAATTAAGACCTTTAAACTAAGTTGCTATAATTTGGTCCTTTGACACCCTCTATGCACATGGGTCATCTTCCTCAAGTCTTTGCTCAATGCTACCTCCTTGGTGAAGCCTTTCCTGGTCTCCTATCTAAAGCTGCATCCTCCTCCACAGCCTCAGTCCTTGCTATCCATTGTCCTGCTTTACTTTTCTTCATAGCACTTAACGCTTTTCTGAAATAAATGTCTCTGTTATCTAAGCCCGCCATTTGTAATGTGGACTTGCTGAGGGCAGAGACAGTCTGTGTCATGTGTAGCAATGTTCCTAGGATCCCAAAGAGTGAGGCTTTTGGTTACTGTCATGGACCCAATATTTGCATTCCCCTAATTTTCCTGTTGAAACCCTAACCCTCAACGTGGTGGCATTAGGAGGTGAGGCCTTGGGAGGGGATGATGTTTAGATGGGATCTTGAGGTAGAGTCCCATGATAGGACTGTAAAGAGATAAGCCTGTTTTATGTTAAGGAGCCCTTATGAGAACAGACACCAGACCGCACTCTGTCCCCATGTGAGGACATAGTGAGAAGGCGGCCATATTGAAAGAGGGCTGTCATCAAGATTCTGATCTGCTGGCACTTTGACCTTGGACTCCCCAACTTCTGGAACTGTGAGAACTAGATGTCTGTCATCTAAACCACTCGGCCTGTGGTATTTTGTTCTAGCAGCCTGAGTCAATTAAGATGGTCACCTTTTATTGAACAAGTAGAATCTCTCACTCAGTGCTAGCTCTCCAAGGTACATGAGAATAACTGTATTTAGGGCCTCTAGCAAGGTCAAGTGTAACCTCCTAGTCTTGCTCAAATAAAAGGGAAGGGTGGGGTGGAAGTGCAAGCCTGAAAGACCCAACAATTGGTTTTGCTTGCCTAAGCCCAGAACAGGCTATGACATCAATGCAGACAAGCCAGTCCCACTCCTGGTGTGGTCTCCATTTACTCAGAGACACACATGAGAGGCAGGCTGTGGTGATACAAGTTAGAAGCCACATTTGTGAGACTGGTCCAGATAACGCTTGGATGAGAGTGCTGTTTTCCTCAGGGCCGCCCAGGCACTCGTCTGCCAGGCCCTCTGTGGAGCCCTATGTCAGTGCGTCAGGCAAGACGGGTACTAGCATGCCCCTCCCTACCTTATGGAAA